AGATCTTGGCTGGCCAGCCATAGTGAACAATAAAGTTCTCCCACAGGGCTTTCGCCACGGTGGAACTGCGCTGGTCTTTGGTTGGGACTGCTACAGAGTACTTACTAAAATGGTCCGTCATGACTAGAACATTTTCTACCCCTACATTGTCAGGTTCTATGCTTAGATAATCCAAACATAGAAGTTCCAATGGCTGAGTAGTCACGATGGTGCCCATTTCTTCCCGTTCCTGTTTCCTTTTCCGCTTTATGCACCTGTCACACTGGTCAATCCATTTCTTAATGGTCGACGCCATAAACGGAAAGTAGAACCGTGTTTTCGCAAGAGAGGCACACTTGTCAAAGCCCAAATGGCCACAGTCATCATGGATTCCACGTATAGCTTGGCCAATGAAGCTATGCGGGATTACTAATTGGAGCCTTACTTCACCAGACAAAGGGTCTTTAGTTTGCCGGTATAAGACACTCTTATGTAGAACAAACCTTTTCATTTCCCGGAACAGCACACGCAGGTGTGTGGACGCTTCTTTCCTATCTTTAGGGGAAGGGTGGGAACCTGATTCAATGAATGTTCTTACCTTACCAATGTCTGGGTCATCCATCTGGAGTTGGTGCCAATCAGTGTCACTAAGACCTGGGAGAGAGGTGTTACCTTGTAGACTATTTGTGTAAGGGTCTGGTATGGACGAGGGTTGCATTGCAAGGCTTGTTGCAATTACAACTGGTGGAGACTGGGAGGGGTATCTAAGGGTATGCTTACCTTGTATCTCACCTGTCTCGTTGGCTGGCTGTACATACCCTTGGAATAACGCTGATACCTCAGCGGTATCCATCTGCTGGACTCTAGACTTTAGGAACTCTACTTGAGTACTTACCTCTTCCTGGATCTGGTTGTCATCTGGTACTAGGCCCGGCCTTCTGCTGAGAGAGTCGGCATCATTCAAGTTCTTTCCTGGGCAGTACCTAATTTCAAAATCAAACACAGACAAGTTTGCTACCCACCTCTGGCCAGTAGCGTCAAGCTTGGCATTGGTCATGACATAGGTTAGGGGATTATTGTCAGTTATGACGATGAACTTCTCACCATAGAGGTAGTCAGCAAACTTTTCAGTAACTGCCCACTTGAGACATAAGAACTCACGTTTCCAAGCGCAGTAATTTCGTTCAGTCTGGCTGAGACCACGTGAAGCGTAAGTAATTACCCGTTTAATGTCATCCTGCTCCTGATAGAGGACAGCCCCAAGACCAAACCCAGAAGCATCGCAATGCAGTTCAAAAGGTTTCGACAGATCGGCAAAGCCTAGGACTGGTGCAGTTGTAAGCAGCTTCTTCAGTGCAAGGAAGGCATCCTCACACCTGTCGGTCCACTTTTCCCGAAAGGGCTCAAGCTGGGCTCTCCTTACCTTGGAGCGGTCAGCTGGTGTGCTGGATGATCTCCTAGGCATCGACAAACCTACCAGCAGATCATTCAGTGGTCGGCATATCTTGCTGAAGTCTTTGCAAAATCTGCGGTAATAACCGCAAAATCCTAACCACTGTCTGAGCTGCTGGACATTGTTTGGTCGATGCCAATTAAGAACATCCTCGATCTTGGATGGGCATGGTCGAATCCCTTTACCGCTTATCTCATGCCCGAGATGTGAAACTGTCTGGTAAAGGAAATGGCATTTCTTCTTTTCAAGTTTGAGGCCAAAGTCCCGGACCCTCGTTAGAACCTTGAGAGTACGTTCAATGCACCCTTGCATGGTCGGTGCGTGTATGACAATGTCATCTATGTAGGCAATTGCTTCTCGCAAGGAGCAATCACCTAGGCACCTTTCCACAACCCTTTGCATTTGGGCGGGGCTGGACTTCAGGCCTTGTGGCATACGAGTGAATTCATATAATCCAAATGGGGTATTGAACGCACTGAATTGTCTATCTTCTTCACGAAGTGGAATCTGAAAGAATGCGCCTTTCAGATCCACAACCGTGAAGAACTTGGACCCGTGGAGTGAGTTGAATAGATCCTCTACCTTAGGTATGCTGTACGCGTCTGGGGTAACCCGCCTGTTTGGTTGACGGTAATCTACCGTCATCCTTAGTTTCCCAGATTTCTTGCGCACCAAGCATACGGGTGAACTGTATGCACTGGTAGAGGGCCTCATCAACTTTGCGTCCAGGAGGCCCTGAAAAAGCTGTCTAGCTTCTTCGTACATGTTTTGGGGAATGGGGCGTGAGCGAGCATTCCACGGGGTCTTGTCAGTCAGCTTTATTACGTGCTCCACGCCCTTAGCACAGCCGTAGTCATTATCGTCCTTGGCAAATAACCCGTCAATCTGATCTAATTGTTTCGTTAATGAGTCAGCAATGACTTGGGAAGTGTCACTATCAATGTCGTAGTTACCTAACGAGTCGTCATCGTCATCTACTTTCTGAAGGGAGGAAGTAAAGTAACATGGTACAGTCAATCCTACAGAGTCAAAGTCATGGTCTTTAGTCATTAGTCCAGTCACATTAGCGCATACTTGAGCGAGAGGTCTATCCCACATGTAGGTAAATGCCTCTGCTATTACTTGTCTATTGTGGACAGTAATGGGGACATTTGTGTTGTTACTGATACTCACCTTCACTTTGGCTCTCCTGCCAAACACTTCCTGGATAGCATTTACAACATGAATGTCTTGGTTGCGATGAGGATCCTCCACCTCTTGCACCAGAACATTGTGCTTACCAGGGGGCAGGGAGCTGTACAGGGTTCCAACTACCTGTAGAGCCTGGTCAGGCTCGATTGTGAGGGGGCGTCGCAGTCTACAACGAACTTGTCCTACCTTTCCTGTGGTAGGATCTCCCATCCTCACCTCATATGCAGCCTTCTGATAGCAAGCATATATTGAGGTGGGGATGTCAAGTAATGATAGAAATTTGGGGCCTAAATGTGCCCTGCAGGCAGTTGCAAGGCTACGAAAAACATTAGTTCCTACAATGACTGGGGAGGGGCAAGAGACGCGACAAGTAACGATTATTGCAAGAACATTTACTGGGGTGTCTATACCTACTATCTCTTCAGGGAGGCAAATGGGGATGGATATATACCCTTCATACAACACTGACTGCCCATTCGCACCTTCAATACGCAGTGACGAATTAGCCAGGTGCTGTAATGGGTATAAACTACTCAGGTGGGAGTCATAGAAATGTTTTTGGATGGTGGTGACTACACTGCCACTATCTATTAGGCAGGTAGTTTTAACATTATTACTACCAAGGGTACAGTTGGTCTCACAAGACTCTCCTATCAACCCAGGGGGAATTTCTACTTCTAACTTAGATGGGGAATTATGGTGTTGTTGGGGCACTACTTTAGGGCGCTTTTTATTTCGGCCTCTCGTTCGCCCACTAACGGAGGTCCTTACATGTTTGGGTGATTGGGAGTTTGGGAGGGGGTGAGTGGGGATTGGGGGAAGGAGGGGGCACTTTCTATTGCCATGGCCTCCCAGGCTGCGAGAATTTCTTTTCTGCGGGCCAAATTCTTTTTCTTCAATTCCTCATTGGGGCGGTTTTTACACTCCCTCTCAAAATGGTTGAATTCGCCACAATTATAGCATACCAGAACCCTAACTGGACAATCCCTATCGAACGAGTTAACGGGTTTAAGGGGGCCTTGCCTATTTTGAGGAGGTCTGTTTTTCTTTTGGTGATTAGGGGGGTTTCCTTGATACATCATTGGAGTAGGAGGGGGTGGTGGTGGTGTTGGTGGTGGTGGGGATGGGGATGGGTAAGGGAGGTATGGGTTGGGCGCGCCAAGCTGCTGAGGATAGCTTTTAACAGTGCGCTTTTGGGTATATTTTGCATCACGAGTGGCTTCTGCTTCTCGGATGAGGCTAATCAATCTGTGGAATGGGGGCGCAACAATTTGTTGATGGAGATTGGTCACAGAGAGGATGTACTCATCCTGGCATCCCATCCTAAACCTATCTAAAAGTTTCTGGTCTGCCGAGTCTGGTAAAAACTCTCCTATCTCCACCAACTTGTTGATTTTTAGTTGAGTCCTCTTAAGGAAGTCTGAGGGTTTTTCCCCTTTTTCCTGGGACATGGACATGAACTCGCTAAGGAGAAGGGACTTGTTCTCCACTGCGCCATAAACATTGTCTAAAAAAGATACGAGTCCATGGGCAGTGGAGCTTGGGGAAACTTGCCTAGCAAAGTCCTTAGCAGGTCCACAAAGCCTAGTTACGATCTCGCGCCTTTTTGTCTGCTCGTCAATTGAGGCCATTGACGCAACCTCAATTGCGACATCTTTAAATGTCTCCCAGTCTACCTCGCCTTGTTTTACTGGCTCTTTTCCTGAGAAGAGGCCAAGACGGGGGAGACGTGGAGCATTAACTATGCCATGACTATGGGCAGGTGGCGGGGAAGGGGAGCTGGGGGAAGGGACAGGGGTGTGGACAGGGGGAGGGTTACCTATTGAACACCCTTTCACCAATTTTTCGAGTTGGGAAAGGGTAAGTCCAGACTCTGTCAAAAACTTACTTAAGGTGTCAGGGTCAGCACTAGAAAGTAGTTTTTCCTCATCAGGGACAAGGAAAGTGCTGTCCTCGAGAGACATGTTACAATTAATCAAATCCTTATACCAAATAAAAAAACAAAGTAATGGTACAAACAATATATACCAAATAGAAAACAAATGCAGGTAACACGCTGAGAGAGAGCTGTTGCGACCAAGAAATATAAGAGGTAAACAACAAATAGGTTCCGGCACCTAAGAAAACAGAAGCAGACAACAACAACTTGCCAAATATGATCGAAGTAATATCATATATACTAGCAAAGAAAACAAAACAAAAACAAACTCAAAACCAAAAACCTGGCAATTGAGACTACTATACCTTAGATAGCCTTATAACCAGTTGCATCAATCAATTTAGCAGTAAACTTAAATACCATAAAAGTATCAGTTCACAATTCTCATACCAGTCTATCAGTCAAAACAAGGGGTCAAGGTCATGTCATTGTGTTAGCTAGGTTGGTAAGTCATTTAGTATGTCACTATTAAAGTAAATATTAAAGTTGTATGTCATACGATCAGGCAAGAACGTGTAACCAAACTAAAAATACAAATAGGACCAACCAAAAGAGAAAAACAATAAAATAGAAAAATATATTATAAAAACAAACAACCTCGCTCTGCTACCAATTGTAGCACCGACATTTTTGGGGTGGGGTGAGGATCATATAATAATCACACAGTTACTCATAATAGCAGCGGAAGTCTGATACAAAATTGCATATCGGGGAACTTTTCTTTAATTAGTACCCCTGCAAATAATCCCCCCTTTTATGCCGGTTACCACAGGATTCACACACACACTACGCACACCAAGTACATCACATAAACAAACAATCAATCATACCACGAACACTGAGAACATATCACCGAACATACAGTTACACAATCAAAGCAATCACTCTCATTCAATCACTACACACAAGAGTCTGAAAATCTAAACTACTACTCATTATTTATGTGAGTATATATTGGGATGTCTTTTCCCTTTATTATTTACAACTTATCTTCATGCACTTCTATAAAGTCATAGAAGTTTAACAAAAACAATAACATTTAACTGAACTATAACTATCTATACTAATCCTACAAGGTCATACATAACTTATCACTACTACATCTACATCCTATATTATATCAATTGGACATGAGGGTTCTGAAATGGTTAGTGCTGAGGCGACGACCTTCATTGTGACGTTGTCTAAAGAGAAGAAATATTAAATATTGTCAGCGACAATTAATATGGTGTTGTCCCAATGGAGGTTGGAGACAAAAGAGCACGAATAATATCTTTACTATTATTCTCTAAATTAATTACTATCATTATTATTATCCTCATGCCAATACATCAAAACTGAAATGGTTAGTAAATAATATTTACAGAAAAACATGCAACATATATGATGACGATAGTACTCTCTGTTTAAGGAGGCTTTTATGAACTAGAAAGCTCTCGTTGTGATATTGCGCCAAGTAAATTCCCATTGCAATTTGGTATAGAATTATGCTTCACGCGCGCAGCCAGAATAACAGAGAGTATCATTGTCATTGTATATTTTCATCGGTTAGTAATAATCAGGAATAACTGTAATAAGTTTACAAGTTAAAAGAATGATTCAATAGCATCACATGGTTTAACAGCATGAGATATCACTTTCTCCCATCTCTACAACAATTTCACACAAAATCCATTTAAATCTCACAACTGCATAACCATCCACTCTTGAGAAATACATAATGCCAACAGTTGGTTATAATTGAGTAAGATATTCAAAAAGTGTAATAATGTGCTTACCTAAAGAGAAGAAATATTAAATATTGTCAGCGACAATTAATATGGTGTTGTCCCAATGGAGGTTGGAGACAAAAGAGGCTGATGATGAGGAGAAGATGGCTGACTTTGAGATGGTTTATGCCATCTCCCAACTTAGAGGTAAAAAGCTTAAGTACTTTCATTAATACATGTTCAGGATAAGCATTTAACACTTACATCATACAACATTGATATAGATGAAACATTGTATAATCATATAAATAACTTTCCCAAGTGGAGAAAGATAAACAATCAATAAACAATCATAATTGATACAGTATGTAGTTATGTACATTAATTCATAGGCCATAACACCCCTAGGCTAAAAGAATGGAGTGACCCAACCATGGTCAATCTTGACCACACATGACTCATGACTCATGTTTCAGGGGGACGGTGATGTTCTCCCCTGGTTCCAGGAACAGTTGGTATACCACATACAAGGCACACGTGTGTACTCGTATGCATAGACTATGGGCAAATATATGTACTATGTATTTCCTCACTGCACTGGGCATGTGGAATGTCCACTAAGGTGAAAAGGGCAAAGTTATAAAATTCATGGACTCACATGTAATATTACAAACATGTGATGAAATGCGTATAACTTTATATATAATATTAATGTTGCACCAAACAGGGGCTACAACTGCTCGTCAACGAAACGGAGTTTCTTGTTTGTTGCTACGGCAGGCAGCCAGTGAAAACGAATTTGTTTAATAAAATTATGGTAATGCAATTATTACTTTAAACAAACAGGACTTTGTTATCCCTGGCTCATTTTTTCTGATTGAGGTGTCATGGGCAGAAAATGAACTTTCTGGAAGTGTGATTTTCTCTTTGAAATTCAGATACCGTTCGCCAAATGACTTTTTGGTACCCTTTCTTCAAGTTGTTTTTAATAAAGATGCATCATATGAGTTGCATCATTTCATACAACAGTTTTTTGTTTCTCCATGAATTGAGCGGAGTTCACAAATTAGGCCTAATTGTAGTCCATGTTTTCTGCATCAGCAGCCGAGCCAGATTTTATAGGGAGGTCGGCACAGTTTTTGCGATGTTCATTGGCAAGGAAAGAATTTTACAAAGTGTTAAATTTTATGTTTTCAATCATTGAAAACCGACATTTTGATGCATAATGCAGAGCTCACAACACGCAGTGTAAACACATAATTAAAAAAACACATCATTGTTGTTCGTGTGGGGTTGGCACCTCACCCTGTATTGACGTCACTAAAGCTTTATTCCACGGTAGAAAACGATGGGATTCCCCGACATCCCTATGACGTAATGGGGCATCCCTACATGGGCGTCGAGATCATGACATCATCGGATGTGAAGGAGGGTAAAAGAGGATAAAATAGCTCCGACTTCCTGAAATAGGTTGGATATAATATGGCTGACATCACATCGTAAGCCCCTACCCCACTAGCACATGCATCTGTCCCTTAAAATACTTCATCATGGTCTTCAGCTTATTCATACAATCACATACACACAAAAACGAAACACATCAAGCAATATTTTCATTTTATAATCTAAATCAAACAATTATGTCCCTGGTTAGAATAACGGCGAAACTAACAAAAATCAAGTGCTGTATCTATATCTTCTACTGATAATCAGATATAAAATCAATACTGAGATGGGATATCCCAAGTTTACACATAAATCAATAGTTCTTACAGTTTTTCATATTCATGATAGGAAGAATTTAATAAATGAAAATACGTACGAGAAGAAAAGTAGAAATTAAACAATGTGAATGTGTAATTACGGAATGTTGTAAGATAATGTTACATATACAACATATCCAAGTCTCATTCCATGTCAATGATAAAATATATTGTTGTGTTTAAAATCGATGGTTGATACTTTATTCGTCTTAACCAAGGTTGCTTATTTTATAAGTACAATACATCACACTCTTCAATATTTTATAAGTTACATCATTGTTACAAGTATTTGCCTCATGTTCACAAGCTTCTTGATTGATGAGCATGCCGAGACAGAGCTAGCCAAAGGAAGAAAGAACAACAACAAGCAAACAAAGAAATTAAAATAAATGTCAGAAGAAAGAAACATTTTCTCGCATGACCGGATATGATACATGAGGTACACCGATATTTTGCTCACACAATATAATACATTCACAAAGCAAATAATTCTATATAATATGTGACGTGACATATTCGATCAAGGTCAAAAGGTTTCATGTGTGTTAAATTTAATTGAATTGAATTTAAATGATTTATTGTCCATATAAAATGGAAATTCGTTCACTGGTACAGATGTGTTACAAAAAATATACAAAATTATACAGATTATAAAACACAATAAAAACATAATATCAATGGCGTTACATCCAAAAATACAAGTCAAAAAAGCACCCATTTTAATATTTACAATAAAAGTGACAAATTTATGTAAACACGTTTACAGACTCGGCTGTAATCTGCCAAGGGCAGTAATACTGACAGTCTTTCTGATTGAGTATCGTCGTTTCGTTCCACAAGCACTCCTTCAGATTGAATTATATCAAATTATATTATAATTTGTATATATATATATATATATATATTTATATGGGCTATAATTTCAAGTCTGATACACTGCAAAATATTGAAATAATTTCTAATAGGCCTGTAATGGTAATCATGGTATTACTTGGACCTTTATAGTGTTTCCCCTGAGATAACCACAACCTGAGTAAAGGATACATTAAGCCTTTTGACTAAATAAACCAAATCAATTTAATCTGGTCACTACTATCATAAATGTTCCAGGATATCCCCACTCATGATTTATGTTCAATTCGATGCGATCGAGTGATGCTCCGTTTACAAAGACATAATTGTTTTGTCCTTTAGAGGGCAGTATTCTAATAAATGATTTAAAGTTGGTTGATTCTACCATTTTACATTTTCGTGTAAATCAGAGACTTTCTTTCAAACAAAGTGTTGTTAGATATATTGATAGATATTAACTTTGATATACTTTGATAAGATACTCATGAAAGTCGTTAAGATCTTAAAGTAGATATTTTGATGTAATAGCCTCTAGATTTAATCATCGGATGACTAAATTATGAATATCACAGCCTTCGAGTCCAGTTGTGACCCAAACTGTACAGGCCACATTTTACGTCATATGAGGTAAGTATGAAATCTTGTCATGATAAGACAATGCGGACTACATAAAATTACAAGCACACGAACAAAAATTATGACTGTTTCTTATAAAGCGCTCTACCGGTCACTGGATTCGCTTGCGATTCTGCATTTTACGGTGAACATTCTCCACTTCTCCTAGTAGCATTCGAGCCAGTCGCCAGTCACAGTGAGATTGGTATCCTACCAGGTATCCATTTGACACATGGGTGAAGAGGAGCAATGTAGATAAAATGCATTGATCAAATCTATAAGTGCCGCGTCGGGGTTATAGCATGGACCTACTAAGAACCTACGACCTTTACATGGATGTTTAAACCACTCGACTACGAAACAGCAGATATGCATATGCAAAAGTTAGTACTAAATCTACATGAACCTTTGGGTTACAGACGTTCCGAATGAACGCTTCAAAATGAAATGTAGGGATTTTCTTTTTAGAAAAATATGTCTTTTTTTTTTTTTTTTTTTAACTTGGGATTTTTATCAAACACCCCCTGTGCTAGCTGACCCTGCATCGATATCATCTTCGGGATCAATGCCATATCTAACAGAGTTGTTGGAAGCGAAGGCCCATGCCATACGTTCTGAGTTGAAGCTCTTAGCGAGTTGACCAGATGAACTGAGTACTATAGCACCTCCAACACCTCCTACTCTCTTAGCCATGAATCCAATGGCTTTATCAGCTGCCTCTTGGGCGGATAAACCTGGACAAGAAATAAGGTTACGGACAAGATTCTGTTATACATTCGGATCAGATGGAGAATCGATGGAGAAGAGAAGACGGTATAAAGCAAGCATAAAGAAAGAGAAAGGGAGGAAAGAATGAGAGAGTAGGAGAGAGAGGGGAAAACATAAACATAGAGTAACTGATCTCGACCATGCATTATTTCTTTCGAATTAAGCAACTGGCAAGACTCAAACACTGAGATGTCAAAAAGGAAATTATTTTGGTCTAAATCCCTTTGTACATAATATAGCAGAAACCCACGTTGAACAATTAAAGCCTTCCGAATATTGTACATTATCTAGTTTATTTATCAATAAAATGCAAATAAACGTGAGAAAATAAGGTTCCCACTAATAGAGCTGAGACCAAAAACAAAATCTACAAACCTTAACATACAAAAGTGATAAGGAATAATCAAAGTTCGATGTGATACCTAAATGTTCCATATAGCTGATGATGGTCTTAGAAAGTGTCACTTTCATGATGTTTTCTCCATGGCCTGTAGTTGATACTGCTCCGTATGCATTATCACAGTAGGCGCCACTTCCTGCAGACAACAGAGAGGGAAAAAACTGTTTTAAATTTCAAGGTAGTTGACATGAAAGTATAGACGATTTTAATGATACAAATATTTCTTAGGATTTATTCAGGGTAACTTGAAATTATTTTGACCATCGTCGCATGTGCAAGTAGGTCATCTAACATAGGAATTGAAAGAGTGAAACGATCTGTAGTTTGTCGTCCGTCAAACGAACAAGAAATACAAAAACAATGTGATATACATAGTTCACAATATTCATATAAGCAATTTCTCAAATGGGATAGATTAAAAGTAATGACACAAACCAAACGGAAATCACATTATGATACTTCCTGTGAATTCATCAAGACTCATTGGAGCTCTTACCTATAATAGGGCTATCACCGACCCTCCCGACCATCTTTGCCGAGATGCCCCCAGTCGATGTGGCACACGCGACATTGCCCCACTTATCACTGGCCACAGAACCCACTGTCTCGTGTCCAGCTTCCGGTCTGTACAAATAGGGTTATAGCAGAAAGAATGTTCACAAACTTTTCATAAATTATTAACGATCTTATGAGGCGACGAGGAAAAGAAAGCTTAGAGGGGGAGGCATTATTTCATCTGATTTTTACAGACGTGTATCAAATAGATAATTATGACTATTCACGTCTGTAGACCGACCCTAAAAATCATCTTCCACAAGACTTGACTCAGGATTGAACCTTGGGTCGTTGTATAGGAAGACACAAGATTGAAGAGAGCCATAACCACTAGACCAACTTACATCGGCATGTAGGTGCCATACGCTTTACTTTAGGGACAATGCGATATCCTGACATCATAATAAAACCCAAGTCTTAAGAGATACGGTCCAATCACAAGGCATATTCAATTTAAAAAGTCGATTTCCTTTCATAAGTTTGGATTAATGGCCACTGCAAAGACACATGAAAGGGCCCGGATGGGTGGTAACCCCCGCGCTCATTAAGTTAGTGCTCCATTTTGATTGTGCTGGGTATTTTTGTTTTGTTTTAACAGAACCTACTCCTTGGACTTAAATTTCTTGAAAAACTCTGATGCAGAAATAATCTGAGTTCTTCTTACCTACTGGAAAAGAAAACATCTACGGTCTTCTTGAACTTGCGACACTCCTCCCATGTTCTCCTCGCATCCTCTGTAACCAAGTCTGAGGTAGGTACTTTCTCGATCCCCATCTCACTAGCAAACCTATTAGCTCCATGTCCAACAAGAAGTGCATGGTCCGTCTAGATTGAGAGAGCAAACATAATTATTCAAGATGGGTTCATCCTATCAGGGACTGTCACTCTGGATGTGGAGACATCCGGGTTGACCGCCAGGAGTTAAAGTGGAACATTTTTATGATTTTGTATAAGAGATGTTGGGGAAGACATGCAGGGAAGCAATATTTTCCAACAAGCAAGCAAGAAGGATTAAGAAAGGGTCAACTGTCAAGGTTCCTCACGTTCAAAAATTTCTTCTAAGGGGAGAAATCCTCAGAATTCCTGCTAATTGCTTACTATTAATTTTGATACCCTGGGTAGATTTTGTATTCTTTTCATATAAAATGGATATGGACTTTATTCCCTTTCAAAGGAGATGTCACGAGGAGGTCACCTTATCGGTATTGACTAAAGTACTAAACAAACACAATTCTGGTGGGAATACATCGCGATAGTAATGATCTAAGTACATTGTCTAGTTAGCTCATGTTATGCAGGGCATATCCTATTGACTGTTTTATGATATTTACAATTCAGACAATCAAGTTATTTTCATATTTAACATTTTGCAAAGACATTATTGATAAAACCTAAGGCAAAATCATTGAATTATTTCACATAAAATGCATACCCATGCCAAGAGTGAGCAAGATTTCCATGACATAAATGAATCCTGAACGTGTTATGGTTTAAAATTAACCTAGAGAACGGGATTCTTTTATTTTTTATTTTTTGTATCGTGAAATTGTGGTATATTGGTGAAGACTCTTGTCTGTCATACAAGAGGTTGTACATAAAATAGAATTACAATTATTATTGTTATCATTATGACTATTATTATTATTAGTGGGTAGTCGTATAGTAGTAGTAGTAGTAGTAGTAGTAGTAGTAGAAGTAGTAGCAGTAGAAATAGTAATATAATTATTTCTTCTTACTTACCAAAGACTCTAAAACAATTTCCTTGTCAATTGAGCAGGTTACCCATCAGGTCCCGGATTCACTACAAAATACGCATCGATGGCCCCGCTCCTCCCTACCCATCTGAATACACCCAGGTACTCCCACCGCTCCTCCCTACCCATCTGAATACACCCAGGTACTCCCACCGCTCCTAGGCATCATGCTTAACCATCCATCTATCAAGATGCTTCCCATGTACACTAATCTTGGTGACATCTAGCATTCATAACTGGTACTCCCAAATTGTGGAATAACCTACCCAGAATTTTCCTCAACCAGCAATCTCTCAATACCTTCAAAAATATTTAAAAACTCACTTTGTTTGCTAATAGCATAATTAAAGAGCGCATAATTATGAAGTATATGGAAAATGCGCTACATAAATACATCATCATCATCATCATCAGCATCATCATCATTATTATTATTATTATTATTATTGTTATTATTTATAATTATTATTTTAAATATTTATTACCATCATCATCATCATCATCATCATCATCATCAATAGGTAAAGTTCCGCCAAATTACCTCTTCCATGACCTTCCTAGCCAATGAGATGGGGTTCTTGATGTTATTGACGCAAGCAACGGCTCCACATCTTAACTCTTTCCCTTCCATAATGATAGCATCCATTTCAACATCGCCATCATAGTTCAGAACAGAGCCAGTTCCTATGAGATGAAAAAAATAGACACACCATAGGAGGTTGTATATTAAAGGTAAAGACCAGTATTGGACACGCCCCAATTTCAAAAAATGAAATGGAAGCTCTCATTACCAGTCATGTGAAAGTATATGTTTTGACTAATACATGATGATAAAAAATTTGCCGGGAAACCGCCTACTAATTCATATATTTGATAAATTTGTTTCTCTCATGGTCTGTGAGAGATATAGGGTAGTCCCATATACATCTTTCTGTGTATAGTGCTTGTAACTTTACGAAGAATGGGCCAAATTTCTTATCATTTTGATGATTCCAGAACCTTGCAGATGCTAGATGCTAGATGATCAACCTTTTCTGATCGATTCCACAACGTTTCTTTCACAATGCAATCGCATGACCATAACTGGTCTTTCCCTTTAAGGGAGGGCACATCGACTCTTGCTCGTCGCCCCTTTAGCAGCCGATATGACTCATCTCGAGACGTGATTAATGCACGTTGGTATATCATAATAAGAGTTAGGTGATTAATTTTGTCAATTTAGTTAAAGGGGAAGTCCACCCTGATATTAAATGGGTTTTTAATAGAAGCAGAAAAATGAATGAAAGGGGCAGTGAAAGTTTGAACAACATCCAATTAAAAATAAGATAGTTGTGGACAGAAGTAATAGTGAAAATATTCTACAATAATTCGATTTTCACTCTTATATAGTGCTCACTAACGTGACTCCCGGGAAATAGAGAGAGAGAGAGAGTACTTTGAATTTATAATTTTGTGATATAAATTGGTATATTGTAATTATAAATATCTTGGTATCTCCATCTCCATCTCCATTTTCAGCTTGTGCTTCTGGTGAGTCTAAACTATACTACTCTAGGCCTACCCCCCCCCCCCCCCCTTCTTAACAATTTATTCGTGGATACCCCACTGGTAATGTGATGGAGACTCACCCGCGTCAAATACAGGATCATCTTCTAGAGCACTGACAGCTGCTTCTACTGCATCTACTGCTGTCCCTCCATCCTCAAGGACCTTATAGCCTACCCGGACAGCTCTCTCCACTCCTCTGCAACTATCCGCCTTCAGGTCATCAGGTATGGCCCACGCACCACCGTGTACTGCAATGGCTGGAACACGACAACCTTCCTCCATAATACTCGTTATACAATTATACGTAGCCCTGTTAAAATTCAGATGTTAAGTAGCTGTATGAAATTATATAAATGATAATATAAATATTAAAGCAGCAATCAGCTATTTACTGTTTTTCCCCCCAAACACATTTCGCTGACTCGCCCATCTTTAACTGAAAAACGTAAAATAATATTGTTTAGAGTATTACCATCCAAACTGAACGGGCAACGGTGAATATCAGCTGAATTGGATTGTCCATTCGACTTGTAAGGTTCTAGCGGAAAGAGACCCCGGGAAAGAGACGTTCTGCCTGTATTGTATTATTATTCAGGTGACAAAATTAGAGTGTGAAAAATGTATACATTGTTTAAGCAATAAAACGCAAAGAGCGGAGCAAAGAGCCAAAGTCCGACGTTTTTAGAAATTTGGGTCACGGTACGTACGCGTAACGTTTGGCAAACAGTTAACAACTAAATTATTCATACCCTTACCAAATATTGTACTTTTTGTACTTTTTTGAAACGATTTATGTTTCTTGAGAATATGACATATCAAAGATTACATCTAAAGGTGTCCAACGAAGACCCTTATCTAACTACCCGGTAGTCCACCTTTCATTCCTCAATCTTGAGTTACGACCCCCCAAACACACACACAAAAAACAGTCAAATTTACAGGGGATGTATTAATAAATTATGTTTTAAGTGTACGTTGTAGGGGTGGCGATCCCGCGGGGGACAGAGGCCCCCACACTTCCTCCCTCAATTTGTTAGGGGGTCGTTCCCCCCGTCCCCCCCGAAGAATTTGAAAATGACCCCCCCCCCAAAAAGCAAACACGGATTAAAGACTGCAACACACTTTTATGCTCTGGAGGGTCCAAGGGTGCAGCGTTATTTGTTTTCACCAACGTAGTCATATGTTTTCAAGACAAGTAAAGTATGTAATGAACATCTAATTCCTCCTTTTTTCGATGTGTTAATCATGACAATTTGTATACTTTGTCAAGTCCATACACTTTTTTATCTTGTTGTTCCTGGTCATTACGTATTCAGAAACTGAACCGGTCAAGTAAAATTGGAAATAGAGCACTTTTTGGACCTACTGCCGCATGACTGTACCGCATGCACGCAATTAAAGCAAAATATTTACATGATAATAACCGTATGTAGTCCATGGGGTTGATGTTCCACCTCCCGGTCCCTCCACGCCCCTTGACTTTGATCTAGGTCAAAGAAGACAATTTTTTGTACCTCGTCAGGAATTTTTTTTTAAGGGGGTCTGAGACCCCTCCGAAAGTACACTGTAATGTGTAGTTTTGGGAGGGCTGACGGGAGATTTCCAAATTACATCACCAGGGAGACAACAAAAACGGGATCCCCCCCTCCCCTCCGCCCACACAAACACACCCCAGTATCGGAGGGGTAGAGAGATTCCGGATATCAGTAAAGTAGACCTACACCCTAAAACGAATTTCCCGGAGTTTATCTGTTTCCCACATATTTACATCAAATTATCTACCAGTAGATGAAGCTGTAAAAAAAATCACATTGCATTGATATAGTATCTCATAGCTTTCACATTGTAACAATTCTTCATTAGGCTTATTTACAATGCCATACCAGTTGTCTTCCGTATGATATATTCTTTCTGAACTTTAGACTTCTTGGCATCTTATTCAACCTGAATTGGGGTAAAGCGGCTGCTAGCAGTACCCAAAAGGCGGCCAAACTAGTATGCAAATCAATCTCCTAAAACGCGCCAATCTGGACAAGGGACATTATTTTTCGATCACTCTGTATCCATAATAATTATGCCCTACACCCTGGAAGCAATCAGACGGAAGAAAAATAATCAGCAAGTGAATAAAATAACAAAATAAAATATCAACAAATAAAAAATAACTTCAATAAATGGTATAAATAGACTTACGATTGATTCAAGGTAATCGTAAATGTGCAGACGAATAAGGATAGTATAATACCTTGTCGAAGATGAGAGTGTAGGCCTAAAAAGGTCGCGGTGTACAGCTTTGCATAATAGGTTTTACGGCGTTTTCCTTCGTTAGGTTTTTTGAAAAGATCAATGATTTTTACGTACTTGTGTGTGAGAGTGACAATAGAGATGGTTCTGGTTCTGGATAAGTACTCCTACAAAGCGGGGTCCCGCATCGCGTCAGAGGGTTAAATTGGTGGTTGACCACGTAGGGGTGGCTAGAAGTCACTTGCAGAGTGTTGTCGCATAATTTCTTTTTCTTGGGGATTTCTTTGATGTGGAGTGCATGATAAAACATTTGTCCGTGTTAAAAACCATTTGCTAGTCGGGTCCCCATCCCCAGATGGCGTCGAGATCTTTTGGAAAGTTTTGGGGTCCATTTCCGAATTTATTTCCCGGTAAATTAATCTGTCGTCAGCGTATAAACTTATCAAGGTACTGTTGGAGATACAGTCAGGCACACTTGACGTAACTTTTGCAGCTGAGGACATTTTCCATCTAATGTTAATCGTTGTTTTCTTTGTGTTAAAAAGGTTTTTATCCAGCCGAGTTCTTTTCCTCTTATCTCCTAATGGCGGATCTTCTTAAGCAGTCGAATATGCGGAACGCGATCAAACGCTTTTGAGAAGTTCAATAACACAGCGTCGACTTGCATGTTTATAGCAAAATATTTTGTTATGTCGCTGATTGTAGATACTATAGTTGAGTATCACACCCCCCCCCCTTTTTTTTTTTTTTTTTTTTTTACGAAAGCCGTGTTGAGAGTCCACAAGAATATTAAATCGGTCTAAATGTGACATGATGTTGCTGGTATTATGTTCTAAAATTGTACTTCAGATTGAGGTTAATGCGATTGGTCATTAGTTGCCGGGCGATTTTTGAAGATTGGAGTGATGTGGGACATATAGCCAGTCTGACGGAAGTTCACCTTTTATTAAAAAATGCTGATAAAATGTGAGCCAGCTCCTCGACACATTCTTTGAGGAATCAGGCAATTGATCATGCTAAGATGATTTGTTAGGTTTTAAAGGGCCCATGACATCGAAATAAAAGTGTATTCCTGTTGGTGTGCAGTCCTGGATAATATATCTCATATTTCTGATATGTAAACTTCTGAATTTGTTTCATAGATTTTTAAACATTTTTTGAAATATTTCTTTTTCAAACTTGCTTAGCTCCACCCCAAAAACCTCCAGATCTCATTCCCCTTGTGACATCATCTCAGTCATCAATGAGCTAACTTGAGAAAGTGGCATGTAACTTTTCCAAAGTTGACCACCTGTTACAATACCACGATTCTGAGAGCTGTCAGACCTATTATTTATACATCTCCCCTCTCTGCTGCACTCTCTTTGTCTTTCTCTCTCTCTCTCTCTCTCACTCTTTATTCTTCTTCTTCTTCATCTTCTTGTTCTTCTCCTCCCTCCGATCCCCCTCTATCATTCTCCCCTTTCACATTCCCCCGCTCTCGCCTTTTCTCCTTTCCTCCAACTCTGAGGATTTCTCTCTCTCTCTCTCTCTCTCTCCCTTTCTCTTTCTCTCTCTCTCGCTCTCTATCACCCTCTATCTCTTTCTCTCGCTCCCTCTCTTTCTCTCCCACTCTCTCTCTTTCTCTCACTTCCTCTTCCTCTCTCTCCTTTCTCTATCTCTCTCTGTATGCCATGTCTGTTTCTCTGTTCGTCTGTTTCTCCCCTTATTTCCGCTCTTTCTCTCTCTCTCTCTCTCTCCAACATTTTAATCGCTACTAAATTTCCGATCGCAAGCTGTATATGAATGAATACAAATTACAATTAGAACAAATATTTTAGTTTCATCATCAACGTCACTCAATTTATTACCAAAGCACGAGTGTGATAACATGTTTATAATACACATAATTTATAAGAAGATATATTACATTAAAGTCATTGTAAGTTTTGTTTTGCTTCTTTGTTTATTTCTTTGTCATTTGATAATCGATTACTTCATTCTTTATCCATGCGCGTTGTTTCTACACCCGTAAACAACTACAATCTATTATCATCGCGCAATGGTTCCCGGTTCCAATAAGAAAACTAACTATATCATATGATCATAAGCCCGATAGATATGATTTAACCACGGTAACGACTGTTCCACCATATATCTTGAATCGTCGTGGACGGTGGATATCAAGTTGTTTAGAATTACATTAAAGCCTATCTGTACTAGTTTGGCATGGAGGGATCATATCTCCCTGCTAGGTCACATACTGGCAGGTGGTTATTACATCAAATAAGCTATCAATTAACATAAGAAAAAGGGGACCATGGGGATCAACGGGTACCGCTAAGGCATTGTTGGTTGTATAGAGGGCGCATGTAGCTACAAGTAGTGCAGTCCCGCCTCAAATCCTACTCCCACAGTTGTCGTCGTCATTATTATCATTGTTGTTATTGTTGTTTTTATTGTTGTTCACTGATCACTAAATCCAATTAGAAATACATCGGCCGAGAGAAATGTTGGATGATCGGTGACGCTGTCCCAGAAACCATTCCGGAATTTATGTGTTCTGGATATTAATGGGATAAACAAAAATAGAAGATGAAATTAATGTGAGGAAACGAAAGGACAGATAATGAAACTGAAACAGATTATCTTATCAAAAATTGTCAACCATTTAAAAATATCTTGAAATTAGTCTAAACCGATTTTTTAGCAAGGAAATAATCTCTCCAAAGTTTGCAGTTTCCTTTTGAGCCATTCTCCCCCTGGGAGTCGCAATTTCGATTGAAACAGTGATGTCAGAACTTGTGAGATACCCACTGGCCTGTACTTTAGCTACAACGTACGACATTCACCTGTGAAATTCATTCATTAAAGTGTTTTTCTAATAATAGACTGTTTTGGTAATATATCCAGATGAATGGATATTCTATTATCACTTATTGTGACAAGATATTCAGCTGTTTGGAAAAGTTGAGCAGTTTTTTTTGTTAAGCAACATTTGGCATTCATAATTAGTTGCTAGGTCAGACAAAAACTTTGCCAATTGTTCAAAATAGTGACAAAGGCGAACACAGAACTACTCGTAGAAATCGCCTGTTTGAGATGCAGGAGTAACAAGATGGCTACCGTTTTTTTCCATCGATGGCTCTGGTTGCACAATAGCTTTATACAACATCATATCCATCCTATACAGGTCAAAGGACAATTGTGTACTACTCTGATATTATTGTTTCAATCAAGATGGCGATTCCCATGGGAGAATAACTAGGAATAAAAAAGAAACTTTGTAGAGATTGTTTTCCTCGCTAACTTATAATCAAATAAGAGTAATTTCAAGATTTTTTAACTAGCTGACAATTTTCGTTAATTGTTATCAGCTAATGTCTATTGGATTTTGTTTTCCTTTAATGATTTCTTACGCTGCCCTTCCATAGACGCTAATTTTCGAACAAATGAAAACCTTGCACTAGACATAAAGGTCACCGCAGCCCTGCGTCAAGGAGTTGTGTACGTGAGCGACGCAGTGAATTTTAATCAATTATTTTAGTCACAGACACATTAAATTTAGTCAAATCTATGCCAAAGTGCGTTTTCATTGGACCTTTTCTATTTGCAAAGATGATAAAACCTTTTAAAATGTCAGATTAGTTTTAATATCTTACCTTCTTATATTACACCATCTCCAGCCTCAGGTTGCTATGGCTGTGCCTCTCTGACATCCGTTTGTGTCTCTCTGGCATCATTTACAGGAGGTATAGACCAATACACAAGTTGTCTGTCAGTTTTGGAGGGTGTTTTTTCTTCTCCATTTCAGTGCAACCTTATTGAGGAAGAAGGATACTACCTAAACATCACCTTTTCCGCCGGTTGGAATCATCATATCTTGCTCTTGCATCATCGTACCTGCATCATCATCGTATGTTACGGCGTATTTTACAGTGTCATCGGCATCATCTGGAGGAAGAGGGGGTAGTTCAGCAGAACACTGCATAGCTACCAGAACCACCAGGAACAACATCAACATACTACTGCTCTTCATGACTGCAGAATAACAAAGTCTTCTTTAGGTTGAAGATTCGCGTGTGATGGTGAACAGAACAAAGTTAAGGATATTTATATAAGTTTCACGACCGGTGTTCTTCTTGCACTGACTTTCACAAAATGAGCGAAATGCGGGTTAAGAGAACATTCTGGTGAGGTTTTATTTAATAATCTATGCAAACCTCAAACTAATTTATTTCTTAAAGAAAATCTTTAAGAAAATCTAAGGATTCGAATTAAAACAACAGACCACAGTCATGATCGTTATAAGATTTTCTAAAAGCTTTACATGAACAAAATTTAACCAAGTTAAATTACTGTCTATCAGGGTAAACCACATATAGGGAAACCCAACAACACAATATCTGACCACCGAGAAATTGTTTTAACTTTAAGGTTCGATTTAAGGTACCGCGATCAATTGAAATATGAATTGCACTATCGTTTTGACCTTCCAATTAAACAGCCTCAAATGAAGTATCGAAAGACTTTTTTTCCTCTCTCATATCAGATCTTTTCTTCAGTAAGCGTGATCGAAAAGCTTTCGAAAAACCTAGCAAATATCTAATCTCTCATATCATTATTGACATTAGTCCTTTCTACATTCGTGGTATTATTCATGTATTTTGATTGATGCAATAATGCCCCCCTGATTCATAACATTTCGGCCCGCAATTTTGATGTATCCCTTATAGCATTCGAAGTCGGGAGTCGCGGTCTACTAACTAACCACAACTTTCAGTCACTTAAATCACTAATCAAAATGGCTAACGCAAACGTAACCGCCAAAACCCTGTCAAATCAAATTTCAAAAATGGCTGTAGTGTCATCATTTTCAATCTTCCATGCAAGACAAGACCCAGCATGGACATTACCTCCACTCCTCCAATAACAGCCTATAGATGTGAAAAATACGTGTAGGAACCAGGAGGACACGAATATAACAGCTGAATGTTAGATATTGATATATACTGATATAATTATATAGTTTGAAGTCTATGACTGAATTGAAATTGGAAAGTATATTTTGTGTCAATTTTTATCAAATCAATTACTAAATAATGAAATTCGATGCTACAATTGTATTTGTCAACTACCAAAATATATACTTGGACATTAATTCTTTTAACAACAACAAACAAATCAGTGATTTTAAATTTAATCGAGTTTATCATCAATTGTAAACTATGAATAAACTATAAATGTAAACTATGCAATGTACCTTTTATAGCAACTCAAATGTGTGATTATTTAGAAGCAAATGACCAAAATTTTTACTACAAAATTCATGAGAACTCTTTAAATAATGATAAGTCAATTTTTATAACAAATGTGTGTATAATACGATACAGCTTATTCTCCGTGAGATGCAATCAAGAAATCTGTTGTAAATTCATTCTCTCCGTCTCTCTCCTTTGCTATGTCTCTCTTCCTCCCTTTTCCCACTTCATCCTCCTTCTCCGCTAAACTTTACCATTACGTTCTACATTACATAAATATTATTATATTTTTAGATTGAACGAACCCCATAATTAATTTTTCATATTATAACTGATACTTCTGACTGCTAATGATCTTAGAACAAGTATATATGTTTGTATGTATATGTTTACATGTTAGGCCCTGCCTGAGTAATGTCAACGTCCTGGGCCACGATTTTCACGTCTTTATAATATGTCTATTCACTATGTGAAGGAAATATTCCTTGTTATCTTATTTTGTATTGTTATATTGTTACATTGTATATGCTTTTCTATGGAAATAAATACTACTTTACTATGTACTTGTAATGTTTTAGAAACTGTATCCTGTATGTACATTCGCTTGGTGCTCATGGTGCTTTATCTATATATATTGTGTTAAATCATTTGTTTTCACTCAATTATGTCAGAATAATCATCTAGGGCATCCAATCATGCCTTTGATATGAGATATGGAATGTGAGCAATGATTCAATCACAAATACAATATGTTCATTCTATAAATTTTGCTGGGCTCCCATGTAATATACTTGGTGTAATTTTGTTTGATATTATGGTATTGAATTTACCATTTTCACACCATTGTCGATATGCTCATGTATTCTTTAACAGGACCGAGCTGTAAAACCAGTAAATTACAACTGATCTTGTTCTTCTGAATGAATATCTTTAAATAAATAAAATACATGTCAGTTTGTCATAAGAACTAAGAATTACACAACACTTATTCCCTCCCCGAATATCATAGGTGACGGGTGACCGAATATAAAGTGAAGGTTGCACGTTATTACAAATTTCAAACTTCTCGTAATATGTTTTTGTATGCTTACTTGCAAGTGACACATTCGATTTTCACCCCCGGTTTAGATTTGTTATTGATCTATATTGCCGTTTTCTGACGTTCTGTTTGGTTGGAAAATCACATATGAGTTTTTTTTCCTGATCGCATTCAGAAATTACATTATCCCGTTCAAAACTTTTTTTCTCACCACAATGCAGTAGAGTGAATTTGTACAGTATCTTTTTTTAATAAATATGTTATGTTTCTTTGATTTTTATTTTCATTATCTTGGTTATTATTATATTATTATTATCATAGGCCTATTATTATTATACACCTCCCCCCCCCCCTTTTTTTTTTTTAAACGAAAGCCTTGTTGAGAGTCCACAAGAATATTAAATCGGTCTAAATGTGACATGATGTTGCTGGTAAGGATATGTTCTAAAATAGTACTGCAGATTGACGTTAGAGCGATTGGTCTGTAGTTGCCGGGTGATTTTTGAAGATTGGAGTGATGTGGGATATAAGCCAGTCTGACGGAAGTTCACCTTTTATTAAAAAATGCTGATAAAATGTGAGCCAGATCCTTGGCACATTCTTTGAGGAATATAGCAAGCAATTGATCAGGCCAAGATGATTTGTTAGGTTTTAGATCGAACAGAAGCTTTTTCACACCTTCTGGTGTGATTGAGATGTAAGGCATTTCCGGATGGGGATCTCCAGTTATAATTATGAGGGATATTTTCAACAAAAAATGATGGGTGTTAGAAGGTTGTTTAATCCCTTTTATTTTCTGTGAACCATTTTTGAGATAATCTTCCCCACGCAAGTCTATTCGTATTGAGTCTGAGGGGGTGAGGAACGTTTCATCGCCCATTGTCCAATCGGAAAGTGACATGGTGTATAATGATGTATACTAATATACGATTCTGAGAGCTGTCAGACCTATCCTTTATACATCTCCCCTCTCTGTTGCACTCTCTTTGCCTTTCTTTCTCTCTCTCTCTCTCTCTCTCTTTATTCTTCTTCTTCTTCCTTCTTCATCTTCTTGTTCTTCTCCTCCCTCCGACCCCCCCCCCCCCACTCCTCCCTCTATCATTGTCCCCTTTCACATCCCCCCACTCCTCCATCTATCATTGTCCCCTTTCACCCCCCCCCCCCCCCCCCGCTCTCGTCATTTCTCCTTCCCTCCAACTCTCAGGATTTCTCTCTCTCTGTGTTTCCTCTCCACTCTTCATTCTTTCTCTTCACCCTCATCCCCCTTCTCTCTCTCTCTCTTTCTCTCTCTCTTTCTCTCTCTCTCTCTCTCTCTCTCTCTCCCTCTTTCTCTCCTTTTTCTTTCTCTTCCTCCCTCTCCTTTCTCTATCTCTCTGTATGCCAAGTCAGGTTTTCTGTCTGTCTGTTTCTCCTCTCTGCCCCCCTCTCTCTCTCTCTCTCTCTTTTTTTTTCTCTCCCACTCCCGTTTTTATTCAAACCTTGTAATCACTTCTAAATTTCCGATCGCAAGCTGCAAGTTGTATTTGAATTAATACAAAATAGCATTCGAACAAATATTTTAGCTTCATAATCAACGTCACTCAATTTATTACCAAAGCACGAGTGTGATATCATGTTTATAATACACATAATTTATAAGAAGATATATTACATTAAAGTCATTGTAAGTTTTGTTTTGCTTCTTTGTTTATTTCTTTGTCATTTGATAATCGATTACTTCTTTATCCATGCGCGCTGTTTCTACACCCGTAAGCAGCTACAATCTATTATCATCGCGCAATGGTTCCCGGTTCCAATAAGAAAACTAACTATATCATATGATCATAAGCCCGGAAGATATGATTTAACCACGGTAACGACTGTTCCACCATATATCTTGAATCGTCGTGGACGGTGGATATCAAGTTGTTTAGAATTACAATTAAAGCCTATCTGTACTAGTTTGACATGGAGGGATTATATCTCCCTGCTAGGTCACATACTGGCAGGTGGTTATTACATCAAATCAGCTATCAATTAACATAAGAAAAAGGGGACCATGGGGATCAATGGGTACCGCTAAGGCATTGTTGGTTGTATAGAGGGCGCATGTAGCTATAAGTAGTGCAGTCCCGCCTCAAATCCTACTCCCACAGTTGTCGTCGTCATTATTATCATTGTTGTCATTGTTGTTTTTGTTGTTGTTCACTGATCACTAAATCCAATTAGAAATACATCGGCCGAGAGAAATGTTGGATGATCGGTGACGCTGTCCCAGAAACCATTCCGGAATTTACGTGTTCTGGATATTAACGGGATAAACAAAAATAGAAGATGAAATTAATGTGAGGAAACGAAAAGACAGATAATGAAACTGAAACAGATTATCTTATCAAAAATGTCAACCAGTTAAAAATATCTTGAAATTAGTCTGATCCGATTGTTTAGCAAGCAAATAATCTCTCCAAAGTTTGCAGTTTCCTTTCTAGCCATTCTCCCCCCTGGGAGTCGCAATTTCGATTGAAACAGTGATGTCAGAACTTGTGAGATACCCACTGGCCTGTACTTTAGCTACAACGTACGACATTCACCTGTAAAATTAATTCATTAAAATGTTTTTCTAATAATAGACTGTTTTGGTAATATATCCAGATGAATGGATATTCTATTATCAATTATTGTGACAAGATATTCAGCTGTTTGGAAAAGTTGAGCAGTTTTTTTTTTGTTAAGCAACATTTGGCATTCATAATTAGTTGCTAGGTCAGAAAAAAAACTTTGCTAATTGTTCAAAATAGTGACAAAGGCGAACACAGAACTACTCCTAGAAATGGCCTGTTTGAGATGCAATCCATCCTGTGCAGGTCAATGGATAATTATGTACTACTCTGATATTACTGTTTCAATCAAGATGGCGATTCCCATGGGAGAATAACTAGGAATAAAAAAGAAACTTTGTAGAGATTGTTTTCCTCGCTAACTTATAATCAAATAAGAGTAATTTCAAGATTTTTTAACTAGCTGACAATTTTCGTTAATTGTTATAAGCTAATGTCTATTGGATTTTGTTTTCCTGTAATGATTTCCTACGCTGCCGTTCCATAGACGCTAATTTTCGAACAAATGAAAACCTTGCACTAGACATAAAGGTCACCGCAGCCCTGCGTCAAGGAGTTGTATATGTATATGCTTCGAGACTGCGTCTGCACCATCTGTATGTCACAAGGTACGTGAGCGACGCAGTGAATTTTAATCAATTTTAGTCACAGACACATTAAATTTAGTCAAATCTATGCCAAAGTGCGTTTTCATTGGACCTTTTCTATTTGCAAAGATGATAAAACCTTTTAAAATGTCAGATTAGTTTTAATATCTTACCTTTTTATATCACACCATCTCCAGCCTCAGGTTGCTATGGCTGTGCCTCTCTGACATTCGTTTGTGTCTCTCTGGCATCATTTACAGGAGGTATAGACCAAAACACAAGTTGTCTATCAGTTTTGGAGGGTGTTTTTTCTTCTCCATTTTAGCGCAACCTTATTGAGGAAGAAGGGTACTACCTAAACACCACCTTTTGCGGGTCGACTCCTAAAACCTTGCTCGTGCATCATCGTACCTGCATCATCATCGTATGTTACGGCGTATTTTACGTCGTCATCGGCATCATCTGGAGGAAGAGGGGGTAGTTCAGCAGAACACTGCATAGCTACCAGAACCACCAGGAACAACATCAACATACTACTGCTCTTCATGACTGCAGAATAACAAAGTCTTCTTTAGGTTGAAGATTCGCGAGTGATGGTGAACAGAACAAATTTTAAAGATATTTATACAAGTTTCACGACCGGTGTTCTTCTTGCACTGACTTTCACAAAATGAGCGAAATGCGGGTTAAGAGAACATCTGGCGAGGTTTTATTTAATAATCTATGCAAACCTCAAACTAATTTATTTCTTAAAGAAAATCATTAAGAAAATCTAAGGATTCGAATTAAAACAACAGACCACAGTCATGATCGTTATAAGATTTTCTAAAAGATTACATGAACAAAATCAAACCAAGTTAAATTACTGTCTATCAGGGTAAACCACATAGAGAAACCTTACAACACAATATCTGACCACCGAGAAATTGTTTTAACTTTAAGGTTCAATTTAAGGTACCGCGATCAATTGAAATATAAATTGCACTATCGTTTTGACCTTCCAATTAAACAGCCTCAAATGAAGTATCGAAAGACTTTTTTTCCTCTCTCATATCAAATCTTTTCTTCAGTAAGCGTGATCGAAAAGCTTTCGAGAAACCTAGCAAATATCTAATCTCTCATATCATTATTGACATTAGTCCTTTCTATATTCGTGGTATTATTCATGTATTTTGATTGATGCAGTATTATGTATTTGTAATGTTTTAGAAACTGTATCCTGTATCTACCTTCGCTTGGTGCTCATGGTGCTTTATCTATCTACAGTATATATTTTGTAAAATCATTTGTTTTCACTCAATTATGTCAGAATAATCATCTAGGGCATCCAACCATCCCTTTGATATGAGATATGGAATGTGAGCAATGAATCAATCACAAATACAATATGTTCATTATATAAATTTTGCTGGGCTCCATGTTATATACTTGGTGTAAATTTCTTTGGTATTATTGTATTGAATTTACCATTTTCACACCATTGTCGATATGCTCATGTATATATCATGTATAGTCAGTAGAGCGTCCGCCTCACAACCGGGAGGTCGTGGGTTCGAACCCCGGCCGCGTCATACCAAAAGACGTTAAAAGATGGGAGTTGTTGCTACCTTGTTTGGCGTTCAACAATAAGGGATAGAGCAACGTCGATCTGGCGCTGCTCAGTGGCTGCCGGGCTCACGATCAATTGGGCAAAAAGAATTTCCGTTTCGGTTTAATAAAATTTGGAGTGGACTATTAGGCTATTATTATTATTATTATTATTATTATTATTATTATTATTATTCTTTAACAGGACCGAGATGTAAAACCAGTGAATTGAAACTGATCTTGTTCTTCTGAATGAATATCTTTAAATAAATAAAATACATGTCAGTTTGTCATAAGAACTAAGAATTACACAATACTTATTCCCTCCCCGAATATCATAGGTGACGGGTGACCGAATATAAAGTGAAGGTTGCACGTTATTAGAAATTTCAAACTTCTCGTAATATGTTTTTCGTATGCTTACTTGCAAGTGACACATTCGATTTTCTCCCCCGGTTTAGATTCATTATTGATCTATAGTTCCGTTTTCTGACGTTCTGATTGGTTGGAAGATCGCATGTGAGTTTTTTTCCTGATCGCATTCAGAAATTCCATTATCCCGTTCAAAACTCTTTTTTCTTCACCACAATGCAGTAGAGTGAATTTATACAGTATCATTTTTTAATAAATATGTTATGTTTCTTTGATTTTTCTTTTCATGATCTTGGTTATTATTATATTATTATTATCATAGGCCTATTATTATTATACACCCCCTCCTTTTTTTTTTAAAACGAAAGCCTTGTTGAGAGTCCACAAGAATATTAAATCGGTCTAAATGTGACATGATGTTGCTGGTAAGGATATGTTCTAAAATAGTACTGCAGATTGAGGTTAGAGCGATTGGTCTGTAGTTGCCAGGTGATTTTTGAAGATTGGAGTGATGTGGGATATAAGCCAGTCTGATGGAAGTTCACCTTTTATTTAAAAATGCTGATAAAATGTGAGCCAGCTCCTTGGCACATTCTTTGAGGAATATCGCAAGCAATTGATCAGGCCAAGATAATTTGTTAGGTTTTAAGTCGAACAGAAGCTTTTTCACACCTTCTGATGTGATTGAGATGGAAGGCATTTCCATATGGGGATCTCCAGTTAATTATCAGGGATATTTTCAACAAAAAATGGTGGGTCTTAGAAGGTTGTCTAATCCCTTTTATTTTCTGTGAACAATTGTTTAGATAATCTTCTCCACGCAAGTCTATTCGAATTGAGTCTGAGGGGGTGAGGAACGTTTCATCGCCCATTGTCCAATCGGAAAGTGACATGGTGTATAATGATGTATACTAATATACGATTCTGAGAGCTGTCAGACCTATTCTTTGTACATCTCCCCTCTCTGTTGCACTCTCTTCGCCTTTCTCTCTCTCTCTCTCTCTCCCTCTCTTTTATTCTTCTTCTTCTTCATCTTCTTGTTCTTCTCCTCCCCCGACCTCCCTCTATCATTCTCCCCCTTTCACACTCCCCCCACTCTCGCCATTTCTCCTTCCCTCCGACTCTCAGGATTTCTCTCTCTGTCTCTCCTCTCCACTCTTTATTCTTTCTCTTCACCCTCACCCCTTCCCCTCACTCTCTCTCTCTCTCTCTCTCTCTCTCCCTATCTTTTTTCTCTCTCTCTCTCGCTCTCTATCACCCTCTCTCTCTTTCTCTCGCTCCCTCTCTTTCTCTCCCACTCTCTCTTTCTCTCACTTCCTCCCCTCTCTCTCCTTTCTCTATCTCTCTCTGTATGCCATGTCTGTTTCTCTGTTCGTCTGTTTCTCCCCTTATTTCCTCTCTTTCTCTCTCTCTCTCTCTCTCTCTCCAACATTTTAATCGCTTCTAAATTTCCGACCGCAAGCTGTATATGAATGAATACAAAATACAATTAGAACAAATATTTTAGTTTCATCATCAACGTCACTCAATTTATTACCAAAGCACGAGTGTGATATCATGATTATCCAGAAGATACATTACATCGAAATTATTGTAAGTTTTGTGTTGCTTCTTTTTTTCTGTCTTTGTAATTTATCCATGCGCGCTGTTTCTACACCCGTACATAATCTACAATCTATAATCATCGCGCAATGGTTCCCGGTTCCAATAAGAAAACTAACTATATCATTATGATCATAAGCCCGGAAGATATGATTTAACAACGGTAACGACTGTTCCACCTATTGTCGTGGACGGTGGATATCAAGTTGTTTAGAATTACAATTAAAGCCTATCAGCACTAGTTTGGCATGGAGGGATTATATCTCCCTGCTAGGTCACATACTGGTAGGTGGTTATTACATCAAAACACCTATCGATTAACATAAGAAAAAGGGGACCATGGGGATCAACGGGTACCGCTAAGGCATTGTTGGTTGTATAGAGGGCGCATGTAGCTACAAGTAGTGCAGTCCCGCCTCAAATCCTACTCCCACAGTTGTCGTCGTCATTATTATCATTGTTGTCATTGTTGTTGTTGTTGTTTTTCACTGATCACTAAATCCAATTAGAAATACATCGGCCGAGAGAAATGTTGGATGATCGGTGACGCTGTCCCAGAAACCATTCCAGAATTTACGTGTTCTGGATATTAATGGGATAAACAAAAATAGAAGATGAAATTAATGTAAGGAAACGAAAGGACAGATAATGAAACTGAAACAGATTATCTTATCAAAAATTGTCAACCAGTTAAAAATATCTTGAAATTAGTCTAATCCGATTTCTTAGCAAGGAAATAATCTCTCCAAAGTTTGAAGTTTCCTTTCGAGCCATTCTCCCCCTGGGAGTCGCAATTTCGATTGAAACAGTGATGTCAGAACTTGTGAGATACCCACTGGCCTGTACTTTAGCTACAACGTACGACATTCACCTGTGAAATTCATTCATTAAAGTGTTTTTCTAATAATAGACTGTTTTGGTAATATATCCAGATGAATGGATATTCTATTATCACTTATTGTGACAAGATATTCAGCTGTTTGGAAAAGTTTAGCAGTTTTTTTTTGTTAAGCAACATTTGGCATTCATAATTAGTTGCTAGGTCAGACAAAAACTTTGCCAATTGTTCAAAATAGTGACAAAGGCGAACACAGAACTACTCCTGGAAATCGCCTGTTTGAGATGCAGGAGTAACAAGATGGCTACCGTTTTTTTCCATCGATGGCTCTGGTTGCACAATAGCGTTATACAACATCATATCCATCCTATGCAGGTCAATGGACAATTGTGTACTACTCTGATATTAATGTTTCAATCAAGATGGCGATTCCCATGGGAGAATAACTAGGAATAAAAAAGAAACTTTGTAGAGATTGTTTTCCTTGCTAACTTATAATCAAATACGAGTAATTTCAAGATTTTTTAACTAGCTGACAATTTTCGTTAATTGTTATCAGCTAATGTCTATTGGATTTTGTTTTCCTTTAATGATTTCCTACGCTGCCGTTCCATAGACGCTAATTTTCGAACAAATGAAAACCTTGCACTAGACATAACGGTCACCGCAGCCCTGCGTCAAGGAGTTGTGTATGTATATGCTTCGAGACTGCGTCTGCACCATCTGTATGTCACAAGGTACGTGAGCGACGCAGTGAATTTTAATCAATTTTAGTCACAGACACATTAAATTTAGTCAAATCTATGCCAAAGTGCGTTTTCATTGGACCTTTTCTATTTGCAAAGATGATAAAACCTTTTAAAATGTCAGATTAGTTTTAATATCTTACCTTTTTATATCACACCATCTCCAGCCTCAGGTTGCTATGGCTGTGCCTCTCTGACATTCGTTTGTGTCTCTCTGGCATCATTTACAGGAGGTATAGACCAAAACACAAGTTGTCTATCAGTTTTGGAGGGTGTTTTTTCTTCTCCATTTTAGCGCAACCTTATTGAGGAAGAAGGGTACTACCTAAACACCACCTTTTGCGGGTCGACTCCTCAAAACTTGCTCGTGCATCATCGTACCTGCATCATCATCGTATGTTACGGCGTATTTTACAGCGTCATCGGCATCATCTGGAGGAAGAGGGGGTAGTTCAGCAGAACACTGCATAGCTACCAGAACCACCAGGAACAACATCAACATACTACTGCTCTTCATGACTGCAGAATTACAAAGTCTTCTTTAGGTTGAAGATTCGCGAGTGATGGTGAACAGAACAAATTTTAAAGATATTTATACAAGTTTCACGACCGGTGTTCTTCTTGCACTGACTTTCACAAAATGAGCGAAATGCGGGTTAAGAGAAAATCTGGTGAGGTTTTATTTAATAATCTATGCAAACCTCAAACTAATTTATTTCTTAAAGAAAATCTTTAAGAAAATCTAAGGATTCGAATTAAAACAACAGACCACAGTCATGATCGTTATAAGATTTTCTAAAAGATTACATGAACAAAATTAAACCAAGTTAAATTACTGTCTATCAGGGTAAACCACATAGAGAAACCTAACAACACAATATCTGACCACCGAGAAATTGTTTTAACTTTAAGGTTCAATTTAAGGTACCGCGATCAATTGAAATATAAATTGCACTATCGTTTTGACCTTCCAATTAAACAGCCTCAAATGAAGTATCGAAAGACTTTTTTTTCCTCTCTCATATCAAATCTTTTCTTCAGTAAGCGTGATCGAAAAGCTTTCGAAAAACCTAGCAAATATCTAATCTCTCATATCATTATTGACATTAGTCCTTTCTACATTCGTGGTATTATTCATGTATTTTGATTGATGCAATATTATGTACTCTTAATGTTTTAGAAACTGTATCCTGTATCTACATTCGATTGGTGCTCATGGTGCTTTATCTATCTATAGTATATATTTTGTTAAATTATTTGTTTTCACTCAATTATGTCAGAATAATCATCTAGGGCATCCAATCATGCCTTTGATATGAGATATGGAATGTGAGCAATGAATAAATCACAAATAAAATATGTTCATTATATACATTTTGCTGGGCTCCATGTTATATACTTGGTGTAAATTTCTTTGGTATTATGGTACTATGGTACCATTTTCACACCATTGTCGATATGCTCATGTATTCTTTAACAGGACCGAGATGTAAAACCAGTGAATTGCAACTGATCTTGTTCTTCTGAATAAATACTTTGTAAACAAATAAAATACATGTCAGTTTGTCATAAGAACTAAGAATTACACAACACTTATTCCCTCCCCGAATATCATAGGTGACGGGTGACCGAATATAAAGTGAAGGTTGCACGTTATTACAAATTTCAAACTTCTCGTAATATGTTTTTCGTATGCTTACTTGCAAGTGACACATTCGATTTTCTCCCCCGGTTTAGATTTGTTATTGATCTATATTGCCGTTTTCTGACGTTCTGTTTCGTTGGAAGATCACATATGAGTTTTTTTCCTGATAGCGTTCAGATTTTCCATTATCCCGTTCAAAATTTCTTTTTCTCACCACAATGCAGTAGAGTGAATTTGTACAGTAACTTTCTTTTATAAATATGTTATTTTTCTTTGATTATTGTTTTCAATATCTTTATTATTAAATTATGATTATTATTATTATCATAGGTCTATCATTATTGTATTTTGAAAAAAATGTTAACATTATTCATAATTATTATTAGGCCTATCGTTATTTTGAAAAATTATTATTATATCATTTTTTTATCATTATTCATAATGATTATTCCATATGATTATTATAATCATTATTGTTATTATCATTATTTATAATGATTATCGTTATTTTTATTGTTGTTATTATTATTATTATCATTTTATTGTTAACCTTTATACATGAATAAGTAATACCAAGCGACATATAACCATGATACAGTTACATGTCCATATACTCCTTGATTCATCTCATTCCCTAATCCTCCCCGTACTTAATTACATTTACCTTTCAAACTTCTAATTTAATTAATGTAGGGTCAATTAAAGCTGATCTAATTAGGTTGTCTCGTTGAACTGTGTAAACTACATGGTCGATTATTGTCTCGCTCTGGATTATTCACTTGTATAAAACCAACACATTGTTAAGCAAATATCCCTAACCCGGATGTAAAGGAAACTCATTAAAAGGAGTTGTGTTGAGATATTTTAACGTATGTCACGCAACCAAACAACTGTCATGGAAACCGTCCCCAGAATGCCTTTCTAACTTGCACGAAGAGCAAGCAAAGAGCGCGCTCCTTGAAGCAAGTTCGTTCATTGTTTACCAATGCCTCTACATGAGAAGGTCTTATACTTCAATCTAGACCATTCTCCTGTACGTAACTCTGACAAATCTTCCAAATATCAAATTCATTTCAAACCGTATTTTGGGGACAGATCAATGCACATGGCGAAGCCGAGTATGTTGAGGGTCGACAGTTTGGAGTATCTTAAATCGGATATGACAGAGAACAGCACCGCTAAAATGGTATGTATATTAAGAAATGTATACTTCTCATAAGTGCACGATATATTGGCGCCTGGCGGAGAGTTCCACGCAGTGACCTTTATATGTCCTTACCAACTATATATGACACACGGCATACAAGGAAGTAAGAAACCTTGAATTTCTACAGTTGGAAAGGGAAGGAGGGCAGAATGTTGATTCATTCTCATATTCATGATATTATGTTATGATTGGTTTGAATGAAAATGACTTTCAATACTGTTTTTTATCAACATGATAAGAATAGATAGATGGTATTGAGAAACGAAAACAGGACTTGGTTCTACAAAAATCAACTCTCCAACCTCCGTAAGACTGTTTTAGTGTAGGCCTAGTTATATAATTGTTTTTAGGTGACGGTATATTTATTAAACTTTACATTAAAAAGCGTACTTGACGATTAAATGATTTATCAACTTAATAAGTTTTCTTTGATTTCCTGACCAATCATAATCATATGATTTGCTTTCTATACATAATAGATATATGTCTCAACATTCTGCTCCTCAAGCGCAATAATAAGAGCTATAACTGCAGCCAATGCATAGGCACATTAAAAATAAAAATTTAAAATTGTGAAATACAAATCGAAATTAGCCTTTCGAAGTTAACATTATACCCGCTTGAAAAATTTAGGAAGAAATACGAACATAAGCAACAACAAATGTATTTACGGTTCCGTATCTGCCTCCGATTTTGGTTTGGTTTCTCATTGGATTTGTATCCATCGGTTTAATAAATTTCCGGCTCGTTTTGCTGAATCCATAATTTTTTTGCTTTTCAGCTAGTCAACATTCCTGAGCTATAAATATACCACGTTGTTAACATGGACCCTATGTTTTTATACAGGTACTGCTCACGCGAAGTCGTTCAAGCAATATCTGTCTTTCCTTTGAAAATAACCTTTTTAAAGTGCGATGTATATAGCACTCAGAAATCAGATTACAGGCGATTTTCATTACAACAATTTGATATGCCATCATAATGGATCGATGTTGACACCGGGAGGATAAAACGGGGGCGTAGAAGTCGAATTTTCTTTTATGGTGGGGGGGGGGTGAGGGTATGTCGTAGATCAAGAGTAGGCCTATATTTGCCAGGGACTTGGATAATTCCCTTTTCAGGTACGTTCAACTCTGATGGGGGTCCGGTGGTTAAGCCCACAAAACTGCTGCGCCTTCAACATTCTAACAAATAAGAAGTCAAATCTATTTGGGATTTAAACACATCAATGTATGAGCTCCAAGTGGCGGCATTAAGGCCCCTGTGGGGAAAGTGAGCATTTTAAGTAGGAAAGTCGACTGTATATAAATGAACAGAAAGAAAAAACAGAGATAAAACAAGTTTGTTTAGCTTTTCTGAACCTTGTGCTACGTGTTAAGTACCAACGCCATCGCTACTCAAGATTTGATAATGCTTAAATCGAAGAGATAGAGCAAGTAAAGTCGAATCTGTTTGTTGAAGAAAAAAATCGACACTTTGGAGTCATCAGCAAATGCATGGAAATATCACCAGGAAAATTACGTACGGCTAACATGCTACATAACTAGACCCGTTATAATGCTATCATTTCTCATATTGATGCTTGTAGATTGTAATTATATAATTTGTAATTTGAAATATTAATTGTGTAATGTTGTGATACCATGCATCCGAATAAGTATATTGAATAATGAATAATCACGGTGATAGTATTTGTGTACACAGGGAAAAATATTTAGTTTGCTCATGATGACCTTTAATCGTTGAGTAGTTATACTTTAATAAAAATTACTAGAGCGATCTGATAGACATGTTTGTAGTCTGCTCAGTCGCGTTTGACCTCACGGGTCACTAACACTGAAATTACATTCCCTGTTTAGCTCTCAGCTGGATAAAGGCATGAATTTCATTCTAAAATAACATCGCTTAGAGAAAAATACTCTAGTCATATGCACTGAATTAGGCATTCGAAATCTGACGGGCGAGGATGAAGCTTGGGAGAACCGTGGTAGTTTCTAGCTTTGCGTTTAAACCCGATCGATGCTGTACTGCGAGCACTGGTGGAATTCGCACAGATCAATAGTCTAAATCAACAATCTGACTTGAATGTATTTACCTGCCGCATGTTTTGTAACATAACTTCTGGATCAAACTTCACATATTAGCGGAGAAATGTCAGCTCGATGATAGTATCTTTATAGTGTCTAGACATTGGTGCCTGCTGATTTCGCAATTAGCATGCTCAGTACAAAGTCTACCACACAAAACGATTGGAGGAGGAAGAAGAGTTGTTGCAATATTCATAAAATGGTAAGATTTATCGATCACACATTCATGGATACCACTTTGAGCAAGCATACCGTTATTTGACTATACCATGTTCGACAACATGATCTCATCGATCCGTGTATGATTGGAGCAGTGACGGATGAATGACAAAGAAAGGAAGCTCTGCAGCCTGTGCTGAGGCGTATCCAGGAAACTGGGTAGCATGTGGCAGAATGCTCCTGATTTGGGGGTAGGCCTACGTGGATGCCTTGGACTACCAGTGATACCCAGTTCTGAAGAGTTCAGTATGCACATTGTGTGAGAAGATTAATGCTTAAATAACAAGAGAGAGGGAGAGAGAGAGAGAGAGAGAGTGTGAGTGTGTGTGTGTGTGTGTGTGTGTGTGGGTGTGCATGACCGGGGGGGGGGGGGGTAACTTATAAACCATTCAACGTTTTCCACTTATGGCTTCGTAACGTCATGATTGAGCAGTTTTAACGGTCGCTCGTTACATTTATCAACAGTTTATATCCAAATCAATTGTTAAATCAGAGATTATATATTGTTGCAACACAATGCATTTTAAGGACAATTATGCTGTGTTGCATAAGTATAGTGAGCGCAAAAAGGGCTTTGACTAACATAAACAAAAAAGATAGCCACAAAGTCCAGGTTAGACTTGGCACATCATGTAGGCCCTACTTAAAGAAAACATAATTATAACACAAATATAGCAAACTATACATACACATGTTGTTCGAATCGTAACATAATGACGAAGATTTTCAATGATATCGACACGTTTTCTATATCAAATTTAATTAAGTATTTGTATTTTAATACACGTTATCATTCAGTGTGTTTGACCATGGACCTTTTGAATCACATATCAAAGTAAGATGGGCCCATTACATTAATCCCATGTATGTTGCATTTCATCAGGACTGTATATCCCTCACAACTAGACTGAGAAAAGGTTTACCATTAAATCATTAGCTTGAGTAGAATCCATCAAACTCATATTTTAACAAAAATAGTGCGGTATGAGAGCGCTTTTGAACTATAGATTGGGATGTTTGAGCGATGTGATTCATTCACGACATCCTATGTACAGTGTACTTGAGAGAACAACTGCAATGTCAACATATAGTCACCATTTCAAGTGGATTACTGGAGACGACAATCCCATTCTCATCATACAGTGTAATAGACACCTTCCATTAGGGTCCTCTGCCCAGATTAGACCGTCATTCTATATATGCGATCCAAATGGAGCTTTGTTCAGACTTGGTACTGGACTTGAAACTCATCCCGAGGGCACACCACGGTTCTGTTTTGCTCAGAGCGAAATCAGATATTGGTATTAATTGTGTTTCTAGGAGTAAGCCTGCATGATATTCAGAAACGTATGGTAGTTTTGTGTCGGTTGTATTTTTGATATCGGTATGTTAACTGGCTTTTTACATCAACCTAGCGTTTGTAGAACTTTAAATATTGAGTTCTATAGGATGGATATTTTCATTATCCCAGGATGATTATGGTGTGCGTCATCTGTGGCAGCCGGGACGTCATGGAGAAAGCATCTGATAGCTTAACTTCAGATTTTATAAATGCAACCCATGGATTTAAATTGCTTGCCTCTTAATATCATGTACAATGAAAGGGCTTAATGATGTTTTTCTATTAGCACGTATGATTACTCTTTAATCGAAGAGAATCATTATCTATGCTGGCTCACCTAACAATCGTAATCAATTGCTGTAATTACCCAATGGATATCCGGGCTCGTATTATCATTTCACACCATGTTGCACTTCGATTCGGCATCGGTCGATTTCCGTATTGTGGGAAAATGGGAGGTTAACATCCCAACCGTGTTTTATATACGTCGCTGGATACTAACAATAGGCACTTTTTTAGCGCCTTTGTGAAGGAAAGCACCAGAGTTTGACATACAAAAGAGGAATTAAGCGCATATGGATATTTCACTCTCACTCAACATATCCTCGTATACCTACGACTTGCTTCATGTGTGGTTATATTTGTTGCTCCTGTCCTCGATTCGATTCGATTTCTATCCTTGCACTACTTTAACTTTCATTGTCACGATTGTATGGACTAAGAACTGAATTCAAACCTCAGTAGTTCAGACAGACAGACAGACAGACAGACAAGGATATTTACATGGCACATGATGCATGTAACCGTGGATAACAAGGAATAATTTTTTGCTGCATTTTGTGAATTTGTATTCATAATCATGTTTGAGCTTTCATGCTCATGATGATGCTCTTAAACCATGATGTATTGGCATAACTTCTTGACGTACTTGAACATTAAAAAGACCCCTTTCGACACGTAAACGATGAAAGTTGTATACAAAATAATGTCTTGTTAATGGAGGGAACCGTGCCTTTTTAAGATATTGGATATATTGCTGGACTGGCATTGAGGAGGGAACGCCACAACTGTAGGTTACCGTGTAGATATTATACTTCAGCAGAAATTATAAGCCTACACATATCCTTTTTTTTCCATCCCCGCGTGGACCGTACCTCATTAACAGTTCTGAAATATTTTAACTCTGGCGTAGAGAAACGGACGAGGCGCCTTTTATGAGGGGCATGAGCGTTTTTTATCATCAAGATGGGAGATCTGGATCTAAAGACACAACTGCGAAGAATCTCGAGGAAATCAAAAGGTGGATTTGAAGTTGGAGACCTGAAGGAGATTATTCGGGTATACATAAGATATGTATATATCTCAATATACATAGAAATAGTTTCGAAAACATACATTGCTGTAAATCAATCTAAGAAAGTCTGACAGAATGCTGTTGCATGAACTGGATCGATGCTTTCCAAAATTGCGCATAAAACAATGTGTGGCGTATCTGGGTAACTGTTACGAAGTAACTAGCAAATCAAATATCCAATCATTTGGCAAGACATTAATCTACATTTGCCACACTCCACGTAGGTAAGGTATATGGGTCCTTGGCAGGAATGAATTAAAAAAAAAATCGCGATTGCTAAAACATCAGCCGTGCTAAAGCGAGGGTAATACAACTGAGCGTCAGGAGTGGCAATGTGCCAGACATGAGCGCTATACAAGATTCCACAAATGTTATTGCTATAGTGTTATTATCATTATTTCATTATTATTACTACATCTACGTACTACAACCTGTTTGATACCAAATATTTCATTTTTCGCCTCGAACGGATGGTATATGCAATGCGCATAATTTTTTTCGAATACCATAACCATGGTATTCCGTATGGTATTCCATATGGTAGGGTGATGGTCCATAACCATCACCATTTCTTTTCAGAAAATGTTCAGCAATAAGTGGTAGTCTTTGCTACATTTCATCATGACTGCAATCATTCACAGAGAATATCGCTCTGTGATATTAAAGTCGGTGTACCCAGAGATATAGATTTTACATCTAGCCGACCCTCGGTCAGAATTATCTTAATGATGCCTATCTAACCTTTACGTACGAAATGTGGGCGTGCCACACAGGTGACGATGAAAGGCTTCTTAAATCACTATACTTTTTCTTTCTTCCATAGTGATATAAATCAAAAACTAGACATGCCCTCACTCTGGGCAACCTTTTAATTCATGAGTGATAACTTTTATTGTTCACTATAAGCATGATGTAAGATAAACTTCAGAGTGGATATTTGAAGCAAAAGTGCGAGGTACATGTAGATGCACAGTTAGGCGTGATGTTCGCGATCCTGAGGTAGTTCATCTGGTATTGGGAGAAACAAATCACAACTTCATAAGAACTTGATGTTCCGTCATGATTCCTGAGGGGTACACAAATTGAACGGTGCTTAATAATGAGAAATGTTTTCTTCTTCTTGATCGCCATTCCAGATTTAATAGTATTGATTTTTATTATTGCTGTCGACAATAATGCTTGTAGTGAGTTTATGTTTCACTTATCATACTCATAGCCATGCCATGTCTATTAAGTTGATCCGACAACGCTTCTGTGACAGTTGCTCCTAGCTCTAATTCGTCAAAGATCATGAATATGGTTATATTTGGGTTTTATATCATGTTCAGGGTAAAAGTTCGGTTTAGTGTTTGTTCTAGCGTCTAAAGGGGTATCTCACTGAGCGGGCAAATGCTTACGAACGTTCCGAAATTGGATTCGCCAACTTTTCTGACGAATGTTGGCGAAAATCATGGTTCGCCTCTGCGACATTTAGCGACTTTTAGCTACAATTAGCAACCTTTGAGCGATTGTTTGCGAAAGGGTTTGGGAAGGCAGATGGCGACTATTAGCGACTGTAAGCAAAATGTTAGCGATAACTTTTGCGAAGATTAGCAACAATATTTGCCAATCTTTTGCCACTATTTGCGAATTTTTGGGACCTTTTGCTAACACCCGGTACTAAATGGGTCGATTTTATATGGGAACTATATGGTAACGTGGTCGCTAACATTGGCGAATCAAAAAGAACTTGAGCGACACCGTCTTACAACCGTTTGTAAAGGCTTACGACTGCTTTTGAGCGCTTACGACTGTTTTGCAAACTCTTGCAACTGTTTGCGAACTTTCTTGCAACCTTTAACGTACCTTTTGCAACCTTTTACGAACCTATAGCGAAACCCCAAATTCGCTACGTTCGCAAGCATTCGCCGCTCAGTGAGATACCTAAAGGGCCACTCTAACCCAACTAATAGAGCCTTTCAAAGCATGAATACACCTCTACTTATTAATATTCCAGCCTCTGATTTTTCAGAAAATCTCTAATTTGACCCCAAAATGATAATAACCATCCATTTTTCACAGTTCTCACGCTTGCTGCGCTACGCCCCTCGAAAAAATCAGTTGCGCAATACAGCTCCGAAACTGGGCTTTTTTTCTGAGCGTTCTGAGTCGTCATTTTTTAAAGCTAGATTCCAGAATTATTGATGATTTCTAAGAATAATCATTGTTCGGAATGTTCGTCAAAAGTTATTCTTAATGTGTTTTTCTTCATTTTTTAGCCCGTTTTAGTTAGAGAAGTCGATTAGTGTGTGATACCAAGCGTGGAGCAATGATTGTGCGCCGTAAAGCTGTTCGAAATGAAACTCTCATCTGGCTCAAACATTCCATGGAAAATCTAAAACCAAAAGGGAATGATTACGGTTTAAAAAGACAATTGTCACGCATCTTGCAGAACTACAAAAGCACTGTCTGCGCCCAACTATTGACAGAGTGAAATGCAGCTTGAATAAACTCAAGGATCGTGATATCTCTTGAGAGCAAACTTTCAAGAAACTGATAGTATATAATGTTGGTTTAGTATCATGTTGACTTTCTAGCTTCATTAATAACATATCTTGTGACGAGGAGATTGAGAGATAGAGGGAGACATGGAATAATTGTATTGTATAAAAAGAGTGTAATTGCTTTATGTGGATAAATGGAATTAATCGGGGGAGTTTGAAGGTACTCTACCCCGGCCTGTCATCATTAAATTAAAACTGAAAAGAGATGGCCAATTATAATGCTTTAAAATGATCGTGTATACATTTCAAATTAACTTGGTTAGTTTAGCTTATCGTGCACTCGGGCTACACCGAAAAAATTCATCTATCGAGACACAAATATTTTGTCGATGCCGTTCAGTTTGGAGTCGGTTAAGCGATATGACATAATGTCTAGTTTGAACTAGAATGACCCATTCCATTTTATTGTTGAACAAGCAATATGTATATATTGTAATGGAGACAAGATGAACCTTGCTGATGACGTCATTCAGACACCAGTGACGTCAGCTTACAGGGAAACATGTTTGTCCATCCCCTCATAGATTGTCTGTAAACATCTATTTAATTCAATTAGATGACACTCTGCATACACACACAATCAATATTGATTTACTCTCGGCATACACAGCTCGTCAATATAAATGACCCGGCATGCATGCAGGGGGCGAACGCTTAAACGTGGCTCAGTGGTAATTGCGTGTTGGTATATAACGGGAGGTCCCGGTTCGAATCCACAGATGCGCTGGCGCCTTTGGCAAAACATTTACATTTAATTACCATTCGGATAACAGAAGTATATCCACTGTTTGTTGTCTACTATAGATATATACACTTCTTTACTTTAATAGCAGTATCATCATCATGAATAACAAAGATACAATGCAATACTATAAACAAAAACGCCATACAATCCTACTTATTGATTATTAAAACGTTTCTATTATCGATATATATATATTAACGTGTATTTTCTTGTTCTTTTCAGGTCCGAAAACAATCCCGGATCAAGACTTTAGTCATGGGTAATATAAAAGAAGAGCCTCTCCTGATCAAAGGTCGCCAGGATCTTGTCATCGGTATCCATGAACTTGGCAGACAGCTTGAATGGTTGCGTAGCAACAAGAGAGCGCGAAATGAAGCTCGAAAACTTTACAGACTACGCACCTTTTCCTCCAAAATGGACACTGCAGAAAACTTCTGCCTCAGATCAGCAGTGATGCTTGTACTACTCTTTGCCATTATTTATGTGATCAGAGCCATATCTATATTCCTTCTTCCCGAACTGTTTCTCGAATGTTCTGCCTCTCATCCGAGTATGCATTTATCGAATTACAGTGCCTGGCCTTCGAGCAGTGCTGATGCGTCTATATCTGGGTTACGTCTTCGATGGATGCTGTTTAGAGGTCGCCATCCATGTGTGCCTATTTACATGGAGTGTTTTACATTACATGATTCGATAACATTACCATACCAGGGTCAGTACTGATTTTGATTGAAATGTCTCGATGGAAACGTTTGAATATTTTACCGCAATCCAGACTCTTTCCTTGATTGTCGATTTCTATCCATATCTATATATTGATATTTGACTGAAATGATCGCTGGATGCATGTTGTCGAAATTGATGATTAAACTGAACACTCTCACCAAAATCAATACGGCGTCAACTAATAAGTGTGCTATCACTTTACACTTTCCATTGTTCAACCATGAGAAGGGAGGAGTCTTTTGGAAGATGCCGTTTTTAATAATGCAGTATACAGACCGAGCACCAGAAGCGCTCTTCGAAGTTAATGTTTTCAACTGATCTATATTTGGCTATAATATGCCTATATCATGCTCTTTGCTTGATATTTTTGTATAAGTAGTTTAATATGGATGATTATATGTGCTGATTCAGTTATTTCCCCTCTCTCCGTTTGTCATCTCCCTCACCTCCCCTCCCCCTCTTCCTCTCCCTCTCTTTGCCTCTCATATTCCTTCTTACTCTTTCTCAGTTTCTCCCACACACCTCTCTCCTTTTTCTATCTATTTTTATACGCGAAGATGCTTTCAATTTTAAAACTCATTTTAGAATTTTATACTTTAAAAAGAAATTGAGTGAGCTCATTCAAAAAGAATTTTACAGCAAGAAATCAATATCTTTTAAATCTTTTTCAACTGAATTAGCAAACTGATTTTTGACTGAAATGGAAAAGTGCCTTATTGTCTTAAGCACTTTTAAAAATAATTTTCTGACAATTTTAATACAAGTATGAAAGACGGGTCAAACATTTGGGATACATAAAAACTTAATAAGTGAAATTAGAATGTGAAACCTTTGTGAAACTCGACTGAATTCTTGATTTGAAGAATTTATTGAAATGACAATTAAATATATATATGGGTAACTCTTTGTAATTTATTCAAAATAATGTAGGTATGAAAAACGGGTCTAACATTTAGCATATACATGCACCTAATTTATTATCAGTGTGCAATTTGAATCATTATGTATCGGGCTGTGGGGGGGGGGGGGTGGCATTCGAGACCGTGTTCATCCCATTATACCTTCTTAACGAACACAGGAGACTTTTCTGGGTGATTTTAAAGGTTTTTGGCTTTACTTCGTATTACATGTGTATTTATTTGTGTCAAGTAATAATAATGTTGAATTTATATTACGACAATAAGTTATCAATGATTGCCTTTTGATGATTTATTGCATTGCGTTTGTACTTTATTTTTCTGTGTCAACATTGACTTACTATTTATTAATTCTAAATTATTTATATAGTAGACCACTGTTACGCAGATATAATTATTACAATGCATCGAATGTCTTCGTGATAATGCTCAAATGCAAATTATTACACTAAAATAATTGCCAGATAAAGTGTTGCCAATTTTTGCTTTAAAATTAAACACCATGTTTCTTGGATAAAAATTTTCCAAATATTCGGTAGCATTTTATAAAACGAACATGCATGTCTCATTTCAACCCATGACTGTTTGATATATTAGTATGTTTAGAGTCAGAATTGCATTAACTCTAGGATATATGAATTAACGCCCTTCTGGCTCCAAACAGAAGAAATTCCCTTTTTTTAGAGTGTATAATTATATAATGCAATATAAAAATCGCCATATTTTCTGCAATAAAACTCAAAATATCAGTAAACAAGCGTCTCCTTTTATTCTTCCAGATATTCATATTCTGTGCTCTATCTCAATGATTCTCTATTTCATTATGAAACGTAATCTTGAATTCTAGTAATGATTGAACATGATGGAAACAGGATCAAACAAAATGTCCGTCGACTATTCAGGACAATAAGTTAATTATATCTACAGGATGAGTAAATACTGAATGAGCAGAGTATTGAGCGTAGAAAGATAATCCCGACTTACCAGAGTGTAACTTTCTCCATGTCTTCTAAATACAAATGTTAGTTGAGATTTCAATAAGTTGGGCTTTTAGTGAGTGGGATTTTTAGCACGATTTCGTTTCTTCTATCTACGCTTCTACCATTTTTCTACCATTTTTCTACCACACAATAAATAATTGAGATCTACTGTGAGCTAATTTACTTCTAATTTCTATTCCCTTATTGAAGATCAGATTGATTAAGATCACACACTGGTACATAATACCTAATAACAGCATTTAGTTATAGACATAAGAATAATTATGAACAGTGTTAACTAATATACATACATTTTAATATGAACAATAAATAACATAATTATCCAATGTTAAAGAAAATATGTTAGCAATCACGTAATTTATAGTGAATGTTATTGCTTTGGTCGAATAGGTGTTTATTTACAATACTTTATACCAGAACTTACATATCTCTCATAACTCTTTCATGCCAAATCAGGTTTCAAAACTTGAGACATCAAGTTGCTTTATGTGATGAAAGACATGGAAACATACATAGTTTTGAAAGTGAACATATATCACTGTAAAACGTTAAGAAATTTAGAAATATACCTAATAACATCATATATAATAATGGAAAGATAGAATGAAGCCTAACAGAATATGTAACTGAACCAACTGTTTATTCGATACAGTATATTTCACATACACGTGTATATATTTAAACAGGAAATTACACAAAGTTTCTTTATCGAGTTTCATTTGTCAATTTTTGTCATACTACTTCTAAAGGAGATAATTTAGCGGTTGGTTTGTTGTAAAGTTTCTAACTTTTAGAAAGTAGATACAAAGAGTGAATCGTTTTAAGACCAAAAATTTCTTCAATTTTCACTTTTTAAACATGAACACTGATGAACATAAAAGAACGAAGAAAAGTGTTAAGTTATTTCTATCACGACATGGAAATCTAAATTCCACCTCTCACCAATGTGTTCAATACTTTACTTAAAGTAGAATAAATCACCTTCATAGTTACTGGAATCAAAGTATATTTGAATCTCTTTGGAGGGGACAGACAATAGGCTTTAGACAATGTTCATATTCCGGCATTATACAACCATAGTATATATATATATCACAAGTAACATTATTGCGCCGTAGTATAGAAAGACATTTACAAAGTACTTAATCGACGTATATTATACTTCTGTACACGACCATTCATAAACAAAATTCTACTGGTGTCGCTCAACTGGTAACACTGAAGAGTTGTTGACACTAAAATATATTTTGTACCCTGTCACCCTGTCCCTGTCCCTATTCTTTAAACATACACCATGTCTCCTATCGCTTCCAAGGTGAAATTTGTTTTACAGTAACCATCAAGGAGTAATCTGGTATCTTTATTTTATATCGAATTTCACCATTCTCCAAATAATAAATCATCGAGCTACCTACAATTTCTATTTAATACTGTTTCCGGTCTTAATTTTCAGCCTTATTTTCCCAATGCTCTGCCTTTCTTTTAATCTAGGCTATATATACTTATTGTTTTTACGAATTCCATATCGACAGACCCAAAGATAGTCTATTTCTCTCTTTTGCTTACAGACTACAGTTAGCTGACCTAAACACCTTATGATTATATATATTATTGCCTCAAGAGCATGTGCTACCGTGCGGCTTTTGGTTTTGGTTGTATTTCCTCTGGTGGGTTTAGTTGGAATTGCTGTGTGCCTCTTTCATTATCACATTCACTCACTAACAGTTTATGTTCATTGCTATCGTGGTCCAGACATTTATTGCTGTTCTTCAGCTGGAGTCTTTGGTTCTCCTGAAATAGATCATAAAAGTAAAACATTCTTGTAAGCATGGATGAAATAATATTTTTGTGATAAACAATTTTCAAAACTATTGCTATAGTTGTTACGAATTTACATATCCATGATGTAGACCATTTGACACTCAGTGCCGTGGTACTGGTATTGTACAGTGGACCTGAACAAGTGATGATCACTTTATAGACCAGATCCACTTTGAAGAAAGTTAAGGTCAATGCTGTAGAGAGTAATTCACTGTGATGTAAACATGTTGGTGAACTGATTGCAGGGATTTATAGAAAATGGACATTCTAAAATCAAATTACAAATCCTTTTTTTAGTGTTTGCAAATCATTCTAAAAATACATAATTCTCAATAGCTTTTATTTCGATATTAATTGTCACTAACATAAAATATATATTTACACATTACCGAAAATTCCATACTGCATTATCAAAAACCTTTCCAAAGTTTTTTTATTCACATCGAGGTAGCAGCTCTGCCTTCTTCAAAGTCACCTTTTAAAGGCATGTGCCATCGTCATCTACTTTTTCCGAGGGCTCATATGCAAATCATTGCAAATAGTGAGCAACGTGCAATTAATGCCTGCTGCACATGAGGTCTCATTTCACTTGCGTTTTAACTGCGTCAATGAAGCTTATTGCATATGCCAGTTGTTGAAAGCAGTGTTTGCATTGCTCATTTCGCATTCAAGATATAAATCTCTCATGGCGCATAAGACACAGCGCAAAGTCACTGACGCAATTCTACGTCAGGCAAAAGACACCTCGTATGCAACGGACATTACTGAATGCATTGTACATACCTTATCATGAACCCAAAACGATGGCCATTGAACTTTATTGCACTTGTCTATTCTGACCCTTGACCCGTCCACGTAGAAGCAATAATCATTAAACATGATTTGCCCGGGGCCTGTCAGACGAAACCTCTGGTTACCTCCCATACCGTGACAATAGTAAACACCAGCCTAGAAAAAAAAATATGAACATAAACCATCATAACTTATTTATTCTTGACAGCGTTTTCTCCATACGCGTCGGAAATAATTTTCCATTTTCATGTACTGAACCCTTCAAAATTTGACCATGGTTAGACACAGACAACTAATACAGAAGTCTTGTACGGAGAAAACACATCTGACAGAGATTCGAACTCACAAACTCTCGGTGTATGATGAATGGACCATAATTCAAATGAGCACCCACATAGAGATGAAAGCAATTGTCTTTACTTGTTATGTTCTTCAGTAGGGACATTCCATAGTTATGGAATGAAACAGATATAAGAACGAATCCCTGTTGAGAGGGGCGCCGGAAGTGGGGGGGGGGGGGGGGCAAAATGCATTTTCGCCCCCAACCCCCCCCCCCCCCCCCCGAACAAAAATGAGCAGTAAAGTGCTTGTTGACATTCGACATCAAGTTATATTCAAAGTAAGCACTTTGTATTTAAAATGAAAAGAAGTATATGGATATTTTTATACTAAAAGTTCAATGAAACCTCCTGATCATCCACATAGTCGGATGTGGATGGGGGTGGAGACAGGCCAGTCTTGATAATTTAAAGCCCAATGTTACATACATAAAATTATTATGCCATTAAAAAAGAAAGCACTTAAAAGGTCTTTATTTTCTTCCTGCTACCTTTTTGAGCGTCAAGTAACGCCTGGCTATCTGTAATGCGCTTAGAGACATTGTATTAAGCGCTATATAAGCGGAATATTATTTTTATTATCCTGGATCTACCCTTAGAATCCTCATCATCCTATGAACTAACCTCTCCTCCTGCTGTTGCCTGATGGCCCATGCTATCTACACACATTCCTGTGTGGTCCGACTTGATCTGTGACGAAGAAATACACAAGAAATTTTGTTGGTACCAAACATTTATATATTTAAATGCAGTGTGACGCAATCCCCTTTCTTAAAAAAAGTTTAACAGTCTAAGTTTTACAGTCTAACCGCGGCATTTTTTTTCTTTCTTGATTGAAATTCTTCAGTAATTTTTTGTAAACAGTACGCTCTCATTTTTGCTGTGAAGTGAAGGGACATTTTGCAACTTATCTATTGATTTTACTGATCCTTAAAATATTGGTTAATTAGGTTAATTGGTTAGATGAAGAAATAGAAAATAACACTGGAATATAATGCATTACGAAAGTGAAAGTTTACACCCACGAGCTTTTAAAGATAATTATAGTCTGTTCCATATCAAAAGTTGAAAATTTCCTTTCTGTCAAATCACCAAGTCCAATCCTTATCTCGCATCCATACTAAGATGGTAGTTATAGGTAATATATTTCACTTTGAACTGGTGGTAGGTAGTGGTGGTCTTGTATCCAGTTTTGAATCATAATGGATGTCATTAGGCCACCCTACCCACCTCCATCAGAAGATGGTGCTGATGATACGACCAGAAGAAGACAAAAACGAAATGTTCCTTACCTCTCCCCATGCCTGATTAGGTTGTGGTGGAGGAAACTTCTCTAACGAATCAAAGGCTACCTCTTCCATGAACCATTTAAAACTCTTGGGACAGTGGTGTTTCCTGAATCGAATTTGTTCCCCGATGTCACCGTATGGTTTCCCGCGTAAATCAGGTCTAGAGGTGTAGAAAAATTCTTTAAATTCGTCCAGCCAAACTTCAGCTACTCGCATGTAGTTCTAGTAAAAGAAAGTAAATGTTGGAAAAAAAACATAGTCTCTTTATATTTCAGCTAAAATGACAATGACTCTAGCGGGATAATAAGAAATTTAAAATAGTACTACCAATAAATAAAGCAACAAAAGCTGGTGTATCGTAAAACGTGGACAGACATTATAAAATGAACAGACATTATAAGACCTATACGCAATCACTGTTGACCAGTGTTTCCATTTTTTCATTTGCAATGATTCATTGATATTACAACATAAATAAATAAACGATACAACCTAAAGAGTACGGAAGGTTGTATGTAAAGTATTGAGAATCTGTCATATTCTTGAATGATTATTTACCATATGAATAACGCTGACTCCTGGCACGCCTGAATCGGGATAGGTATAGGGGACGCCCTTCCGATACACATGGCCAACTCGAGAACACGGGACGAACTTTAAGCTCCCTCCACACATCCAAGCCTGGGAATTGTAAAATGAGAGAAAAGAAGAAACAGCTGTTGATACGATTGGCGGCAGATAAAATACAATGTGACGACTGCTTCCACAGAAATCAATTTAAAAAAAAAAATCAATTTGAGTGTACAGAATGTAACTATAAAATAAATTGATACCACGTGTTATTTTAGCGGTAGCATGGCTTTAAAAGCAAGCACAATAATGCTGATGACTGATATTTTTACAATATAATAAAATGTTGATTGAATTCTAGTCATTTTGTTTCCAGGTTAGTATTATATTATTGTCAGCTGATCTGCACACCTGTAAAATGATGGTTATTGAGAATTGATGAATCAAGTTCAAGTAGAATGGAAATAACATAAAATTCAAAAATTCGAAAATGAAACAGAAGGCCTAATTATGTTTATTCAAAGGCGTATCCAGTTCGGCGTCCTCCTTCTGACAATTGCCTAGTTGGTTTAGTTCAAATACTTACCTTAAATGAAATTTCAAAGTTTTCCCCGCCCCAAATTTGAAGTCCTGGATCGTAGCCTCCAAGCTCAAAGAAGAACTCTCGGTCGAGTGCGAACAGACCACCAGCCATCATTGGTGAGCTGATATTAGATAAGATTAAATAAGAAAAGATTTTGTTTAATTACAGCCATTGTATAAATTCTGAGTTGTACAGAATTCGAGTTTTTTTTTTCGTCGTGGATGTTTGGTTCACTCTTTAGCTTTAGTTTAGTGATTTGGAAAATGTATGTAAAACTGAGTCACGACTTGAAGCAACTAATGTTGCAGAAAACGAAAATTAATTTAGTAAGTAAAGTTATTTTGTCTAGAGATTCATCTGTTCGTTAATTCATCCTAAACCAAAATGGGAATAGCATAACAATGGTGTCAAATCATAAAGTGTAATAGAATATAATAGAGGAAATATCAGAATGTTGCATGAAAGCATTGATATGACAAATTGACACCAATCTACTCCAAAAATGTCTCAAGAATATGTAGCCCTACTCGTCAGTCGCTACTATTCGGTTCATCAGAGATTCACTGCACTCTCGAATTTGACAAGTCACCATGATAAACTTTGCTCTATTGAAAGCTATTCCATGTATGACTTTGAGATATATATATATATATATATATATATATATATATATATGTTTCTTTTAAATTTTAGAGACTTACTCGTACGGTTCACTTTGATACTTGAGTCCTAATCGTTGTCTACTCAGGTCAACTGGGATCCGTTTATACCAGAAATCCCAATCCATCGCACCCCGGCACAAACCATCCCCTTGCGATCTATACTCGAAGTTATCCGCAGATATAGAGTCGACAGTGGGACAGACCACGGTTGTTCTAGTAGGAAAAAAACCAATAGAGAAAAGAAGAACGTTATAACAAAATAGAGACACGTGAATCAATAAAATATGACCTATATACAATCAGACAAATTATTCTCCTGTATTGGGTTAATTTCTGTGTCATTGTAGTTACCGACGTTTTTAGGAATCAGTGATCACTCTTGAAAATGAAATTATTGTATAATCATGACTGACTAGTTCTCCTAAGCTAGAGATCCTATATTTTCCATGTACATGTACCTGCAATTTATTTTCAGTCATAATTGAGAAACTTAGCAAAGAATCGTCAAGTACTGTCTTTTTAGAACACGTAATCTCTAAACGAGATTATTAATTTTAATTTAAAAACAATCAAATATGTCATGGTAATGTCATCTTTTATCAACCGATTAAAAATTTAAAACATAATTCGTGTTCTCATCCGACGAACGACGATTGTGACTACCTCAAATTCTGCACTGTGTGCAATTTAAATGGAAAATTTATGACGATGTCCTGAGCTTTAATGGCTAGAAAATGTTGTCAAATTGTCCTCTTAAAGTAAAGCCAGTACCTGTTGAGGGCTATTTCTGTAAGCAACGGGACGAGCCAATTTGGCGAACATTCACAATGGGCGTCCAGGAACGTGAGCACTTGACCACGTGACTGCTCTGCGCCAAAGATGCGGGATCGAATCAATCCTTCACGTTTGCTGTTGCGGTAGAGTTTGACTTTACCCTGTAATTGAGGTACGTCCATGTATTGCTGGAGTCGGGCTCCGAGATTGGCTAAACGAGAGAAACAAATTTAGTTATTACTCATAAAATATCCATCATGTAGAAATGGATTTTACTTGCATATTTCCATCGTTTCCACTATGAAATATAACATTTATACAGTGGCGGATCCAGGGGGGGGGGCGAAACGGCCGCGGCCCCCCTATTGGCGGCGCAAAAGGAAGAAAAAACTAGATGGAATTTTGACTGCGCGCAGTCGAAAATGATGCCTCCGCCATAGAGCAATTTAAACAAGTTTGGAGTTTAAATCTCCAGTGGTTCTTGAGATATCATGATAACAATCTCAATGTATGGAATTTCATAAGTTGACCTCTGTGACCCTTGACCTTTGACCTACGTGCTCCAAAATCTAATCAGATTGTCTTCCTATGGTGATACACACTATCATTAAGTTTGAAGTTTAAATCTCCAGTGGTTCTTGAGATATTATGATAACAATCTCAATGTATGGAATTTCATAAGTTGACCTCTGTGACCCTTGACCTTTGACCTACGTGCTCCAAAATCTAATTAGATCGTCTTCCTATGGTGATACATACTATCCTTAAGTTTGAAGTTTTTACATCTCCAGTGGTTCTTGAGATATCATGATAACAATCTCAATGTATGGAATTTCATAAGTTGACCTCTATGACCCTTGACCTTTGACCTACGTGCTCCAAAATGTAATCAGATTGTTTTCCTATAGTGATACACACTATCACTAAGTTTGAAGTTTAAATCTCCAGTGGTTCTTGAGATATCATGATAACAATCTCAATGTATGGAATTTCATAAGTTGACCTCTGTGACCCTTGACCTTTGACATACGTGCTCCAAAATCTAATCAGATCGTCTTCCTATGGTGATACATACTATCCTTAAGTTTGAAGTTTAAATCTTAAATGGTTCTTGAGATATCGCGCTAACAAACTCAATACAAGGAATTTCATAAGTTGACCTCTGTGACCTGTGACCTTTGACCTACGTACTCCAAAATCTAATCAGATCGTCTTCCTATGGTGATAAATACTATTCCCGAGTCTTAAGTTTAAATCTTAAATGGTTCTTGAGATATTGTGATAACGGTCAAACGGGACGGACGTACGGACGTACGGACGGACGTACGGACGTACGGACGTACGGACGTACGGACGGACAACCCGAAAACATGATGCCTCCGGCACCACCTTCGGTGGCGGAGGCATAAAAAGAGGAAGAAAAAAGAGAAAAAGAGAAAGGAGAAGAGAAGGAAAAGAAAGGAGAAGAGAAGGAAAAGAAAGGAGAAGAGAAAAGAAAGGAGAAGAGAAAAGAAAGGAAAAGAGAAAGGAAAAAAGAAGAGAAAGGAAAAGAGAAGAGAAAATATAAAGAACAAAGCCCCCCCCCCCCCCCCTCCCTCCCGGAGGGACCGAATTTGTGTTCCCAAAATTTCAGATAAAGAGGTACTTTTCACGCAACAAAGTCCGGCCCGTACTGACTTTACACACCGGAGATAGAGGGGTGCTTTCAAAGAGAGGGAACATACATGTGCGTACCTTAGATAACACTGAGTGGGTGGGGGTGGGGGGGGGGGTGGGAAAAAGAAAAGTCGGGTGAGAAAGGGGGAAAGACAAGGAAATGGGACATTTTTTTAGGTCAGCCATTGGTATAATTTAAATTGGTATAAAAAATCAAAAGGGGGGGGGGGTTCACAAAAAACCATACACAAAACATATACATAAAAAAAAACTCAAGGGGAAGGGGGGTTTACCCCCCCCCCCCCCTGCGTACGCTCCTGCCTCGGCGACAGAAATGGTACTATTCCTGCCATCTCGATCCATAATTTCAACTAGAACAAGAGGACACTTTTTTTTTGTTAACCCCCCCCCCCCCCCCCCTTTGGTAATTTTCTGTGTGTAAACCCCAATAACCCCCTTTATTTTTTTTATAATTTGTTGTTTTTTTAATTTTTTTATTCCCATGGCTGACCTAAAACAGGTGACCTTACCCCCCCCCCCAAGGGAGCAAAATGTCAAATTTTCAAATTTCGAGACCCCCCAAAAAAAATTGTCGGCAGGGGCGGCGATCCCAGGGGGACGGGGGACACGTCCCCCCGGAAATCCGAAAAAGTGCAAAAAATTAATAGCAAACACTGACTAAAGACTGCAACACACTTATAAGCTCTGGAGGGCCCAAGAGTACAGCGTTTAGACTAATAAAAATGAAAAAAAATATTCTCGCTCGTTCGCTATAGCATCCCTTAATATCCTTCAAAACATACAAGTAAATATTGTAGAAAATCTATATTCCATTGGTATCACGTAAGCACAGTTTACACTGTATATTTACAAGATTAAGAGTTATAGAAATAGATCAGTGCTAGTGTGCTACAAAAATGAATATTCCGCTTGCTCTTTTCAGTAAGGAGTAATACAAGATATTAAGTGTATATATTTGCCAGGCTGATAATTTAACATCGGTAGAGCAGTGGTCTTGTAATCAGTTCAATCAGATGTAATCAGATTGTCGATCCTAACTTGTTAATACAAACTTACTTTTATCGCTGAAGTCGTCAACTAATATTATTTCATGAAGTAAATAAGGGGGTGAGGTGTTGATGACGCTGTGCACGGTTCGAAGGAGGGTTGACCATCCCTCGTTATGAAAGACCACCACCACCGTCGTATTTGGAAGATTCTTTGGATAGTGCCAGTATTTGCATCTAGAATGACAGAAAGATGATTAATTAATATGCTTCATTAAAGGGTACAACCAGTAAGTTGACAGACCCGCACCTTTTTGTGATTATGGTTCATTGTTAGATTTGATTGGAGATCAGTTGAAGGCTCGATGTTTGTGTGGTTATATATTTCGTTTAGGATTGGCTATACATGTATATGTCCACGTGGGCAATACTATTCTAAAGACGTTTGAAATAGTGGCAAAGGAAAGTGAATTTATTCAAGGTTAATCTTCAAATTGCATATCTAAATAAATAGTTTTCATTTTAGAAATAAGTCAATGCAAATGTCATGTCATTTGAATAGCACAGAAATGACTTCCTATACAAATTAACTTTACTAGAACTGGTGCGTATCATGCTTATCAGTACTTTTAGCAACATGATGACGTTAATTATACTAAACCAAACTTCGGGTAGTTAGAAAACGGATATTTTGCAACAAATCTATCTTTCAAATACTTTTTGTTCTTGTACATTCCAAGCTTATTACTTGTCCAACAGGACACCAGCGTATCAAAGGGAGGTTGAGGAGGGCGGGGGGGGGGGGGGGGGGGACATCCATATCATGTATTTCTGCTGGCAAAAAAGTGTGCGCCCCATTCTCACTTTATTGGTATAGTCATTTATATACATCCTCCTACAACTTACAAGAACATGCCATTCGCTACAAATTTAAGATATTTCTAAAAAAATACATGTTGAACATGAGACGACATTTTGATTAACATGCGCTAATTAAACACCTTAAAGCAACTACATGTACCCGATCCCCAAGTAATTCAACGCAATATATGTTCATTTTTCATTTCAATCATTGTTTGTATACACTCAAAAATCACTGACGGTTTCCTACGTCAGGCATAATGACGCATCGTAAACTCCGAGCGTATGAACTTACTCGTCATGTCTGATGTCATTGACGGCCCTGTCGAGTGCGATGCGGTCGCTGATGACCATGTTGAAACCATATTCTTTGAGGCTTTGATCATATTTATCCTGATCGTTGGGGTTCAGCATGACGGGGCGACCATATTCCCCTGCACCCTGGCGACGTTCATCTTCAGGATGGGGCTCGAAGTTCCCGAGCGTGCCTCTTAGGACCGGGGGCTCCACGAGGAGTGTCTGGTTTGGAGATAAACAAATCGGGATGGGTGGATTTTTTTTTTGTAAGTACGTATAATTATGTTATTATTATTACATTACTATGCCATCCAAATCTGTTTATTCATTATGGGCCGTTCACACATAACTATTAGTGCGATTTGAATCGCGTTGCAAAGATCGATTTTTATATCTCACTTTTTTCTGTAGGTTTGAACGCCCCTTATATAACAGAAACTAAATGCCAAATCTCCCCTCCTCCTCCTTTGTCCCTCCATCTGATTTCCCATTCCTTTTCTTCCATTTCCTTCTTTCCTCCGACTTCTTCCCAACCGTCTTCCAAGTCCACAAGTTTAATGCTTTCCAACATACTGGGGTGTAACCTGTGTCTATAATGAATCAATAATGTTTGTGAATGGGCATGCAGCCTTGCTTTATTCTTGACCCCACCCCGCCCCCCTCCTCTCTCTCTCTCTCTCTCTCTCTCTCTCTCTCTCTCTCTCTCCTCCCCCTCCCTCTATTTCTCTATCCTATCTCGTCCCCCTTTCTCTCTCCCTCCATCCCCTCATTCTCTTTTTTCTTTCCTTTATCGTGTTCATTGTCCCACCCCCCCTCTCTCTCTCTCTCTCTCTCTCTCTCTCTCATTTATCATTCAATTGGGTGAGATGTGCCCTCGTGCCCATCTAGTGTAGTTTCAGGCAACAAGTGAGCAAATTCCAGACAGCAACTCTTCACCGTATCATCTTTTGTAAAAATAAAATCAATTAAGTGCATATTTTCAGTTTTAATCGATTGTCTGAGCCTGAACCATTTTATCCAGACAACAATTGTTTTGAACTCAATGAGCAATTACGTTCGTAAATGAGCCACGTGGCAGATAATAGGAAAGTAAATATATTTTCCTAGGGATGTACGTGCTAATGATCATGTTATGTGTGATATAGAATTATTCTGTCTCTGCGTGCATGTCGAAATGACGATACTAAATGTTAGTGCTGTTTTATATAGCCTAAAATTCATTTATAACAAGGAAATACAAAGGGACACACATGCCCTCCTTCACATACAGCAGATTTTCAAGAGTAAACTGGAATGAGGATGGCAACGTACAAACTTGAAGCTTGAACTAAAACACAATGGGATAGCTTCTATCAATGTCCATCATAGAAAGTATAAAATGACTTGTATGATGTATTCAATTGATATGTGTTTTATTGTTTGAGAACAATGTACCATTCGTCCGTCCAAGTATGTTTGTTATTTATAGCTCGTGTGCATGGGGCCTCGATCGTTCATAATTCGAAGCACTATCAGCTTAAGCAGATAATTAGCTTTTATTTAAGGTTAGCGCGTGTGTCATCTTCCTGGACAATAATATGCGTCTGTCCAATCTTTCTGACAATTCACTTCTGATCTATTGCGGCAAGTCATCAGGTTCATGCCGGGTTGAATCATATCACCATTGAAGTGGATATTATAGTGTAAGATCATCAAGGAAGCGGGACAGAGTGTGGATACGGTTGTGTAGGGCTAGTGATACCTCACTGAATCCATAATATACCAAATTAATTTACATAATTATTTGTATGAAACGGAATATATATACGCCGAAAAGTTTCATTTCAACTTTCATCCACACACATAATTTTGGTGGTTCCAAGACTCTGGCCTGAGGGGAAAAAAATTAGAAATCTATACCAGAAGAAAATTAATGAATGAATAAGGTTATAACATTCATTATGTGTACCCCCCCCCTCTCCCTCTCTCTCTCTCTCTCTCTCTCCCCCCCCCCCCCCCCCCCCCTCTCTCTCTCTCTCTCTCTCTCTCTCTCTCTCTCTCTCTCTTGTGGAGGATGCTTGAATAGACCATTTTGTAATGTAACCAAATTTGTAAGTACATGGAAGTGCCTCGATACTAATTAGTTCATTCACGTGTTTATGTATAATTACGTGTTGTTAGGTCGCAAGCCATAATGTTTGTCCTTCCTATCAAAAGTTAATTTATGCAATTTAAATTCTGACTATTTATATACATGTATCTTATTCGTAACAGGTGAATCGAATGATTCTTATCGAGGCGCTAAGCTAGCTTAATTCACAAAGGCATATATGCATACATTTTATTACATTACGAAAATGGTCTATTCATGCTGGTGTATGTACATTAATAGGATACATTTACTTACTGGTGCTTACTTATATTAATTTTGTACGCCGGAACTTTTTTAAAGGATCGATGCTCCACGCCCCTCTCCCCTCCCCCATATCATATGCTGGTGCATATACAAGGTTATCAAGAGTCACTTCAGATATATTTTGTTGAGACATTCTATAAATACAATATACTTAGGGCGACTTACCTCCTCCGCCTGTATTTCATGTATGTCATCGTCCTTTCTTAACCCCCTCCATTCATCGTAAGGATTCCAAAAAGTTGAGTCTCGAGATGTGAATGATAGTAAGACTGGAATCAAAGTCAATAGTAATAGACATAATGCAAAGAATTTCGCACACCGCGATCGTCTGCAACACCTTCCTACCATTTTTTTTACCACGTCCAATGCAATTACAACGCCACCAAACGAAAGTATTTGCTAGATACAGCAGGTATAAGTACCACGATCAATAATTAACCACGCAATGCCAAAATGAACGTCGATCCGTGAAATACTGATATTCCATACACGTTTTCCGTCCCTCTAATATTCATGCTGAAGTTCAGACTGCAACAAAACAGAGAGCATAATTGTGTAGTGTGTCGAGGCCATTATTGTGTGTGATTATACTGTCTGCTAATGACAATCGGTTACCCTTCAAAATCATAGAAATTCACCACAGTAGGCTCACGTTGATCTGATGGTATCGTTGAACACAGTGTTTTAATTTGATACCCACATATATATTGATGACGATGAGCAGAACAGCAAAACGAGCCGAAAAACACAATGTGATACAAACGGCTCTGAGAAGTTCCTGGAGAAACTGATCTATAATGTCGTCTACGTGGGCTTGTAAAGTATTGTGCCAAGTAGTGTTCTGTGAATGTGTACCGGTGTCTATTCGTCATGAATAGTAAACACAAAGAATAAAAGTCGAGCTTAGACTTTGGCTTTTGTATAAACGCTGCACTGTTATATTCTTAGCTTTCGTAGTTTATTGTCCATGTTGACATAAGCACGTGGAATACAAACTCTGCATAAAAGAAGCAATCCCTATTCTACCAATTCCAAGACGTGGAATTTCTCGCAATTTCTTCTGTACTATCTTCCCAAAATTAAAAGACGGAACGGGGGGATATACTATCAGTTCTCAAGTATATCACAATGGTCCACTAACCTCATTTTCAAACAAATACATTGCTCCTATTATTAGGGCTTTGGGCTAGCTCATACGTTAAATGTTTATCTAGACACATGTACTTTCAGGTTTCAGTAATATAGACCAGTTTACTAACATATTCAAAGTTACTTGGCCTCTCTCTTTCCATTTAGTGTCGGTCTTGTGGTCGATCGTCTGTGCGGCCGGGTTATACAGAAGTATCATGCTATATTTTTTAATGTTACACTGAAATGTGAAACCACAAGATTGTAAGTGTGAAACAATATGATTATTCATTATTTTTCTGCAAAACGATGTAAAGCATATTTTGTGAATCATTGTGTTTTCTGACCAATAAAACTTATCAAGATAAAAAAATAAAAAAATATTCAAAGTGTATGCATACTTTTTAAACAAAGTTTGTTCTAGACAACCCGAAAGCTTGCCCGAGCCTTGGTCGACATAGCAACATGTATGTTATATGCAGACTGCATTCCGAGCACTGTAGTTCATTCATTTATAAGAGGTTAATGGAATAACTCGTCAAAAAACATCCATACAAATCCGTGAATATGTTAAATAGTAAACCGGTTTATTGCCGGTAATACGTGGCATCAGTTAAGTTGTATACAAAATAACTCGGTTTTATTCCTAACTTGATCTTTTTAATGAACCCCTCAAGTGAGAGTCGCTTGAAGAGGGCAACGGATTGTGAAAACAGAGTGTCTTCATACATTTTACAGAAACTAAGGCCAACAAAACAAAACAGGCAAACATCTAGTTGACCAGTAATTCTCCATATATTTTCAGTTGATTATTTAAAGAGCGTATTGTGTTGTTCTCACTGTAAGTATAGGGCTACTTCGTTTACTTTCTTTCCGCAAACCAGCCCGAACCATGTTCAAAGCAGCCCCTTTACGGAATACTGATTTCTGGTAGAATCTAATTAATCTAACTCAGTCGGATTGGTTCCGTTACAGGCGGAAGGCAATTAAACCTTGAAATATAAAGCAATATACATGAAACGCATTCAGGCATAGTCTTGATGGAATAAGCAAGTATGTTAAAATACCCGGAATATAAGCACATCCGCATTGCGCCATATAGCTGTCCCCTTTGATCGATATATAGGGAGGGGCCAACTCATGATCAGGAGGGTGAAAAAATATAGGGGTACTTGTCAGGGCAGTTATGCTGACTGACTTATCAATAGAGATAAAGGCAATTAACCACTCTAAAGGGCACCAGCACTACTCAACGCAAAATGCGATAAAATAATGAATAGATGACGTATTACGCGTGTACATTGATTGTTAGGTGGTACATGTAATAACTTATTTGTATAACTCTGTCCTCGAGAGAGGATTAGGCATACCGAAACATCGCATATTATAGATCAGAAGAATAAATTAAAGGAAAGTCGGAATATGCGACTGGGTTGTATTCTCATAACTCATTTCTAACGGGAGGGTATAGGGGGGGATGTTGCTTCATCGATCAAACTGTGTCTACCTTTTACTTCTACTTTAGAATATATTTAAGTCATGATCTGGTATATCTGGTGGAAATCACATTGCATTATCATTTTCATTACTCTCTGTTAAAATTTTAATCAATTAAAGTTATTTCATTCTCGTCGTTTTTAGAAATAGCCTTGGGTGTTTAAGTCAGTAAGGGGCCCATCCCCAAGAAAGAAATAGAGAAAAAACCCAAAGTAATGTGCCTATCATGGACTTTCACAAAGTACCTCTATGATGCATCCCCTCCCCCGACTCTCCTCTCTCAGTCTCTCCTTTTCTCTCTCTCTCTCTCTCTCTCTCTCTCTCTCTCTCTCTCTCTCTCTCTCTCTCTATCTCTTTTATATGTCAAAATGCTATCATTCTGTCTGTATTGATAATAATAAAACTGTTATTGTGTAATATTCTTGTCATTATGTAATATGTAGTAACTCAATTATTCCATTTCACACACAATAACAGTTATGCCAAATGCATCCATTAAACTTTTGCAGCATATTACAATGGAGTTGACTCATTAAAGACAGATCATATTACCCTTTGAAGTATTATTATTGTATTCAAAATTCAATTGCACAAAGAACATAAAATAAAAGTATGCTATAATGATAAAACAAAACAGAACTGAAATATAACAAAACCGAATGTTCCTGTTGGAAGTACATTCATTACACATTATTCCAAGCTATCCTATCTCTGTTACAACAGAAAAAGTCCTTAGTGCCTTTGCAAATAATTTGTTTATACAAATATTTCCTGATGGGCATAAATCGATACACTCAAAACGATTTTTTGGGTTGAGAAATAGAAACCAAGAATGAAATCCTTTCCCCCCTTTACATCCTTTTAAATTGGAAAGAATCAACATGAAACTAAACTATGCCTGGGTACTCAGAATAACTATTATGTTATTAAACATACAGAGGATAAACATTTCCTTCTCATCTGTGAAAGAGAATAAACACAAATCTGCAAAAATTGGATTTATAATGAGGATAACTCTTCTTACAGTTTTGTTGCACTGTACACTCAAATTAAAAGACTAGACAAATACAATAATATCGTGAAGCTCTTCCAAAGAGTCAGGTGAAGTGAAAAAGTGAATAAATGTCATTTTTATGGATATGAAATATAAACATTTCAATTTGTATGAATTACCATATAAATTACACAATTGAAAACTATATAATGAATAATATTGGTTGAATGCATAGTGTGCCTTATGGTTTAAAAAACTCAATGGAAAACATGTCTATGAAAGAAATGTAAAGGCAAAGAAAAAGTGTACAAATAGTACAGTCACCACAAATATATTCTCCTACAGAAAACAAAATGTATGCCTGAGTTATAGCTCATTATGCTCATACCCTTTTAGCTCTTTCTATGAATCTAGTAGATACATCTGGAATATGTATAGTACTTATTAGAAATTTTAATTAAAAACATTACACAAAATGCAAATACAAGCAATACAAGCAAATGAATACATTCACAGTGGATAACAAATGTTTAAACCTATTGTATCAATGGCTGATGATAAATGAACACAATAAACCTTATTTCAAACATACACAGAGAATGTTTTGTACCACTAATACTTGCTGGTGAATGCAATTACAGTGCTTGGTATAACAACATAAACAAATTGAGTTGAACTTTACAGATATATATTTCTCATTTCAGTTTGCTTTCATTCAACACAAATTTGTGTGCTGGTAAAAGTATTACGGATAATAGCAACATCAGTTCAAGAGTCCTAAACTAAATATAAAGCATTTCTGAGGCAAGAACTTGAAACAGGCAAATGCGTTTATTCTATTGAGAAATAAAAGCATTTATATATTTATCCAAAAGTGACAATAAGCCCCTGATTTATAAAGAGTTGCGATTGATAGTCCTCCAATCAATCACAAGTTTGCAAACTCCTATCTCTTATGTACGTAGTTGCGATGGATATCAATTGCAAATAACTTGCAATTGTTATCAACTCTTTATAAAAATGGGCCCCAAAAAATTGTTTGAAAGAGAGGGGTATTTGTCATATATTACGCCATCATATCATATATACAATACACTTCTTTAGATCAAAGTAATCTGTCAGAATTAAAGATATTAATAATACAATTTAAACTTGTGGATAAATATTGACCCTTTGTCAATACACTCTTTATGAATAGCTGGGGGGGGGGGGGAAGGGATTGTTACTTTGAGGTAGGACTATGGGCTTTCGAAACCACAACTGAAAGAAGTACAAAGTAAACAGGAAATACAATCAGTCAACTTTAAATACATTCATAGAGGTGCCTATTCTAACACAGTCTTCCAAAGCAAATACATAGGCAATGGCAAGTTTTTACAAATTCAATATGACATTGGAAATTTAGGTCAGTTGGAGGTTTAAATCAGTGTTACACAATCGACACTCGTTTAAACTTAATGTTAATACCATACACTACTATCCTCTCTCTCTCTCTCTCTCTCTCTCTCTCTCTTCCTCTCCCTCTCCCTCTTTACTATCTCTGAATGTCTATGTCTAATATAACTCTCTTCTCCCTTTTCTCTTGTCACCTATGTAGTAGATAGTCTTGTATGATGGTTGGTATGGGTAGGTTTCTGATAGCATTCTCTGTATACAGTCTGTGAGGGCCGAGCCTACCCCTTACAACCATACGGGACAGATGCATCAGTGAACGAGGGCAATCTGAAACAGAGATCATTACATACATCTACATTAACCTTGTTCATATAAAAGACTGCTTAAATTAATTATAAATCCTTAATAAATCATATAATCATAACTCAATCCATGAATTATTAAAGGTCAACACCATGTTAAATTTAAAAGAGAAAAAAGAGCCCTGCAAATAGTTAGCCTTGAGGTACCACATATTCTGAATGCTGGGGCTTACTCTTCCTCTACATGATATAGTGTATAAATGCAATTTGTAATTTGGAAGAGACATAAAGATATTCAGTTTTCTAGCTAAGATGTAATTAGTGTTTGATTTCATTGCATAAGCCCCTTACATCCCTTCTCAAAAAACGTTACAAATTAACTTCCAATATGCGATGTCTCAATGCTGTGCAATTATGTGAGACAAAAATGTCAATTAAATTGTATATTCATCTTGATCTGGTTGATATAATCTGATTTTAGTTTAACACTAATGTCAGAGATTTGCCGGCAGAGTTATCTCGGGTCTAGTATCCAATGTTTTGAATTAGATGTTCACTCACCAACATGTGGCTTGAGAGCATCCATGACATATTTACAACGAGGTTGAAAACTGACATACTGCCACCACAGCCTGACGAGCGCCTCAAAGAAGTCCTTCTGGTCGACAGCATAATCCCTCAGAGGACAGTAGCACTTGGTGTCACCCGAACAGTCATCACACTCAGGCTCCAGCTCCTGGCCTCGATCTAGGAGGAACTGGATTGCCTCTAGGTCCTTGGAACGAGAGAATACCCTGGAAGGGGGAAAAAGAAATTGAGAGAGAGAGAGAGAATGAATGTGATGGAAATAATATATGAGAAATACTTTTTCTTGAAGGGACCTGTTTTTTTACAGAGCATTGAGAAATGGCCATGCAGTGGTACACCTGTATATCTCAATCAGTTATACCAGAAGGAGAGACATAGATGACACTCACCAAATGATGATATTAATAATAATAGTAATAATAATAATAATAATAATAATAATAGTAATAATAATACAATAAGAAAAACGATAATAATAACATCTATAACAATAACAATAATAATAACAATACTATTAAATATGTTTTATAGTCTATAGAGTGAAAAATCCAATATAAATCAGTAGTTTTCACTGATTTCAAAACTTGTTAAGAGTTGCGATAAATCCAAATCAAAAGAAAGTATTCTAATCAATCACAAGTTTGCTGGTCCCTATCTCTTATATTCATAGTAGGATTGGGGCCCAGGACATACACATAAATATTGATTTCACAAAAAGTAATATTTACCTAAACATGGTCCATTTGGAATGAGGACATCTAGCTCCCTTGCAATGCTTCAGTAGAATGTCTAAGATGTTAATACTAGGGAAGGCAGCGTAAAAGGGGCACTTGTAGGCTGTCACAGGGGGGAATTCCCTGCAATTAGCCGACGCCCCAATGGCAAGCATATCTTGGACAAGATCTTTCTGCCTCTCCATCACAGCCATTGTAAGCGGGGGCAAGAAGTGGGGGCGGGTGTTGCGCACTTTCTCTAACTGATCTCGAGGGAGCTTCCAACCCGTGTTCACATCAAAGCCATGTTCGATCAGGAATTTGACGGTTTCTCTTTGCCCGCCCTCTATAGCTAGATGGAGGGGTGTGTCGGGGCAGTCCAGTGTTGTGTAAGTATCATAGTGGTCTAATAGTAGCTCCAGGCATCTACAAAGAACAGATTATAACAATCCATGATTATTTTGATTTTCAGCAGTTCTTCATATACATGCAATCAACAACAAACAAATCAAAGATATATAACAGAAGCTACAATCAATTATAATGGTGCTTCATTGTTTCTTCTGCAATCTTGAAAACTCAATATTGTCTCTAAAATTAATGTCCATTATTTCAGAATCAATACTTTCATGTATCCTTGATTAATTTACACTTTACCTCCAGGCTCTAAAATCAATGAGTTATCTTACATTATTCATCATAAAGTTCATGTGATAGGATAGTGATTGTGAGATGTTTTGAACAATAGAACAGCCCTACCACTGTTAACCTTATTTGAAGACCAAAACAAAATCATTCTGAATCTGCATTTAATGACAGCGTATTGTGAACTCACTGATTGTGTCCTTTGTATGCAGCGACATGAATAGGTAGATACCCGTCTTCCACTGTTATCTTTGGGCTCGCTCCCCTCTCCAAGAGCAATTTGACTATATCAACATAATTCTCCTGAGTAGCGATGTATAATGGAGTAGCTTTGTCCTGAGCCTGGCTGTTGGTATCACCTCCTGTAATAAGACAGGTAAATATGACATTTGTATGCAGCATATCAACAAATGTTCCTTGGTAATTACATCTTCTACCATCTTTATTGCCTAAAAACCAGAACTTGTGCCAGAACCAGTTTTAGGATTTTTAAGATTTGTAGAGTATTTCAATGTAGTAAAGAGTAGAGCAAACCCAACTAAAAGGCAAAACTATCAGCTGTGGCTTTTAGGTACTGTATTAACTTCACATTGAATGAAGGACACAAATCACTAAATGTTGTGGTTTAGGTGATAGGTCAGATATGTCAGTGATAGGAGACAGTTCAAATCCCAGCTAAAGACACTGCTTATCTACATTTAAGCAAGGAAGTACTTCCATTAAATGCTTGAGCACCATATCACAGATATTATGAGGTATAGAAGCTTTGCTAAAGCTAGCATATCATTAGCATTCTGTGCCTACAGAGTTGAAATATTTGTCAATATCTTTATTATTATACAAATGTACCGTAGTGTGGGTATATCTACATACCTCTATCTAGGAGCATAGTGAGGCAGTCAAGCTTGCCATATTGAGCTGCTACAAAGACAGGCTGAATACCATGATCATCTTTTGCTCCTATGTTGGCATTAGCATTGAGTAAATATTCAGTGATGGCTACATTCCCTTGGCTAGCGGCCTCGTGTAGAGGTGTCCAACCATTGTAGTACTTTGCATTCAGGTCTGCCCCTGCCCTGGTCAGGTGCTCCACACAACGGATGTGGTTCCCACACACAGCTATTCATGTAAGCATAGGATTAAAAAGAAAAGGGTATCTATCGAATAAGATCACATTTACTTCACTTGAATTTACAAAAAGAAATATTTAGTTAATTAATGACTAAAAATAAAACTGGACAATAACAGCTCAGACTGACAATGAATCAACACAACTTCATATTACAGAGAACTAGCGTACTTAATAGTAGTTTCTCTCAACAGTGATTCCATAGCTAAAAATGATGACTAGCTTTCATGACATTTCTTCGTCTACGTCACATCCTCGTCTCCACCACTTCATCGATCTGTGTGCTTTTGGAAATTATTTGTATTACAACTATCCACAACGCTGAAGTATTGCTACGGTTTAGGAAGTGTTCACTATAAGAACCTGAAAGAGTGAATGAATAAATGAGAGAGAATGAGAAAGAGAGAGAGAGAGAGAGAGAGAGAGAGAGAGGGGTGTGAGGGGGGGGGGAGACTCAAAGGAATATACAGGCAGTAAAACAAAGGACAGATACATTATGATATACAAACACACACACAAAGCACATCGCCACAAAGACATGAAGATTGTAAAGAGGAAGAGGAAGAAGTTGAAGTTATTGAGGTACCTTGTAAAATAGAAGAACCATCTTCATTATTGGATATATTTGGGTCTGCTTCATTCTGCAGAAGTACAGAAACTACATCATGGTGACCTGCTTTGGCTGCCAGAAACAGCGGTGTCTCTCCCTCAAAGGTCCGCTGGTTAAGCTCATCTTTCACATCTACATGCAAAACATAAGAAAGAGCAGTTGAATGCTACTTCATTTCATTACATCCACCTCATTCATCTTTTCTTCATGCTTCAAATTGAGTCGATCAAAAGTTAGTATTCAAAGGGTTAGGGACATCAGAAAAAGTGAGATGGTGAAAAAGGTTTACTCTTTCAATATAATTTTTGAGAAAGGTATTGTCAACAGCATAAAAGATATATATATCTTCTTTCTTTTTTTTTTTAAACACAAGAGCTATCTTAAGATCTGGGGAGGCTTTAAGCCGGACTTAACTATGGCAGGTCGTTCACGCCACTGTTTGCTCTCACCATTTATTGCCATTGGTCTCTTAAAGGACGTACACAATTACAAATCACGGTCACAAATCTACAGAATTAACTTTTTTTTATAATTCATTATTGAAGAATTTTTTAAAATCTAAAGATCATAACGGTGAGAGCAAACAGTGGCATGAACGCCCTGGCATAGTTAAGTCGGTCTTCTTCTTTGTGAAACACCCCCCTGGTATTGTAATATTGAGATTTCTTCACAATTATTGCTTTATTTTTATCATTACTTTTTTATCATTTTCTCAGTCAACTTTTCCTCATTTATGAATTCCATACCTTCTTCATCAAAGTGATTAACAAGCAACTGAAGACACTGTACATTGCCTGCTGCTGCTGCTTCATGGATAGGCCTCCAGCCTCTGTTATCCGGTGCATCCAGAGGTTTGCCTTGTCGAATCAGCCTCAGCAATCCAGGACGACTACCTGCCCTAATGGCCATTGTTACACTGGAGCAGGTGTCCAGGTACGTCTCTGTGAAGTCCATAGTAGAGGATCTTCTGCCCAAGAAAAAAAATAAGATAAATCATCTTAACCTAGATTTGTAGAGGTTCATCAACGTATGAGCATTTCAAATTGGCTGAAGCGGTAATGTCAATGTGATATAAAATGACTAAAAGTTCATTGCTCAGGAGGGTCTATTCTTTTTAGAGGACCTATCATTACATGCCATCTATAATATATTTTGAGTAGTGCCCCAATGGAGAAGGAACTTACAAGAAAAGCAAAAATAAATGATGTTACAATCCACTGACCGAACCACCAATTTGAGATTTGCATACACTTAGTGATCTTATATTTCCAACATTCATAACTTCCTAGCCTTAAGGGCTTGGTGATAATGTGAATATGATATTCATATTTTACGTTACCACCAAGCCCTTAAATAACATGAACTCTATGTCATGGAGGATGAAACAATTTCTGATAGTGATTCTGGAGGAGTGTAAATTAGAAAATTGGGTAATCTAAAGATATGTGCTTGGCCCTATTCGACGCACTGGAGATTTCTCACTTCAATTTCTAAGCTCACCCGTCTTTGACCGTCTACGTACCTTACACAGTTTATCCCCCATATTTTTTTTACAGGATTCAGTGAGGATTGTGATCTAAAATGGTCTTCTATTATATTAAACCTCAGGCAGAGTGTCAAACATTTTTTTAGCTGATAAAAACTGTCACTGGTGTTATTTCTGCTTTTTCATTGTCCCTTTGTGATCTATCTATTATAGGCCTATATCATCATTGATTATTTATTCAACATTTCAAAGATAAACATGATGTCAACGAAGAAGTGACTCCCCCCCCCCCTTGCTTGCACTTCCACAAGTTTCATTAAATAATTTACTGAAAACGTACAACTCACAACGACACAAGGCCTCATACACTTATTGAAGAAAAAAAAAAAAAAAAAAATCACAAATATTCAAATGAATTATGTAGTCTAGGCCTAGATCTACACATCATAATTCATACATGTACTATTTATCTATAGACCTAACTAGTAAATATTATGACCTTAGAAGTAAGAGTTATGCCAGAAATATGGTGCCTGCGAGTGACTTTGTGCCTACTCTTGGCTAGATCAGCAGATCAGTAGATTAGTATATCATTAACAATGTTTAGTAAATAGTCTACCGGTATCAGAATAGGGGCCTAGGGTCTATATACACATTGACATGATGACATCGCTCGCAAGGAAGTGAATCCGGCGAGTCTGGCCAGCGCCAGGCTATAATGGAATTCCTATTAATATTATGATAAACAAGATGGGCATGAAAATGCAACAAGTCAGTCACTCACTGCTCAGCTCAGCCAGGTTCAGCTGATAAAACTACCTCTCAAGACTGCTCAAGTAAAGAAATTAGATGCAGCGAGGCATCTCCACAAATCCCTTCGCCTTTTTTCTCACAAGCACCTACTATCAGAAGAGAACTGAAATTAGAGGTCATATTTATCGAGCACTATCTATGGTGTCTCATAAGCATACACTAAAAGGCAACTGGGCGTGCACATAGTAAAGGTGATTCGAGATGTGACATAATTAAATGTTTAGCCCGATGTTTAGAAATAAAAACAAAAATAAATTGATTGAAAATACAAAAAATGTAGTACATGCATGGGCTCTAACGCGCACGAACACAGTCATGGCCATCGGGGAGGGGGGGGGGGGGGGAGGGGGGCCGGGCCCCCCTTTGAGAAAAAAAAAATCATGTAAAATCACGTGATTTTTACCTTTTTGGGGGGTTGGCCCCCCCCCCCCTGGCGCTCAATGGGGGGGGGGGGGGGGTGCAAATTTTAAAATTTCCGAGGACCAAAAAAAAAAAATGTGCTTACTATCGTTTGGTCTTCACTGAACCACGGTTCGTCTACTACCCGAAAACAATTTAGTCTATTCCCATACGGTCTGTACACCCAACCCGGCGTCTACTATCCACATGGTCTAATAATCATTTCGTCTACTTAATTATCATTTGGTCTATGGACCTTTAATAGTCAGTTGGTCTAATTTCCATTTGTTTTCAATATAGCCTCCAATAAGCCTACTACCCGTTTGGTCTATCACTCATTTGTTCTAATTGCCAGTCAGTCTAATTCCCAGTTTGTCAAATGCTCATTTCGTATACCATCCATAAGGTTTATATAATATATTATTTATGATTAAATGTACCATAAATATAAAGTGTGAAATGATATAATAGAATAGAGAGATATATATAATAATAATTTGACAGAATATGGGACTGAAGAGCAATGAACTCAGCTGAAAAGTCTATTTACAATGCACAAAGTCTTAGGCCTACGCCTCATCAACTAACAGCACTTTTTTGTTTTATAAACAGCAATTTTAGAAAATATGTTTTTTATACCAGATTATACATATTACAAAAATCGGTAGGCCTTTACATGGTCAAACTCACTGGTAAAGAAGTTTTTTTTCCACAAAATGAATATGCCCGAAATTTAACAAGATCGGGAAATACAATATGCTTACCGTCGCCGTTTCATATAATTAGCAAAAGGTGAGTAAATGATGTAATTTCAATGTATGTATGTATATATATATATATATCATGATAGGCCTATATATCTCACTTTATATATATAAATGAGTTTTATAAATAAATCACTTTGTAACTGCCCGTAATGTGCGATGGAAGATGTACATATTGTTGACTTCTTTGGGACTAAATTAATTTCCTTAATTGATTTAATGTCAAGTGTTATAACACTTGACTGAACAAGATGTCAAATACCATTATCACTACCGAGTTTTAATATTCCTAATTTTATGCAAAAGAACGTCAAGTAACACGTAGGCCTATAACTTAAAGGTAATATAAAGTTTTGGGAAATTTTGATAATTGGCTGGATATAGTGATTACTTACAATTTTGATATATTTGGATGCCCCTGTAGATGTATTATAAGCATTAGAACATTTAGCCTCTAAAACACTTCAGCTTTTGAGATAAATTAAATATAAAAATTTCATAATATGTAGTTGTGATATATAATTTCCAAACGGGAATAAGTTGGTCGATTTTAGTCAAGAAACAAGCAGTGGTGATTTTGCATTGAGTAGAAGCAGATGATTCGGAGTTAAGGCTTCCACATCATTTACATCACTGGACACCTCAGTGATTGGCCGGCTGTTCATGATGCTTTCAATCTCACAGAAGAGTGTATGCAATGAATCATCATTCAGGGTTTGCTGCTTAACCAAGGAACACAGCAGCTTCCTCACAGTTCGGATCTGGCGTTCCCACACCCCTCCATGATGACTAGCTGCGGGTGGATTGAATGTCCATTTGATATTCTTCTGCAACAATGTATCATGTATCTGAGCCTGGTTCCAACTTTGTATTTCGGTCCTCAGTTCTCTCTCTGCTCCAACCAAATTAGTGCCGTTATCAGATCTAATTTCTCTCACATTTCCCCTGCGTGCAATGAAGCGTCTGATAGCATTAATGCAAGAGCTTGTGTCAAGGGAATCTGCCATCTCAAGGTGCACTGCTCTCACAGTAAGACATGTGAATAGCACCCCATATCTCTTTACGACACTCCGACCCCTTTTCACTTCCAACGGTCCAAAATAATCAATTCCAACTCTTGAAAAGGGGGGCTCATCTGAAATAAGCCGGTCAACTGGCAAGTCCGCCATCTTTTGCTCAAGAACCTTCCCTCGCTGCCTTCTGCACACAACACATCTAGTCAGTATCCTTCTGATCACAGAGCCAGCAGCAGGAATCCAATATTTCTGGTTGAGGCAAGACAACATATGATTTCTGCCACTATGTCCCGATGCCTCATGGATTTCACTCAGGATAAGCTTGGCGACATGACTATCATTGCGAAGTATAATTGGGTGCTTCGCCTCCTCTTGCAACATTGCCTTGCCAAGCCTTCCTCCTACCCTCAGTAGGCCATTTATCATCCTTGGGTCTAGCTTGTAGATTGGACTTGTCTTCTTGACCAATTTACAGCTCTGTTCTTGGTGTGCACTGTCATTCTGCTCAGCCTGCAAGGTTGACATCTCATGAGGGAAGCTGACTGCTTGTACATATTGCAGAATTTTCTCCTCTGCGTCCTTCATCTCTTCCACCACCAAGCTTCCATGCAAAAGTTCAGCTGAAATGCCTTCAGGACCCTGTGTACATTTACATCTCAGCCATTTCAAGTACCTCCGTAGCCAGCAAACTGCTTTCTTCAACCTGTGCCACGAGGAGTAGTGTTCAAGAAGTTTGTTCATTAAGGCAGTTTCTTCTGAGAGAGTTGTCATATAAACCCCAGCCTTGTCCTTGCTCTTAACTTCAGGGTCGCCATCTAGACTGACATCATTTAAGACTTGACTTGCAGGCCTTGACTCATTCTCACACCATAAGAAGCTGGGTCCACTCACCCATCTCTCGCTGGTTGTTAACGCCTCAGCTGTCATCCCTCTTGAGACATCGTCAGCCGGATTCTGCCGAGTGTTGACGTAGTGCCACTGCTTTTGGTCAGATCCTTCATGGATTACTGCAATCCTGTTTCCGACGAATGTGTGGAATCGTCTTTCCACATTCTTGATATACTGGAGCACTATAGTGCTGTCACTCCAGAACACAGAGTCACTCAGGGTGAAGTCTAGCTCACGTCTCAGCATACCATCGAGTCTCACAGCAAGCGTCGCTGCCATCAATTCCAGTCTAGGTATCGTAACTCTCTTCAGCGGAGTGAGCCGAGTCCTGGCCATTACTAGACTGCAATAGACCTTGCCCTCCTGGTTCGTCACTCGGAGATAAGAGGCCACACCATATGCCCTCTCTGAAGCATCAGAAAAGTGGTGCAATTGGTACTCCGTCACATCTCCGAAATCATGAGGCTTTAGGCACCTGCTGATGTTGAAATCCTCCATAAGCAGCAGATCTCTCTTCCAGTTCAGCCAGCTCTCACGCTGCTTCTCTGGCAATGGCTCATCCCAATCCAATTTCATAGCCGTGAGCTCTTGCAAAATGATCTTGGCATTCAACACATATGGGCTTGCAAATCCGTACGGATCATATACCGAGGAAACCTCACTCAGCACTCCACGACGGGTACAGGGCTTGTGTTTCGGGGTGATTCCATACGTCATGGTATCTAGTTCAATGTTCCATTTGACACCCAGGGCCCTCTCAATCGGTAAGGTATCATAACTTAAGTCGAGTCCTTCCACTTCCTTTGCCCTGTCATGAGCAGGCACAGACTCCATTACCTTTGGGCTATTGCTTAGCCACTTTGTGAGGTTGAAACCTCCTCCTTTCAGCATTCTCTTCAGCTCATCTACGAGTTGAACTGCTTTATCTTCTTCCTTCACTGATACCAGGCAGTCGTCAACATAAAAGTTGCGTTTTACCACGTTTACTGCGTCTGGGGAGAATTCTTCGGCTTGGTCTTCAGCGGTATGCCTCAGTACAAAGCTGCAAACACTGGGACACCAGGTCCCTCCAAAGAGGTGTACACACATCCTGTAGACCATTGGCTGTCTCTCAATATCTCCTTCTGGCCACCAGAGAAACCGCAGCATATCTCTTTCATCAGGCGGGACTTGTACTTGATGGAACATCGCTTGGATGTCCCCCATAATGGCAATCGGCTCCTGTCGAAACCTCAAGAGAACACCCAGAAGTGTGTTTGTTAAGTCAGGGCCTTGCAAAACTGCATCATTGAGCGATCTTTCCTGGTATGTAGATGCACAGTCAAACACAATTCTTGTCTTGCCCGGCTTGTTAGGGTTCTCAACAGGATGGTGAGGAAGATACCAAACAGGTTTGCCTGAACCTGCATTCCTTTCTTCTACTCTCTCTGCATATCCATCCTCCACCAATCCTGACATAGCCTTGGTATATCGTCTGTGTAGATCCTCATCTCGCCTCAATCTCCTACCAAGACTCTGTAGCCTTTTCTCTGCTACATATATGTTGTCAGCCAGTTCTTGGGGTCTCTCTTTGAAGGGTATAGACAACTGGTAGTGATCACCCTTCTTCTGGATACTATCCTCCCAAATTCTCAGAGCTCTCTTGTCATTGACAGACATACACTTAGATTGTTCTGCTAGCGACCCTGATTCAAGTGACCAGAACCTTTCCACTTGAAGCTCCAAATTAGCATCACTGGAAATAAAGCTTGACGATATGTCATGGTCTCTGTGCCGGTTCCCAACTGGTCCATTCACGGTCCATCCTAATGCCGTCCTCACAGCATAAGGTTGCCCGGGTTCGCCATACTTAACGTCCTTTGGTACCAATACTTCTGGCACATCTTGTCCAATTAGTAGCATGACGTCTTGAGGTCTAGCAGCCGGTAGATTCAGATCTGCAAGGTGGGCAAATTGGCGAATGTCACTTCTATCAGCAGCAAGTGCACTGCTAACATTTATCTTCTCTTTGGCTAATACATGATGGAGACTGACTCTATATTGAGTTGACAGACTTTCAACTTCCAGGTTGACTGCTTTACATGTTGTGACAATCCTTGACTTGTCTAGAGTCGACATGGAAAGGCTCTGCTCTGTGCCTTCAGCCCCGATCTTACGCGTCAACTCCAAAGTGCAGAATGTTGATGTTGAACATGTGTCTAACAAGGCATAAGTGTCAAAATACTCCTCTTTCCCTCTAGCTCGTACTCGAACGGGAACAATAGGTAGCACTACTTTACTACCGGCCCCTATGACACTACAACTTTCTTCAGCAACATGAGAGGATGACGAGTGATGAGTAGTTGCCTCTGTTTCAGATGACGTTGGTGAATTCCTGGCATCACTTGATGACTCTCCGATATCCCTCCGAGACTCCGTGCTATCAGTCTGTGAAGGCTGTCTGATAAGGTGTAGAAACTTGGTGTGTTTCCTGTTACACCCACTTACTGAGCATGTCCTATTTAACTTGCAGTCCCTGGTCACGTGACCTTTCTTCAAACAATTGTAGCACAATCTTTCCTTCTGGGCCAGTTTAAGCCTGTCCTCAATCTTGAGTTGCTTAAACTCACTGCAGCCGAATAAGGAATGCTCTCCACCGCACTGAATGCAGCTCCGTGTCTTGCTGCCTTCAGCATCTGTACTAGTAGTAAAGACCCCTCTCGATGTCTTCCCAGACTTCTTAAATGCTGACATCTTACTGCCTTGATCTCTAATTGTCAGCCTACCGAAGACAGGGTCATTCTCTTCATCTGCAATCTGTTGCAAGAATGCAACCAAATCCGTAATAGCTGGAAGTCGACCCTCTTTTCTAGCTCTTCCTACAACTTTTAACCATCCTGTCCTCAGATGGTATGGTAGCCTCTCTACTATCTTCAGCAGAACATGTTGAGAAGTCAGCTCAGATGCCTGACCTACTGCTTCTAGCGTCTGCACACAAATCTGGATTTCATCCGCCATTTCAGCTAGTCCATGTTTGTCTTGTGCAGCAATGTTCTTTCCTTCAGTAACCTTTCTAAGCCAGGCATGAGCAATCATTACTGGATTTCCATACTTTTCTTTGAGTAGAATCCTTGCCTTGTGATAGCCCTCTGTAGGCTTCATAATCATACATGGTTGAAGCAACTTCTTAACGTCGCCAGCACAATAGTGCAGGAGGCGTGTCAGCTTGACAGCGTCGTCTACTGAAGTTTGGTCAACACTGTTCTCAAAGGACCTCCAAAACTCATGGTACTTCAGCGGATCACCTTGATAGGTAGACAGAGTGGCATGAGGAAGGGATACAGACTCTAACAGCCCCCGCTGTTGTCGTTGTCCTTGCTCCAGTAATTGCAGCAGCAGCATTTCCATCTGTGTGTGAGGAGAAGGTACAGTTTCGTCCTCATCTGGCTTCATCATAACAGGTTTGTAGTTATTCGTGATTGAAGGCACAACGAATGACCTTGCGGGAGTAGGTCCACCTGTTCCTGCAACAGACTGTGCATATGGAGCATTATCTTGCTGATACACCCTCTCTTCAGCTTGAGCAACCTTTAACTGGGTTTTCAGCAAAAGCTGGGCTTTGCGTTGCTTCAAGCGGAATTCTTCCATCTCGAGCTCCTGTTGCTCTCTTAAGGCTTCAGCTTCTGCCTCAAGAGCAGCCCTTCTCGCCATAGCCTTTAGCCTTGAGGACTTGGATGACGTGGAGATAGTAGTGCTTCCCCCACATTGGCTCACTGAATCATGCGGTGTGATGTCATCAACGTTAACAGCACCACCAAGGCCAACCAGCTCGTCACTGGACTTCACAGTCTCATTATTACCATCTTCACTGATGGTATTCATCTTGACGTTCTTGACTTGTAGCTCTCACTACCAAGCTGTTGTTGAACTGATGTGATTGACGATTGACGATTGACGATTAATTCACTTAACCAAAAGACACCATTGACGAATGAATAACACAGCGACACCCTTTTGTGATACCAAGACTCCAAACTGGCAGGTGCAAGATTCAACAACATTGGGCTTGTGTCAAAATACCAAAAAATGGTGCACTTTCAGTGCCGATAACTAACTGCAACAACGTGTTTTAGTTTCCCTAACAAATTCGCAACTGCCCTCTATGGCTAAACCCAAAATAACCAAAACTTCGCTTCTGACGTCATAATACCCCACATCGTATGCAACAATCACTTTAGACTCGATTTCAACCGTGCCAACGATCACTGAGTATTGTAGGATCGCATATACTTCCAATCAGTGTTCATTTGAACCAAATTCATGACCATTCCAAAACTTTGTATTACCTTTAACTTCTTTTTCTTTGTTTGATATTATAAATGGCTATTTGTCAAATGTGACTAATGTTGCCATACTTGCCAATTCCATCGCATCTCTTTCTGTCTTGGTGAAGAAGAAAAAATCCAATCTCATTTTAATAAAATACTCAGTCATAGTCTACCCATTCAATGTAAGAAACTGAATACGCGGGATGCAGAACCGAATCGGTACTTCAAAAAATATATGTCGTAATTTGGAGTAAAAGTAAATACCAAGATAGTCTATGTCGTTCCTGACGCAGCAAACTTCAAATCAAACTTATTGAGGTTTTTTTTCTGATTTAGTTGTCCCAAAACACAATTTTTTCCTTTATTATTATATCTTTAATTACATCACGGTTTCAACGAGACTTTTCGGTCGGCAGATTCAAAGGCTGAAGGTCAAGAGGTTATGTTATTCAGAAAAGAGGCAGTTTCAAACCAATTTGTGTTTTTAGTTTAGTCACCGGAAAATCTGAGTAATCCATCGTATTTTGCCTTTCCATCATGGATGCTGACGATGGTTTCTCCCTTGGCTTATCAGGACGAGGATTAAGGGGTAATATATTCTATATGATCTATGGCCATGCAAACAGAAAGAATTGCGACAAGCCGCCCCACGGCTCCCTGCTCTGACTTCTTTAGTTACCGATAACGGCTCACGCTCCGCCTGGCCGCCCCAGTAGCGCGTTGCCGAGGCGGCGGTGCGCCTTAGCCTTAATTGACACCCGTTTGCATTTGCCTACGATAACGCGATACGTGAAGAGGGATGTAAACAAAATCTCAAGTTGGCAGATGTGCACTTTACTTTAGGGGAATATATTAATCTAAAGTAAAGTGTATGCTATTGCTAAAGGCTAACTTCAGGGAGAAAACTAGACGCTAATAATAATATAATAATAGTATGGTGGCCCTGAAGGGACATCGCGAATAGACTAAATCGTGAAAAATATGCGATAAAATTCACGATATCGTCAATTTTATCGCATATTTTTCACGAAGAAATTCACGAAATTGACGATTTCGTGAACTTTATCGTGAACTTTTCACGATGAAATTGACGATATCGTGAATTTTATCGTGAAAAGTTCACGATATAAAGTTCACGATATCGTCAATTTTATCGTGTACTCTATCGTGTACTCTATCGTGTACTCTCCTGACGGGCGCTTCGTAAACAAAACCAGCCCTAGCTGGGGGAGACAGAAAGAAGGAAAAAAGGGAAAGGGAAAGAGAAGATAAAAGGAAAGAAAGAATAATAAGAAGAAAAGAGGGAAACGGGGGGGGGGGGGGGCGAAGGGCTCTTGCCTCCTCCTCACTCCCCCCCCCCCCCTCCCCGCCAAAAAATAAATCAGAGAGAGAGAGAGAAGGGAAAGGGAAAGGGAAAGAGAAGATAAAAGGAAAGAAAGAAGAGGAAGAAGAAGAAAAGAGGAAAACGGGGGAAGGGCGAAGGACTCTTGCCCCTCCTCCCCCCCCCCGCCAAAAAATAAATCAGAGAGAGAGAGAGAAGGGAAAGGGAAAGGGAAAGAGAAGATAAAAGGAAAGAAAGAAGAGGAAGAAGAAGAAAAGAGGGAAACGGGGGCAAAGGGCTTTTGCCTCGTCCCCCCGCCCCCGCCAAAAAATAAATAAGAGAGAGAGAGAAGGAAAGGGAAAGAGAAGAAAGAAAGAGAAAAAAAAAAAAAAAAAAGGGAGAATAGGAAAGAAAGGAAAAGAAAGAAAAGAAAGGAGGCAAGAGCCCTTCGCCCCTGTTTCCCTCTTTTCTTATTCTTTTTCCTCTTCTTTCTCCTCTTCTTTCTTTCCTTTTATATTTTCTTTCCCTCTCCCTTCTCTTTCCCTTTATGGCGGGAGGGGGAGGGGGAGGTAAGAGCCTTTCGCCCTTCCCCCGTTTCCCTCTTTCCGTCTTCTTCTTCTTTCTTTCCTTTTATATTTTCTTTCCCTTTCCCTTTCCCTTCTCTCTATCTCTCTCTCTCTCTCTCCTATTTATTTGTTGGCGCGGGAGGGGGGGGGGAGGAGGCAAGAGCCCCTCTTTTTTTCTTATTCTTCTTCCTTTCCTTTTTTATTCTCTTTCCCTTTCCCTTCTCTCTCTCTCTCTCTCTCTTATTTATTTTTTGGGGCGGGGGATGCAAGAGCCCTTCGCCCCCGTTTCCCTCTTTTCTTCTTCTTCTTCCTCTTCTTTCTTTCCTTTTATCTTCTCTTTCCCTTTCCCTTTCCCTTCTCTCTCTATCTCTTATTTATTTTTTTGGCGGGGGGTGGGGAGGGAGGAGGCAAGAGCCCTTCGCCCTTCCCCCGTTTCCCTCTTTCCTTCTTATTCCTCTTCTTTCTTTCCTTTTATATTTTCTTTCCCTTTCCCTTCTCTCTCTTATTTATTTTTGGTAGGGGGGGGGGAGGAGGCAAGAGCCCTTCGCCCTTCCCCTGTTTCCCTCTTATTCCTCTTCTTTCTTTCCCTTTCCCTTCTCTCTCTCTCTCTCTCTCTTATTTATTTTTTTGGCGGGGGGGGGGGGGGGGGTAAGAGCCTTTCGCCCTTCCCCCGTTTCCCTCTTTCCTTCTTCCTCTTCTTTCTTTCCTTTTATATTTTCTTTCCCTTTCCCTTTCCCTTCTCTCTCTCCTTATTTATTTTTTGGCGGGTGGGGGGGGGGGGGAGTGAGGAGGAGGCAAGAGCCCTTCGTCCCCCCCCCCCCGTTTCCCTCTTTTCTTCTTATTATTCTTTCTTTCCTTTTATCTTCTCTTTCCCTTTCCCTTTTTTCCTTCTCTCTGTCTCCCCCAGCTAGGGCTGGTTTTGTTTACGAAGCGCCCGTCAGGAGAGTACACGATAGAGTACACGATAGAGTACACGATAAAATTGACGATATCGTGAACTTTATATCGTGAACTTTTCACGATAAAATTCACGATATCGTCAATTTCATCGTGAAAAGTTCACGATAAAGTTCACGATATCGTCAATTTCGTGAATTTCTTCGTGAAAAATATGCGATAAAATTGACGATATCGTGAATTTTATCGCATATTTTTCACGATTTAGTCTATTCGCGATGTCCCTTCAGGGCCACCATATAATAGACCTCTAGAATCTAACTAACTAGAATAGTTAGGTCTAGATTAGATCTAAGATCTAATCTTAGTCCACTCCAAATTTTATTAAACCAAAATGAAAATTCTTTTTGCCCAATAGAGTCATGAGCCCGGCAGCTACTGAGCAGCACCAGATCGACGTTGCTCTATCCCTTATTGTTGAACTCCAAACAAGGTAGCAGCAATTAGCAACTCCCATTTTTTAACGTCTTTTTTGGTATGATGCGGCCCGGGATCGAACCCACAAATGCAAAGCTAGGCGTTGGAGTTCCAGATCTTGATCCTGGATTCCTGCATAGGAAAACAATTCAAACAGCGGGCTTGGTCATATTTTTTTGAAATGTAAAGAAGAAGTAGTAATTATTATTTTGACTCGCAATGTTTTCCTACTCTTTTGGGCATCGAGTCAACCAATTGAAATTATAATTTGAAGATGTTATGGGAAATTATGGGTATACGGGCCGCACGCATGTGCGTACGTCGGGTTGCTTTGCCTGGTCGCACGTACGTACATGCGAGCTTGTATATAAAGGGCTTTTAGCCCGCTGCCCGGGGCAGAATTACCAGTAACCAGATAACAGAAGTATAGACTACGCATCGGAGTGCACTACAATCAACGGAGATCATCACAGCAAACAGCAAAGGACAGCATCGACGGATTCTGACATATAGTGACGACTCTGGTGAGTAGATTTTACTTTAGTGGCGCTGCGAGCAAGGTCGCTAAGTCCGTATATCGCTTGTTATTTCTTCTTCTAATTATTGTAGGTCGTAATTTTAGGGTTTTTTCCGTAGAGTAGTAGTTTAGGACCCGTTTTCTTAGCGATTTTTTTATTATTGGGTGTGGCAAGGGACGCCACGTCGGCACGCCCTAGACGCTATTTTTGCATTCCTTCTATTGTGTACCGCACCCCATACCCTATGGTACCTTATTGTTATACTGGGTTGGAGTTTTTCGGGTGCGTACCTTGTATGAGTGATTGTTTGAGGCTGGGTTTATCCCTTCATTTACCTTAGCTTTGGCGTATTATCTTTGATATTTTTAAATGTTTTGGGAGTGAAGTATTTGCTTGGTGTGATTTAGGGTTCATTCACGTCTTGTTGAAATTGTATTTTTCCGCCCAATTTCGGACTTCCGATTTTTTGTGAGTGGGGAGGGAGAGTGAACCACAGTGGTTTTTTATTGCATTGCTGCTGGAATTAAATCATCGCTAATTTAATTAATCATTTTGGAAGCAGAGTTGCTCTCTTACAATTAATTAATCTTTTTTGAATTAGAGTTGCCCTCTTACAATTAATCATTTTGGAAGCAGATCAAGTTGCCCTCTTACAATTTTAAGTAACGGGCTTCTCGCTCCGAATGATTTATTGAGTTCAATGATTATCGGCAAGGGCATATAATTAAATATACTGTTAGGGTTTATATTTTATAAATCGTAGTTTAAGTTACTGTAGTGAATACAAATATATATTTAAAAATACAAGTTTATTAAGCTGTTGAATTGGGTCTGAATGTTAAAGCAGTGACATAGTGACCTAATCAACGGCTGTGAATATTGTGTTTGAATATATTGTATTTAAATTTATTGATAGGAAGTTAATTAATTTATTAATCGTAGGGTAAGTTACTCCGCCAAAGATATATTGCGGGGACATACAAATATCTTTAAAGAATACAAATTCATTTAAGCGGTTGAATTTAGTCTGAGTGTCCACAGCCAGGGACATAGGGACTTTATCAGCGGCCTTGAATATTGTGTTTGAATATTTGGGTTTGAATTTGAATTATTTGAGGACAAGTCTCCTTCTTTGAATTAAATTCTGTACTTGAATGTTTGAATGTTTGAATATTTGAGTGTGAATTTGGATTGAAATTATTTGGGTTTGTTTATCAGGAAAAGTCTCCGTTTGTAAATTAACATTCTGTATAACAGAATAGTAAATAATTGTTTGCCTGATTGAACAATTCTCGCGTAATATTTTAATAGTAAGTTAGTGAAGAATTGTTCGTTTGATTGAACAATTCTCACGTAATATTTGTATAGTAAGTTAGTAAAGAATTGTTCGTTTGAACAATTCTCGCGAAATATTTTAATAGTAAGTTAGTCAAGAATTGTTTGTTTGATTGAACAATTCTTGCGCAATATCTTAATACTTAATACTAAGTTAGTAAAGAATTGTTTGATTGATTGAGCAATTCTTGTGCAATATTGTAATACTAAGTTAGTAAAGAATTGTTTGTTTGATTGAGCAATTCTTGTGCAATATTGTAATACTTAGTCAGTTTTTTAAGGTTGATAGTCACGTAAAGTGTATACTGTTTCTCCCCCTCGCAGGTCGCGACAGGGCCATTCTAGGCCCCGCGACCAATATGAGACTGTAGGTGAGTCGGATCGCAGAGGGAGTCGTTATCGCTCCCCTCGTTCAGATCGGCGAGGTAGTCGCCATGATTCCCCTCGATCGGATCGCAGAGGGAGTCGCCGTGATTCCCCTCGATCAGATCGCAGAGGGAGTCGTTGTGATTCCCCTCAAACAGATTGCGGCGGGAGTCGTCATCACTCCCCTCGATCACATCGCCGAGGGAGCCACAATGATTCACCTCGATTTAGCGAGCGAGGGAGTCGCTTTGATTCCCCTCTATCAGATCGAGGGAATCGCTATGATTCCCCTCAAACAGATTGCAGAGGGAGTCGTCATCACTCTCCTCGATCAGACGACAGAGGGAGTCGCTTTGATTCACCTCGAAACCGGAGGGGAGACCGGTATGATCATAGTAGGGAGCGAGAATATCGCTATTATGACCAGGATTCCCCTCGAAGTCACAGGAGTGACCGTAGTGAGTCAAGAGGCCACCGTCCTAGATCTCCTTCCCCCTATAGATCCCCTCGTAGGTCGCATGGTCCGCGTAGACGGGATCAGAGAGGGGAGAGTAGCGAGGGTGTAGAATTCGAATCGCCACCCCATGTGAGGAGGACGATGCACCCACCTACTCGGGACTCACAGTCACAGTCCGATGAGGCTCCTACCATTAGGAAATCGAACTTGCCCCCAACCCCTCCGGCACAAAGCGGCTTGGAAAAGAGGGTTGCTTCTCTGGAGGGCAAGATGGATAAGATGGAGGGCAAGATGGACTCAATAATTGAAGCACTGAAGACGTCCCTTTCAGTGATAGGGCCCTTACAGACTTCAGTCCAGAGTCTGGTTGACAGCGTGAGAAAGTCGCAAGCTTCTCCCGCCCGCTACCAGTGCGGGAAATTAGGACATTTTAAAATAGAATGTCCCGAGAGAAGTCCCGGACTTAAGGTTTCCTTCGTCTCCGAGGACCCGGGAAACGACTCTGGATCAGCATTGGGGTTGGACAAGGGTGGACCAGTGTACAATAATTCGGTAGCATTTGGAAGGGAATCGCCTCCCTCGGAAACGGGGATTACTGGTGTTTCCTCTGATGCTACAACTAGTGTGAACCCACATCCCGTTTTGGGTTTGGACAAGGGTGTACCAGTGGACAATAATTCAGTAGCATTTGGAAGGGATTCGCCTCCCCCGGAAACGGGGATTCATGGTGTTTCCTCTGATGCTACGATTAATGATAACATCCACGAATCTAAGCAGATTTGTGGCGGCCAGGACAGCATCGGTAAAGTGGAAGTGCCGGGGGAAGTTGCCAACCCAATCTCTAGTAAGAAAGAGCTTCCTTCTCACTCCCCTTCCGCGGGTGCGACCCATGGGGCCAGGCCTCCAACGGAGCCAAGCCCATGGCTGACACCCCCCTGGCCACCGCCTACCGGTCAGAATCCCGACAACCCAAAACTGGACATGGACAGATGTATGCCGCAGTAAGTCACCATCCGCTTTTAGTATAAACATAAAATTATGGATTGGTGACAAACCCATTCGGGCAGTAGTACACACGGCTGCCGAGGTATACTATCCTCGTCGCCAACTGGAATGATTGTGGGACCGGTTGATTTGATTTTGGGTGGCAGCAAATTCAGTGAACATGTTTGTGTTGCCCCAATCGATGATGACATGTTGTTAGAGGCAGACCTCCTGCGGAAACATCGTGCATACATCAATATACCGGATTCCTTATTAACCTTTCAGGGCGAGTGTATAGAAATGACCTGTGGCGAAGATGTGAATAAAAAGTATTCTTTGCGAAGTCAGTAACCATCCCCCCGATGGCGGTCAAACGGGTGCGATGCAATCTCGATTCATCGCGTACGAGGGACCAATTCATTGTGGAGCTGGATGTAGCCTTGACCGGGTTTGTCCCACATACTCTACATGATGGGAAGGGTTCAATACAGTTGTATGCTCTTTAAAATGGAATAAGGGGAAACTCATTAGTGAAGTTTTCAGAGCCTCTGTTTTAGAACCCGCCTAGAAGATCCGTCAAGTAGATTTGATGGGGGATGCACAAATCCCTTCCCATCTGCAGGGTTTTTGGGAACGGTCTTCCGAGTCTTTAATCTCAGAAGAACAGGGAATATTGCCTTAGCCTTTTTTGGAGGATGTAGTAGTGCTCGGCACCTCGTTCTCGTTCAAGGTGTTGGAGCGTTTTTAGGGACTTTATAGCTTAAGTTAAAGCCCAAGAAAATGTTCCCTTTTCCAACGCCAGGTAGAGTTTCTGGGCGGCGAGGTGGATGGAAGTGGTTTACACCTTAAGGAAGAACACATACAAGCTGTGGTGGGCTGGCCAACACCTTAATGTACTAGAGAGGTGTAACAGCCCCTCGGTCTTGTGAATTTCCATCGAGTCTTCCTTAAAGACTATGCCCAAATAGTAGGACCATTATATGGTCTCACCGGCAAGAACCAATTCGATCAAGTCCAAATATTAATGACCACGTACCGCCCCTGCTACCCAACTCTGTGGATCCATTCATTCTGGATACCGATGCGTCAGGCACTGCCATCGGTGCTGTACTTTCTCAAGTTCAGGAGGGACAAGAGCGAACTATTGCTTACGGCAGTTTTTTCCTTATCCCCCGAACATTGACGCTATGGCTGGAAAGCAAGCTCCGAGCTGGGACGAGGGAATCACCCCAGCCGGCTTCAGCTGCTGGAGAAGTTTCCCTTGCCCCAGCTGGGGAGTAGGGGAGAGTCGTGGTGCTCTTCTTCTGAAGAGCCCTCCCGCTCCGGGAGGTATGGGGAGGGGGCTTGGTGCTCTTCAGAGCCCACCCCTTCCGGAGGGTTTGGAGCTCTCGAGAGCCCACCCTTTTTAAGTTTGTATACCCTCCCAATATCCGGCTCTATTTACAAGCTAAAGACTATTTGTTTTTTATCTTTCGCTTGTTTTTATAGTCGGGAGGAATATGGGAAATTATGGGTATACGGGCCGCACGCATGTGCGTACGTCGGGTTGCTTTGCCTGGTCGCACGTACGTACATGCGAGCTTGTATACAAAGGGCTTTTAGCCCGCTGCCCGGGGCAGAATTACCAGTAACCAGATAACAGAAGTATAGACTACGCATCGGAGTGCACTACAATCAACGGAGATCATCACAGCAAACAGCAAAGGACAGCATCGACGGATTCTGACATATAGTGACGACTCTGGTGAGTAGATTTTACTTTAATGTCTTTGATGGGAAAAGGATTATTCCTTGTCCTAAACCAATTCATCCATTTTGTATATCGTTGTTTCAACATGGAGAAGAGAAAGTAGATATATACAACATGTTATTCATATGTGCTGTGTAGCTACCGCGCATGCATGCTTTGAATTTTTTTCGCTATGTTGAATCAACGATATACAACATGGATGAATTGGTTTAGGACAAGGAATTGCCCTTTTTCCCATTGAAGACATTTTCAAATTATAATGTCAAGTGGTTGACTCAATGCCCAGAAGAGTCGAAAAACATTGTAAGTCAAAATTTTAATTACTACTTCATTCCGAAAAAATATGACCAAACCCGCTGTTTGAATCATTTCCTATGCAGGATCTGGAGCTCTGCCACTTGGCAGAGCTTCTCTGATTAAATAGTAGGTCACTGCAAACTGAAATAATATAGGCTCTATCGTCTTAGTACATGTATTTTTCTGAATTGAATAGTTTTCCATCATAAAAATGACACACATTAATACCTGACTTACCCGTGATGATCATTATCAATATTATCAGTGATGAACAGGCAAATTTATTTTAAATTTTCAGTCATCAATGCTGTCGCTCATGTCTCATGAAAGAGAATCTTTCTTAAAATTACAGGAAGAGCTTCTGACTCTATTAATGAGCTGAGGGCAACACTAAGCAGCAGCCCAAGGAGGCGTACTGTGGGCAGCAGTCACCTACCGACACCTAGACAGTCTTCCTCAAGCCTCTCCAAAAACACATCCAGGAGATCTCTACATAGAAGCATCTCATCACCACGAGATCTAGAGGCAGGAAGTCTTCAAAACACAAGGTAGACTAAATCTCTTCTGTTCCTGATCCTGGTCCTTTGTAATGGGATATTACAGGCATCTGAAGGCATACAATACTGTTGGCTTCTGTAACCTAACTTATCACTGATATTTTTACTTTCTATATCTTTGCAATTACATGTAATACAGTAGCTCTATGCTTCAACGTCTTCTGCTATGCATTGCAGTTGTATGCAAAAGACAAAAGTATGCACAAAACGGTGTTTATTATATGTGACCCCTTTTCTCCAGAGATTTCTTGCTCATTCCCAAGTTCATCCTGCAAGAGAATCCTTGGTCCACAACTGATAAGTTCAAGTTAGTGAACATTCTATTGAAATAGGTCTTATAATGATAAAATTAACCAAAATTCTGATTAGATGTTGCGAATGTTGACCCATGACGGTTTTGTGAGATACTGTCATAATATGTGCTGAAGTAAAATTCAAGATCTCTTTCTGATATCACTGATGAAGAATTTTGTATATAAATGATAACCTTTGAATGTCGATTTTCATTTTAGTCATGAATTAATCTCTTGTTGTGTAGGTTAAGTGATAACAGGGCATTAGATAACTACAACAATGCTGTAGACAGGCTCAGAACTCTACTGGTAAACCATACTCACCAACCAAGCACACTGCCTGGCAGAGGTCGAAGGTCATTGGATGTTTTCACTCCTCAGAATAGCCAGCATGAGGTGAATATTTTGTTCAGTGTTTATAGTATGTACATGTAGTTGAACTTGGCTACCCTCATATTTTTTTTTTCTCTCACCTTCACTCCCTGTAGACTACAAATATTACAAATGTACTGTGAGAATTATTGTACAATAAATATTACTGTCATTTAGAGATAACTATAGATATTAATCATTGTACCTGGTTACATTATACTGCAACATGATTCAATATTTATATATGCTAACCAGCATGTCATTAAAGCCTTCGCAGGCCATGTTCAGAACATATTCATGCCTCTAATGTTTTCATGAATGATGTTGAGTGATCATACAAGAATATCTTTCCAATAATTGATTCCTGCTTACAATAGGTTCCCTTTGCCATGGAGGATACTTACTCCTACAAACAGTCCCCCAGACTTCCCTTAACAAGCAGCGTGTCTAAGGTACACAACGAACCCAACTCACAGCAGCTTCTGCAGATTATCAACAGCCAGAGTGCATACATACAGCAGCTAGAGGGAGAGAATAAATACTGCAGGGTAGGAAGAATACATTTCTTAAACGTTTTCAATTCTTACATGTAGTTCCTCATTTGTGTACATGTATGTTATTGCTTGAGTTGTTCACTAATTGATATCTCGGCCTGCAATTTTGTCCTTTATATGATATATACTTCTAAATGCTGACATTTAAGTAGTGGAATGTGTTAAATTAATGACAGAACAATACCTGTAGGTGCATAAGGATGAGAAAAGGTATTCAAGCAAAACTTTCATCGGATATTCAGCAAACAAAACACCCCCAAAAAATTAAAGAAATAATGAACGATTTAGTTCTGGAAAGTAAGTTTTGTCATACCCAAAACATGATCAGGTCATACATCTAAACTTGCACAAAGGCAAACTTGACATATTTTAGTAAAAGCTCTAGTATGAAGGTAATGTTATATCTATTATCTTATTGAAGATATCAAGGGAAATATATATGACACCATATTGTTGGCTTTGGTCCATCTCTTATTTTTTCGATGAAAGTTTAGTAATATCTTGTTTCCTCTTAATTTATACACTATGAAAACCAGGAAATGTACAAAGCTAAATAGAAATCCACTCATACTATAGTTTTGGTATTGATAGGAGGAGCTCCATGGTCTCAAGGGAAGGACAGAGGCGATTGCAGCAGAGAACATCAAGCTGAATGATGAGATGAAAGACATCCTCATCAAATCTGCACTGGAAGAAAGTCCTTTCAGACAGGTAAAGGGCACTTCAGTTCAGTCTTTATTTTTACTCTCTCAATAAAAAACAACATACATGAAATCTATGAACAACAGAGCATCATCAATAGAAAACAATACGGAGCAATAAGATAAAACAAATAATGAGAATGAGGGGTCAACACAAAAGAGCAAAAAGCCTTATAGTACTTTGACCTCTAATTAACAATACATACATAATAATAAAAAAGAAACAGATATACAAATGAAATAAGGAAACAAACATCCATTATAGAACATTTCACATTATGAATACAAACTTAGAATACAGGAGTTATAATTGCTTTTCAAATAATTGAGAAGGGCAGGAACTTAGAAGAGAGAGTGATAGAGAGAGAGGGGAGGGTGACAAACAGACAGACCAACATACAGACTAGGATGGAGATGGTGTGAGAAAAGGAAGAAATGAGAGATGAGTTTTTAAAAGTTTTGAATTGTCGTGTTAGACTATTTGCAAACAAATACAAAGAAGTCGTACATAATAAGCCAGTTCACGGTTGCAGTCTGAGCATGAGCAGATAAAGGTCATTGCAGAACAAATTTTGAAATACACGGAGACAAAATACTGGATATGTGCTCATGAAAGTTATGTAATCATTATTCATTCATGCACGTTCAGTGCACTCCATGATACACAGGTGGAAGTATTCTTTGAAAAGGGGGAAACAAAGGCTATGTATATAGCACCTCCATCGCTGTAGGAGTGATTGTTTAAAAAATGTACAAAGTGGGGCCTTTTCATGTTTTGAAGATCTGTGGATATTCGGGGTCATTGAAGTAGTGTGCTAACCGTGAACTGGCTATAGTGCAACCCAATGTCTCAGTTAGTATAGAACTCTGTAGTGTAAGCAATTATTTTGTTTCTTCTTCATACCATCTTTAGCCTTACTCTGACCTTTCGATCCCTTTGTAATGCTTGAATCTAGGATGAGCAGTCAACTCAAGGTAACCTTGAAAGACAGGACAACCAGAGGCAACATCAGCAAGCTCCAGATAGACTCATGTTTGCTCGGTGGAGTGAGGATCTTGTAAGTCATATCAAAATCACTTGAAAACAAAGTATTCTTCAGTGTTTGAATGGTCCATGAAGATCTTCTAACATGTCAGAAAATATAAGTTAGAAATGTATTTGTTGTCAATCGATACACGGTTACAGGGTGTCAATTGACCAATTAGGTTGCCTTTATTCTTGAACCCATTCTATAGAAATTCTTGTATTGGTAGTGTGTTGATTTAAAAGGTTTTTTTTTCATTTTAAATGGCAACAATGTGATTACATTATATGAAACTTGTGGGTTTTTTTAAATATTCTCGGCGTATACTATGAAAAGATTATTGAGATAAACATTCTTTTTCTTATCACTGCATGTTTGTTTTTTCTGCAGGAGAAACTGAAGAAAATGCATGGTATTCGTGTGAAGAGATTGGAAGACCAGTTAACTTCAACAAAGTAAGTTGTATTGAAATACATGTACCATCATCAATGAAGGTATGATGTGATCTCAACTTTGTATCCTTACATAAATACATATATTAAGCAGAAATTACTTCTTTAGTATCTTTGATTAAGTCCATGCATTTACCAAAACAAATCATATCTTTTGGAAAATAACATATATGCTTCATGTGTTGCTCTTCTTTTGTACTGCAGATCCGAGTTGATAAACTATGAAAAACAGTGCAATGAGCTGAAAGTGAGGCTTCGGATGGCTGATTCTGTGAACCTACTATCAAGGAAAGATGGTCACATCAAGGATGGTCTCTGTGTACGATGCGCTCAAGAGGAGGCTGTGATGACAAACCCCAGTCAACCCATGGACACCACTACCATTCATAGGATAACACAGTATGTAATATCTTTCTCTCTCTTTTCCTGTTCTCTAGCATCTCTCAAACTCTAAATACGTATGTAAATGCCTAATGGCATGCTACTTCTTTCTCCTTATGGATATATATATATATATATTTTTTTTTTTGGGGGGGGGGGATGTCACATTTTCCTTTCCTAACCTTTAAATTATTGTGATTCGATGAGCAGATTTCCGGTGAACTTTGTTAGTAATTTTTAGATGAGAGAAAAAGAAGCTAATTAATTTTTAAACAGACAGTCTTTTCGTAAAAATATTTTGTCATTTATTGATTGAAATTAGATTTATCTACAGTAATTGTAATTTCAAATAGAGAACAAATGAGCTGTTAAAGTTTTGAGAAAAAAATATATTCATGAATATTTAAAAAAATTATCTTTGAATCTCAACCTTTTAACGATTCTATTACCATTTCTAATCCCTCCAGAGAAAGGGATGATCTGGTGAGTCGACTTACAGCTAACCAGGCAGTCAAAGAAGAAGCAGAAATGAGAGAAGCTGAAGCTTATGACCAGGTGCAGCAAAGTATTCAACTAGTGGAACAAGCTCAGCTAGAGAGAACAGAGGTAAGTAGGCAGGGATGTATTGATAGAAAGAGGGAGAAGGAATAGAGATGAGAGTTTAGGGATGGTGGGGAAAACAGGTTTAGAAATATAGACTTACATTGAAAAAGAACAATGTTTTATAAGAATGGTGAAGAAATGTGGATCGTTTAATAAACAAAACATTGAATGCAGAGCAAGTGATATAAGGAAGAAGGGAAATGATATGTGTGCAACAATCTGAAAGTAAATGATGGCACTAATTTGAAGAGCTTTTTGGAAGAAGTCGGAAGAGATCTTTTCATTCAAATTTGAGGAAGCCTGACTATAATCACTTGCAACTTCTCTCATAGAAAATGAGATACAACTGGAACTTTTCATGCAGTGCTCACAAATGAGAACAGAATGAACATATCAAGTGGATATTGAGATTATGACTGAGATTTCCCTCATGCTTCTATTTCAGGCCTTGGTACAGACAGAGCAAGCTAAAGAAGACATCGTCAGACTTCAAAGCAGAATGGCTGACATGGTTACAGAGCAACAAGAGAAGCTACAGCTTGAACGAGAGGCAACCAGGAGGGAGAGTCAGGAAGAAATGGCACAACTCAATCACAGAGTGAGTTCTTTCTTTCTTTATTCTAAATTTAACATTCCCTCATTTTCCTTTGGAAGTATTCTTTCAAGGAATTAGTCCTCCTATGTGAGTACAGTTTTCTTGCAGAAAAAGTTTTTAAAAATCTGTATTATTAGAATATGAAACTCAAAATTTGTTGATGATGTTTTGCTCTGACTTCTGAAGAAGGTCCAATACCCACAATTTGGCTGGGATCCGATTTGGGAATAAATTCTGTTATCTCATACATGAAATCAAAAGAGACAAGAAAAATATTCTAATAAAAGTGTCTAAAAGGCTTAAATTGTTCTGTATGATAAAAACTGACCACTGTCCATTATGGTCTCTCCCTTCTCAGGTTGGTAAGCTGTCTGAAGAATTGGCTGCGATGACTCATCAGCTAGAGAGAGTGACCAGAGAGAAAGTAGATGTTACATCCGAGTTAGATCAAGCTAAGATGCAGATCATGCAAAATGAGGTCCAAATCACAAAGGTATAGTCATCAGTTCTTCTTATTACCTAACCTGCTTCTAGAGATATCACACTTATAGATTCAACTCTATCAGGAAAATGGAACCGTTGATGATGTGGACATTGATCTAAGAGTATTCTTGTATTTCAAACAGTTTATATGCAGTTGCTATCATGCCTTATTAACAGCGCATGTTCGTACCTCTAATTATATTCAATTTTCTGACGACTAAAAACCAAACAGTATTACGGTAAATTTTGTAGAATTAACGGGGATATATCATTTCTTATTGCATTGCTTTGGAGATTGTAATGTAAGAAGGAAGGTATTTAAATTTACCAAGAAATAATTGAAATAAAACACCATATTCACTATAGACAATGTTCCATCATGTCAAGATAAAATTGAGATATTTCTTTGAACCCACCAGGTATCAGAGGACACAAAAGTATCTACTACTACAGCTAAGGTTCAGAGAGATGAAGCCATGAGACAACTAGAAAGACTTAGGGCATCTATGGAGTCAGAACTTAGAAGTGCACAACAGGTTTGTCTAGAACTGAATTTTTGTGGAATTAAAGTAGAAAATGAAAGATTTGATTTACTCAGGTATAAGATTTTGATCTGTGATATAAGTCTGTATGTGCATGTACGAAAACTGGAATAAATTATTAACCAGTTGGATAAAACTTGATTTTGGTATAAAACGTATTTCATAAACTAGCCTGAGTAATCTCTGGATTAGTATTGAAGTAGTTAATCACAAACATCTAATTCAAGTTTACTTGGATATTGTCTCATCATAAAAGCATGAAAACAATACTTCTATGATCATTAAGATCTCAACATAGAACTTAAAATGCCTTTCCCGAATAGAATAACCTATCAATACATTAGTGAAAGAAATTTGTTCACTTAAAGCATAGGTCTTAAATGAGATGACAAGTGATATAAATTACATACCTTTAGCAAAGATCTCTATTTTTTAAAGCTGTTGCATTTTATCTTTATTTTGTTATTATTTTTGTTAACTAACATTGCATTTCTGACTGTTCAAAACCATGTCTTTATTACAGGAGAAATCTCGAGTGAAGAATGAGTTATTGGATGTTCGAAGGAGACTTCAGCAGGCTGAGAAGGATGCCTCTACATCACGGGAGGAGTGCATCCGTTTGGTGGAGAAACTCAATGCAGCTGAGAGAGAGGTAAGTGTTTGATGTACTCAATTCTCTAAATACTTTTGATCCACACTTTCCTTTTTCTTCTTGTTATAAAAGAAATATATATCTATATATCTATATTCATATTAAAAATTCCATGCATATCCAGCATCTAATATTGATTGTTTATGATTTATAAGATGATGACGTGGATCCTAATCAAATGATTCGTTGAAACCGTACACGTGACCAGGCATTTATTTTGCCTAACGCGTAATTTGGATAATGACTGGTCATTATCAAAATCATGTTATAAAACAAATAAAACATAATCTTATAAAACAAATAATACACATCATTTTGTTTGGGCATTAATAAAATTACCCACACTCGGTACCTTCAAAACAGTCCAAACACCCTAGGCTATCACCTCGGGCGTGTGAGATTGTTACAAAGATACCTTGATAGGTAATTCTTACTAATGCCCTCACTGATGTGTATGATATCACACATCACATATACAGAGTGATGAAAACAATAAATATAAAATATACAAATTTGAAAGTTATGGGAAAGATAGCACTTAATCAGTTTATTTGTAAAAACAGTTGTATCTTTAGTTTGCTGATAAAGTTTGCAACGTGGATAGTTGGCCTTTTATTTTCCACCTTAACATGAGTGTTAGATAAAATCTCGTGATGCATCCTAAACCATTTTCTGAATTTCTTAAAATCTAACATTATAGTGTTTACAATATGTGTGAATTTGCATTTTCATTTTTGTTATTTGTTAGGCAAGCATCTTGCGTTTGTCCCATGAGAGTGTTGATAAGGGTAACAAAGATGCTCTTAGGATGGTGCGTCACAGAGCAGAGAAGAAGGAGCAAGACCTCAAACAAACTATTCATGACATGGATGCAAAACACAGTGAGTCTGAGAGTTTTTGAATTATTATACATCATTAAACATTATTTAAACATATTCATGGCTTACACCAAGTAAATAAGATCGATTGATCGATCTGTAATTGAAAAATAATTCAGAAAAAGTCTTGGAACCAGTGGGACTTGAACCTGCATCTACTGCTTGCCAGACAGTGACTCTACTACCAGGCCATCACTGGTCCATGGCACAGTCACGATGAACTAGAAACTTTTCAATTACAGATCGATCAATCGATCTTATTTTCTGGGTGTAAGCCACAAATATGTTTAAATAATTGAAATTTCTCCCAGGAAGCATTAGTTTGGTAAAATAAATTGTTGTTTAGTTTTTATCTCTTTCTTGTCCTCCTTCTCCACCTCCTATTCACCCTCCTTCTTCTCTTTCTATTTCTCTTTACCGGTATCTGTCTCTGTCTCCTTCTTCCTCTACTTCTGTTCCTGCTCCTGTTCTTGTTATCCCCACTCTTATACTTGTTTTTCGTTTTTTCTTCCACCTCCTTCTCACCTTCGGGTGTCTTATAAGATCTATGTATTGTTTTTGTTTTTGTTTTGTTAATCAGGTCTAGCTGTGAATGAACTGGAGAACATGTTATCAGACCAGCAAGCCTTGATCACTAAACTGAGGGAAGAAGGTAGAGTCCTCACTGACAGGTTAGAGAGTGGCACAAACAAGTACAGGTAAGTCATCACTGAGCAGCGTAGATGAAAAAAATAATCCTTTCCTGGTGAATTGAACTAATGTCACATAAGTATTTATTTTGTTATTGGTGAATGGTTATACTCATTATCTTTGATTGTGAAAAGGAGTGCTTTATGACATGAAATACGATTTTCCTTCATGAAAATATTTTTTCTTAGCCATACATTATATGTTTGAAAAATATGTGGAATCACACAGGTTACAAATTAAATTTTGATCTCTAAAAGGAACTAATTTGTGCTAGATGAAAAAGAAATATCTGCTAAGATCAACATCCAATTAGAATTCTAAAGTTGAACCTTCATCAACAAGATAAAATTGAGTTAATAAACCAACAAATTTTCATAGGTTTGGTAATACTAAGAATGATCCCTTTACACAGTAGATGAATTCAGTATTGCACTATCTTTATATTAATGCTTAAATGTTTGCAGACATTTTAAAGATACTTCTATTTCATTTTGTTTAAATTGTATCCTACTGTAACTGAGGTAAACTGAGAATAAGTTAGGTTCTGACCATAAACATGAATTGTGACAGGTATTCTCAGGAAAATGTGATGTCACAATAAATATGTAGGATAAATCTATTCATGGTGTTAAAAAATGTTTAAAAAATGTTCATCTCTATTTTTTTCAATTTTCATTTTAGATCCGAGCTTCACCAACTGAGGCAGGTAAATGGTGAGCTTGTGGCTCGGTCAGAGCGTCTATCCCAGCAGCACAATGATATGGAGATACAGTGTGTGGAGCATGGGAAGCTACATCACAGGATGAAGACTAGGCTGCAACAGATGGAAGAACAGAATAACAAGAATGCTAAACAGGTTAGAACTTATAGATTTGTGGCAGAGTTTTCAATCTGCTTGCTACCACTGCCACTGTATCTTCTCTTGTATGCATTTGCATGTGAGCGTGTTCAAGGTGTTTGCTCATTTTGTGTTTCATAGTTTACCTATTATTTTGGATGATGTAGAACTCCTCACCAGTTTGCTCTATTGACGTATGCAGATCAGTCTGAACTGTGTTTTGCACTTATAGCAGTTTGTCTTTTTATTAATCCAAATCTTTTAAATGTACTTTATCACATTTCTCCTTTTTCTTAAGTCATGTTTTTATGCCTCCGTTACGAAGTAGCCGAAGGCATTATGTTTTCGGGTTGTCCGTCCGTACGTACGTCTGTACGTCCCGTTCTCGTGATCGCGTTATCTGAAGAACCGATTAATGGATTCCTGCCAAACTTTGGTCATGTATGTATCTTGCAGAGCCGATGAACTGATTAGATTTTGGGGTCACAAGGTCAAAGGTCAAAGGTCACAGGGCTCATTATGTATGCAAAAACAGCTCGTGATCGCGTTATCTGAAGAACCGATTGATGGATTCCTGCCAAACTTTAGTCATGTATGTATCTTGCAGGGCCAGTGAACTGATTAGATTTTGGGGTCATGAGGTCAAAGGTCACAGGGCTCATTAGAACTGACAGATGGATTACTATTTAACTCAGGACATCTTGCAGAGCCAATGAACTGAGTAGATTTTAGGTTCATGAGGTCAAAGATCAAAGGGTCATATATGTATATGAGAAATTGCTTGTAATCACGATATTCTGAGAACCTGTTAATGGATTACAATTGAACTTGAATTTAAAAAATTTCTTCTGTTTTGGTTTGTAAAATTGCTCTATGACGGAGGCATCATTTTCGACTGCGCGCAGTCGAAGTTCCATCTAGTTTTTAAAATTTCACAGTGATAGACCAATTAAACAGTTCTATAATAATTTGCAAGATTTAATTTTAAGTGGAGAACTTAATCATATAAACCATAAATTGAATTGAGCAAAGGTTTGCAATTTCACCCATTCTTCATGTATGCCTTGATATCATGTTTCAGTATTTAAAGATTGTTATGAAACTTGTGTAAAACTATAAAGGGCTGTGGTTTTTTAACATCGCCTTTTTGGGTACACAAATGAAGATTGAGAACCATAGATTTATTCAGGTCTCCTGCTCTCTTATGCTGTGAGCTGTGAATCTGTTCATAATTTCTGTTGATTTGATTGTTTCACTTCCATTTTAGATCTTTGAGCTTCTTCAGAAGCAGACCAGTCTGATGCAGGAGAGACAGGTCCTCAGCAAGGAGGTAGAGTTCTTACGGAGCCAGAGGACTACTACTACACCTCTAGACCTGAACCGAAGCGAGACCAACTGGCTGAATAGTGATGTAGATAAACTCAAGGGATTAGGTGGATTTACCAAGGAGGCAATGGTACCAAGTCATGATCAAGATAGATAGCATAGATCATATCACTGTTCTGTAAGCATTGATGGAATATGACAGCTCTTTTTTTTTCTTTTTTTCAATAATCAAGAACTACCAAGAATTCTTCTTTTCCACCTTTTAATGACCTGATAAAGCAACATTATGCAGTACTACTTTAATCATCAAGAAGAAGCATACAGATGATTCAGGTTTATATTCTACAGGGGGGGGGGGGAATTATGCAAGAAAGAGTCTCAGTATGATTTTTTGACATAGTAAATTTACACTAATCATTCTGCACTTATTGTTCAAGTGCCCATGTTTGTGTGCTTTTACATTTACTGAGGGATAGAACAGGGATATATGCTGTGTATACCTTGAACTCAGGGGGAAACTGAATCAACACCTGATTGTGTTGAAACTGGTGAATTGGATAGATGAAATGGTCATTAATATTTAATTTAGGGGTTGACCAATGTACAGCATGGTAGTATGATGTATGCTGTAGTAAATCACAAACTACTATTAACATTGTTTGTAAATGCATTCACACAATGACGAGACAGTTAAAATAGTGAGGCTGTGAACAGTAATAGCAAGTGACAAAGTCACCACTTTATAAACATTTTGCAATTATTAGTAACCCCTGGTAACAATGATATTATGCAAACAGATATAGCAGAAGAAGAGAAAACACCTCTTTAGACTTCTTGCATACATACTGTACATTTATTTTTTAATACCAAAGTCCATTGATGATAGTGAAGATGTGATTTAGGAACCTTCTTCCAGATGTTGACTATGCATAGTTATAACGTCAATGGTGAGACCTGCCTAACATCAAGTGCTTGAGACAAACTGCAATCCGAGGATGCTATTTACATTTGATGAGGATTTTTAGAAGCTAGTGTTGAAATACAGTGTTAATTTGAATTATTGGTGCATGTTTTTTTAGAAACAAGTTTTCAAAAGTAGTTTTTGTCTATTTTTTAATATATTTACCAGTACTGCAGTTAGTTGTTGTTCATAAAACTATTTTACTTCATTTCAAGTACCATATTATACTGTACTACATACGCTGACATTGTGTTCTTGCATAATCCAAAGCAATACAAATTTTAACCGTCCATTTTAATAAGTAGCTGTATTCAAGTTCTTATGGTGCTAAGGTTTTAAATTATGCAGCAAACATTTGATTCTAAATAGCTGCTACCTGTGTGTGAAGTGTGAATGCTCATTTGTCATCCTTTTTTTCACATTCCTATTTGTGAGTATTTTATATCGTAAACCATTGCCTGCTGGAACCAGGGGGTCCTTGTATTAAACCATGTAGTAGTCCACAGGTTTAGTAGAGATGTTCATTTATGTGTAAGGTAAAAGAGGAAAAGGAGAAGAAGAGAAATTTATGAAGGGGTGAAGTGTTCTACTACTTCTTACATCAGTACATGTATTTCCATGTGATAGTACTTATTTCCTGTATATGTAGTATTGTAATTGTCTATACAAATGATTCCAATAATTTGTTTTATTTAGTCTTATGTGTATATTGTCTGACTCTGAGAAAATTCTATATTTTGTTATTTTTTTTTGTTGTTGTGTGTTTCTGTGTTGTTGTTGTTTTACTGATTTATTACTTGTTTTTAACTGTTATATATTAGTTGTAATGATGATGTAAACAAATGATATAGTTGTAGAACTCAGATGTGCTCAGTTCTTTTAGGAAAATTTGGTTTCCGGCTTTCAGGTCGTCATAACGTGCTATGTTACATACATGTAGTTTGCTTTATACAGAATAAGAGAAAATCTTTGTTAGTGTGAAGAATTTTCTCAGTAGCATTGCTCATTAAAGTCTCATTCAGATATGTTGTGACACAGCAAAATCACAGCTTTTTTTTGTTGGTATAATGATGTAAAGTGTTATATGCTTCACATGTCTGTATTTTATAACACAGAGTTAAGTGAATACACAAAGGACCTTGTTGCCTACAGTTGCCATTCATTTACACATTTTTTTTTAAATGATGTGTTTTTTGTGGCAGTTTACATCGTCTTATCTGAACAAACTTTAAGAAGCAATAATGAAACTATGGTATTTGTATTGAATGTGACAGTACTTAGTGCTCAATGCACTGGATTTTATACTTGTACATGTATTATTATAAATTCCTGTACTATTCCAGTGTTTTTATTTGTGTTTTGGACAGATCTCAACATTCTCAAGCAATAATATGGTAGTTTTATATGTTATGTTGAAATGGATGAGTAATAAATTGGATGCTAGTATTAATAATTTATTGCATTCTTCTTCGTGTTTCTTACTCATGACTGACAGAGTGTGATTTGGGTGATGTAACACATGCATCAGAAACCTAGTTGCATTCCAGAGAATTTAACTGCAGAGGTCCCAAAACCCTAAAATGATCACTTCTGCATAGAAAAGAAAACCCTCTTTTCAATTATTTGTGTGCATTCATTTTCAGTGACAATGTTCCGAAGCTATGATCAGGCGCGGATCCAGGGGGGGGGGGGGGCCGAGCGGGCCTTGGCAATTTTCAAGTTTCCCAGGCTTATTTAGGAGAACAGAAGATTGATATTGTTTAGTTGTACGATAACATCACTCAGTTTGATTTGATTTGATTGGAGATATATCTCATTAAAAACAGAGTAAAAGCTATACAGTTTCAAACAAACCTACACCATTAAACTTCAAGCTTACTCACACATGACTTATTGCGACACTTTCAAGGCTACTTATTATTTCAAGTTCATGTATATACAAAGGGCAACAGCTTCAATATTAAACGTAATTAAATCAATGGTCTGGAAAATGTTAATGCCCATTGTTGTATATTATACAACATTTTCCATAACGATGAATATACATTGTATAATGCAATTTTCAGGAAAACCATACTTGTCATTACTGTTATATTTGTTATATGATACTAAAGCAAATCGTTTCGCTTATCGATAAGATAAATCAATGTGAAGTACGTGTCAAATAATGAAATCATTACGTGCTATTTTTAACCGGACTAGACATTTGAAACGTATAAAAAATGTATACACTATTGACAGCAAGCAAGTTTTTTAAACAAAGAATTCAGAAATTGAACAACATTGCACATTTTAGTCTACACGGCATGCTCTACACCCTTAGTTGGACTGTAAACAGTTGTCTTCTTAAGTCTTCCATATAAATATAAATTTAAAGGAGGTCAATAATCATTATGAAAACACCACTTTCGTAAGGTTGACACATCAATATATATTGTGCACACATGTAACAATGTGATAATATTTTTTCTTGGGGGGGGGCGGGAGGAGGGCAATCCAAAAAGGGACTGATATGTGAACATTAATATTGATAGGTCGCTTCACAAAAGGGGCATACATAGTCCTTTTTTGTGGATAGTTTTTTGAGCAAAACACAAAATAGGTGGAAGGACGGGGTACACGTCTTCCTTCAATTTTCTGAGGGGGATCGTCCCCCATGGATAATTTGAAAAAGTGCTCACCAACAAAATGTATAGCAAATACTGACTAAAGACTGCAACACGCTTTAAGGCTCTGGTGGGCACAAGAGTACAGCGTTTAGACTAATAGAAATGCTAAAATCTTCTCGCTCGGTCGCTACGCTCCTTCGCATAATATCCTAAAAATATACAAGTAAATATTGAAGAAAATATGTATTCTGTTGGTATCACGTATGTACAAATAACACTGTATGTTAACAAGATTAAAAGTTATAGAAATAGATCAGTGTTCCAAAAATGAATATTCAGCTTGCTCTTTTAAGAAGTCCCTTCCTGCTCAGTACTTACTAAAATTTACCTAGTAAATATTTACAACCCTTCGGACTGCACACTAGATATCGGCAAAGTAAAAGTGAAGCGTGAAAAAAGTATATTGCTTGTTTTTATGCTATAGTTTTACTAAAGAATGTAATTTTGTAACACAACAAAACTTCAAAAACCTGTGAGGGGTTTACATATAAGACTTATCATACAGCTTTATGGGGGTAGTCCCTTCCGTCACCTCCGCCCCTTTCACTGGCGTACTGATGGGGGGGGGGCAGTAACCCCCCCCCCAATACAATTTAAACATGGGTTATTTTTAATTTGATACCAGAGATTTACAAGTATTGCTAAAATGGCAGTATTTTTCCATGAGCTCCCGGGGGCTCTACCCCCTGGAACCCACCAAGGGCCCCAAGGCGGGCCCCTGTTTGCTCATCTGGCCGTAATTAAATGCCTAAAGTCCTTGAGCTTTCGGGGGCTCTGCCCTCTGGACTCAACCAAGGGGCCTAAGGCGGGTCCCTAGATGCGTAATTTGGTGCCTAAAAGCCCTTCCGTTATGTATTTCTTATGCATTTCTTTCTCCATATCCTCTGCACTCTCCTTATGTATTTTGTTGTTTTCCCTTTTCTATTACCTTCTCTTCCCTGGGTATACGCATTATGGCTAAACATTTTTGTAAAAAAAAATATGCGCGAACGGTCAAGGAGTAAGAAGAAGGCAAAAAGAGAACAAAGACGGCATCCATGGAAGCCATGTGAGAGTGTCCACTTTTTTCGCTTTTACTTTCACCCTTGCATTCTTTCCTGAATCAGAGTTTTCTCACACCTTGTAAACTCATGCAGGTTATGATCTTGTGTGTGTGTGTGTGTGTGTGTGCGCGTGTGTGTGCGCGCGTGTGTGTGCGTGTGTGTGTACGTGTGTGCGTGTGCGTGTTTGAAAGAGGGATTGTTCAGCTGAATCATTTGGTTGAGAAAGGTCATGTTAAGCCTGTTAAATATTTTATGAACCTCGGTATGAAAGGTAATAATTTGCTTATGATTATTGATATTTATGATGCGATACCCAGTTTATGGAAGGATGATTCAGGGTTAATAGAATTCCTCGAGGTTGATTTGATAAGCTTTAATACTTATTTCCATATTTCTAGTAAAAAAATACAGTTTGTGGATGTGGGTTCAAGAACAATCTATGATTATTTCATCAAAGCACTGCAACGAACGTATGATTTGCAGGTAAGGGATGGGCAAAATGATTATGATTTTATAGATAAAGAATTAAAAGAAATATTTGTTAGACCAAGAATTACTATACTCATTAGAAAACAACG